ATAGAAAAGGAATGGAATGGAATGGAATGGAATGGAATGGAATAGAATAGAATAGAATAGAATAGAATAGAATAGAGCTGGAAGGGACCTTGGAGGTCTTCTAGTCCTGCCCCCTGCTCAAGCAGGAGAACCTAAACCATTTCAGACAAGTGACTGTCCAGTCTCTTCCTAAAAACCTCCAGTTATGGAGTGCCCACAATTTCTGGAGGCTAGCTGTTCCACTGGTTAATTGTCCTCACTGTCAGGAACTTTCTCCTTAATTCCAGGTTGCTTCTCACTTTGATCCATTTCCAACCATTGTTTCTTCTCCTTCCCTCTGGTGCTTTGGTGAATAACATGACCCCCTGTCACTCTCAGCCTAGGCAAGGAAAAATTGCTTCTGAAAAACTTGCCTAGAAAACTGCAGGGACCAGCAGTTGCCAGGAGGCAAGACTGTCTCCTGGCAACGGACAACCATCATAATAATCGATGCATGCTAAGACTAGTTTGAATCCACATTCAGTGCCATAATCCTATGGAGCCAGGGGATCCTTCATCTTGGGTGCAAAAGACCAGTGTCTTACTCTCACCTGCTGCCTTTGCAATTAATAAATTATAATTTGGTTTCTGTCTGGTTATTGTTTCTGTTAAGGGAGCTTTCCCACCAAGATGGAAACGTGCAGTTCATTCTGGACTGAGGTCTTCAGATCCACAGAGACATCAGGTCAACATCTGACAGCCGGGGCTAAAAACTCCCTTGGTTAGATGACAAAAGTTTGGATCTGTGTCAAAGTAGGAATAAACAAGATTAGTTCCGTGCATAACATGAGAGCCGGCCGCAGGTGCAGTTGCACAAATAACTTTTTCTCCTGTTACATGTCAAAGGAGCTTGGAACTCTGCCAGGATTTCTTGCCTCTATAATTAAAACAACAATTAGGTGTTTTTGTCACTGTAAGTTTGGCCAAGTGGGACCACAGAGACTAAAGTTGAAAATCAAACTCTCCTTGCTGGCAACAACCGATTTCTCTTCATCCTCTTAATTAATATTCTGAATCCCACTACAATTATGCTTTGGAAAAACTCTTCAGGGTAAAAAAAAAAGTTCACTAAACTGAGATTAGTTCATTCTCACAAAGTAATAGTAATAGTAGTAAAGTTGGAAGGGACCTTGGAGGTCATCTAGTCCAACCCCCTGCTCAGGCAGGAAACCCTACACCATTTCGGACAAATGGCTGTCCAGTCTCTTCTTAAAAACTTCCAGTGTTGGAGCATTTACTGCTTCTGGAGGCAGGCTGTTCCACTGATTAATTGTTCTCACTGTCAGGAAGTTTCTCCTTAGTTCTAGGTTGCTTCTCTCCTTGATTAGTGTCCACCCGTTGCTTCTTGTCCTGCCTTCAGGTGCTTTGGAAAATAGCTTGATTCCCTCTTCTTTATGGCAGTCCCTGAGATATTGGAATACTGCTATCATGTCCCCCCTTGTCCTTCTCTTTGTTAAACTAGACATACCCAATTCTAGCAACCGTTCCTTATATGTTTTAGCCTCCAGTCCCCTAATCATCTTTGTTGTTCTTCTCTGTACTCTTTCTAGAGTCTCAACATCGTGGTGACCAAAACTTGATGCAGTATTCTAAGTGTGGCCTTACCAAGGCATTGTAGAGTGGTATTAATACTTCACGTGATCTTGATTCTATCCCTCTGTTAATGCAGCCTAGCACTGTGTTGGCCTTTTTGGAAGCTGCAGCACATGGCTGGCTCATATTTAAGTGATTGTCTACTAGGACTCCGAGGTCCCTCTCACAGTTACTACTATTGAGCATGGTGCCACCTATGCTGTACTTGTGCATTTGGTTTTTCTTGCTTAAATGTAGAACCTTGCTTTTTTCACCATTGAATTTCATTTTGTTAGTTAGTGCCCAGTGTTCAAGTCTGTCCAGATCCTTCTGTATCTTAAGCCTGTCTTCTGGAGTGTTGGCTATTCCTGCCAGCTTGGTGTCGTCTGCAAAGTGCCTAGATCTTTTTAGGAATTGGGTGGGGGGTGTATTTATCAAGGTTTGAGCTCTGCCTTCTAACTGTACCTTCCATTTGAACTTTATTTATCATTCATTTATTTGATTTTATTATTCAGGAGCTAAAGGCAGCATTCATAGTGTTTCTTTCTTCTTTCTCTTTTCCCTACAACACTAACTTTGTGTGGTGCTTTGTGTTGAGTGAAGTGACTGGTCCAAAATCACCTATCTAAGGGTGCAGTAGAACTCAGCTCTTACATATTTAGAGATCACAAACTTGACAAATGATTTCTCCTTAAGCCTTAGTATTGTGATGTGATCTGGTCAACTAGTTTGAATAACATGTAAAACAATCTTCTCTCTATATTTCCAAAGAAACATGGACAACTTTGGGGAATCCCTGGCCAAAGAGTATAATTTTTAGTTCCTGTTTCAAGCTCCTTTTATTTGCATTGAGAATTTAGTACAAATACAATGCAAAGCAAATTACAATACTGCATACCCTTCATAAGAATTTATTTTTGTTGCTAGGTACCAGGAATTTAGAAAATAATGCAATGTTTGAAATGAATCAGGAGTTTTTTAAGTTGTGCAAAACCAATTTGGTCTCTCTCTCTCTCTCTCTCTCTCTCTCTCTCTCTCTCTCTCTCTCTCTCCCTCCCTCCCTCCCTCCCTCCCTCTCTCCCTCTCTCTGTGTGTGTGTGTGTGTGTGTGATAAATTGACCACTTGATTTGTCATGGAAATGCAATGGACATAGGGCAAAACAGAATAACAGAATTGGAAGGGCCCTTGGAGGTCTTCTAGTCTACCCCCCCATATACCATTTCAGACAAATGGTTGTCCAGTCTCTTCTAAATACTTCCAGTTTTGGAGCATTCACCACTTCTGGAGGCAGGTTGTTCCACTGGTTAGTTGTTCTCACTGTCAGGAAGTTTCTCCTTATTTCTAGGTTGCTTCTCTCCTTGATTAGTTTCTACCCGTTGCTTCTTGTCCTGCCTTCAGGCACTTTGGAGAATAGCTTGACTCCCTCTTCTTTGGGGCAGCCCCTGAGATATTGGAAGGCTGCTATCATGTCCCCCCTCATCCTTCTCTTCATTAAACTAGACATACCCAATTCCAGCAACCATTCCTTATATGTTTTAGCCTCCAGTCCCCTAATCATCTTTGCTGCTCTTCTCTGTACTCTTTCTAGAGCCTCAACATCTTTTTTACATTGTGGTGACCATGACTGTGTTGCTCATGGTTGCATTATATTGAATTCCAATATGATGTGGTCACTGTCACTCAAAGTTCAAGCAACTACAACCCCCTCTATCACTTCATCTCTATTAGTTCTCTATTATTTGGAACTGTTTGTGCTCTATTGGCTAAGATTATAACAGCTGTAATCACATCATAGGACCACTCATCCTTATTTTGATGGCATTGATGGTTTTAGATATTGTTTGTGTTGCCTCCTTGCATTTTATCAACCCAATCAATTAAGGCCACCAGACTGATTTCCATCAAAAGGACGTTTGCTACTCTTGGAAGTATTTCAGAAGAGATTATCTTCTTGTTTGCAAAAGGGAGCTAGCCTCCGATAAAGAATTAGAAAAAGGTATTTGATGGGGAGGACATCATGCTTAGATAAAGTCATTTGGAGAAGGTTAATGAATCAAAATATCAGGGTTTTGGCAGAAGCAACAAAGCACACATAGGGAGCTGTGAAATTCCTCTCCTTTGGCTGCAACTGCCCAAAAAGCTAACACATTGCTAGGCTCAGTGGTCAGACTCAGACAGTTTGCATCACTTTGGCAGAACCGGTAGCTAATTTTTTGTTGCCTAGGCCGAGAATGGACTTCCAGAACTAGTATCCACATAGAGAACCAGTTATTCACATATTTGAATTCCACCACTGGCTAGGCTGCATTAACAGAAGGATAGAATCAAGATCACATGAAGTGTTAATACCACTTTACAATGCCTTGGTAAGGCTACAAAGAAGAGGGAGTCAAGCTATTCTCCAAAGCCCCTGGAGGCAGGACAAGAAGCAACAGGTGGAAACTAACCAAGGAGAGAAGCAACCTAGAACTAAGGAGAAACTTCCTGACAGTTAGAGCAATTAATCAGTGGAACAACCTGCCACCAGAAGCTGTGAATGCTCCAACACTGAAAATTTTTAAGAAGAGACTGGATAGCCATTTGTCCGAAATGGTATAGTATAAATATTCCATGAAGTCATGCCCCCACCCGCAATGTATGTCTTTTGAATGACTTCCATCCTCACTCTGGGAGGGAGGGGGGATTTCTGTGTTTTTAGACAATGTGTATCCTGTAAGGTATTTTCACATACCTTAATTACTAGGAGGACTTTGTAACTGGCTTCGTCCTATGTGGGACTCTTCAAATGTGAGGAGCCAGAAGTTACTTGAAGTTGTCCACACTCTCTATTACAGTGAATACCAGTAAAGTTGGAAGGGACCTTGGAGATCATCTAGTCCAACCCCCTGCTCAGGCAGGAAACCCTATACCATTTCGGACAAATGGCCATCCAGTCTCTTCTTAAAAACTTCCAGTGTTGGAGCATTCACCGCTTCTGGAGGCAGGTTGTTCCATTGGTTAATTGTTCTAACTGTCAGGAAGTTTCTCCTTAGTTCCAGGTTGCTTTTCTCCTTGATTAGTTTCCATCCGTAGCTTCTTGTCCTGCCTTCAGGTGCTTTGGAGAACAGCTTGAATCCTTCTTCTTTGGGGCAGCTCCTGAGATACTGGAACACGGCTATCATGTCCCCCCTCGTCCTTCTCTTCATTAAACTAGACATACCCAATTCCAGCAACCGTTCCTTACATGCTTTAGCCTCCAGTCCCCTAATCATCTTTGTTGCTCTTCTCTGTACTCTTTCTAGAGTCTCAGCATTTGAACATGGACAATGTAATAACTGTGCATGATGCAATGGAAGCTTAACATTTCCACATAAATCGAGTAACAATAGAGGCATTGGGTTTGGGCAATGAGGCCTGTGAATTAAGATATTAAAAGGTGACAGTGGAGCGGATTAAAGCTACTTAGAAGAACAGCAAGGATCATAAGACCTGAGCAATAAAGAAGATGTATCTCCTTTTAATGTTTGCTGTGACTTTTATGCTTTCTGCACAGGAGGTAAGGCTACATTTTATGGGTTTCAATAGCCTTTCAGCTGGGGTGTCTGCAAATGAGTATGCATTTTGTTGAGTTTGTCACCATGCTTGATGAAGGGGTTAAAAAAATCAGGCAGAGGGCTTTGAGTACTCAGTTTTTTAATCACTGGAAATTCAACTGTACCAGTGGCTCTGAATTCAGAGTGGATTTCTGTTCTCTGGGTTGGCTTTCTCAATGTTTGCCTTAGCCTGAGAGTCAGAGATACTGTAAACTCTTGTTGGATTTACTGAGTTGGACCAATAAAGAAGACTGAGAATTTCTTTGATTAGAAAGATATCAGCAACTGTGCAAGATATGGGAAGACTCAAAAATGAATCTAAGTTGGGTATTGTATGTGGTTGTATTATTGTAACCATCTAACAAAGCTTAACATTTGATGTTTAATTCACATATTGTGTTGAGCAGTGGTTCTCAACTTGTGGGTCTGGACCCCATTTGGGGTCGAACGACTGTTTCACGGGGGTCGCCAAACAACGCAGTCCGCCATTTCCCCCCCCTTTTTCTTAGCTGTGCTACTCCCTTTTATTCTATTGGCTTTTGAAAGCCAATAGAATAGACTCTCTTGAATAGAGTCTAATTCTATTGGCTTTCAAAAACCAATAGGAATTGTCCAGGCTGTCTCTGCCCTGCTGAGCCCGCCAAAAGTCCCATTCTGCAAACGGTGCTGCACCAGTTGAGTAGTCCTTGACTTATGACTGGTTGAGTAGTCCTCAACTTATGACCGGCTGGGGGTTGCGGCATTAAAAAGTTTGAGAACCACTGGTGTTGAAGCTTATTTGGATACAAAATGCCCTTTAACCAATAACAACGTGAACACCAGGAATATAATAAACTAAAAAAGTTTAGTACCATCACCGATCACCAAGCTTTCGTCAGATACTTCAGACATCGTCAGGGTTAATGCTGGTCTATGGGAGAGTGCTTTTATAGGTGAGTCGTCATTTGCACACGGCTCCTAGCTATTGTCATAGGTCCTAACTGATTTGACTGCGTTCTAATTGTGGCTTCCATTGTTAATTGCGAAGTCATGTCCGACCCATCGCGACCCCACGGACAACGTTCCTCCAGGTCTTCCTGTCCTCTACCATCTTCTGGAGTCCATTTAAGTTCACACCTACTGCTTCAGTGACTCCATCCAGCCATCTCATTCTCTGTCGTCCCCTTCTTCTATTGCCCTCAATCTTTCCCAGCATCAGGCCCTTCTCCAGTGAGTCCTTCCTTCTCATTAGGTGGCCAAAGGACTTGAGTTTCAACTTCAGGATCTGGCCTTCTAAAGAGCAGTCGGGGTTGATCTCTTCTAGGACTGACCGGTTTGAACGCCTTGCAGTCCAAGGGACTCGCAGGAGTCTTCTCCAGCACCAGAGTTCAAAGGCCTCCATTCTTTGGTGCTCAGCCTTCCTTATGGTCCAACTTTCACAGCCATACATTGCAACTGGGAAAACCGTGGCCTGGACTATACACACTTTTGTTGGCAGGGTGATGTCTCTGCTTTTTAGTATGCTGTCTAGATTTGCCATAGCTTTCCTCCCCAGGAGCAATGGGTGTGTCATTATTCCCTTCTACCTTCCACAATCCTGAGGACCCAGATTGTTGGGGGCAATGTAAATATATATATACATTGCTTACTGGTGTATACCGCTTAGAGAGTGCTTGCACTTAAAGCGGTATATAAGTCTCATAAATAAATAAAATCCTGATTTAGGAAGGCTCCTTTCCCTCCTTTTTTGGTTGGCTAGATCGTTCGTATCTCTAAGTTGTTTCCTCTTCTCGCACTCACATCTCCCACCTTCCTCCTTCCTCTGCTCCTTATATATTTAAATATATAAAAACCCTTTATATTTACTTGGCTGCATCAGCAAAAACTTTGAGGCAATGCTTGGAAGAAGGGCCGCAGTATTGGGAGAGGACAGATCCCTTTTTATGGTTTTTTATTCTGCATCGGACTCTCATCGGCTTTGCTGGTGGCAGGAACAGGATATAACAAATTCTTAATTGCTACCAGATTCATTTTCCGCAGTGCTCCTGATCCAAATTTAATTGGTTTGGTCTATTTTGTTTAAAGAAAGAAAGTGGAGGAGACTTTAGTGAAGGAAAGAGTTGTCTTAGTTTTCACTGAAATCTGGCCAATAATATACTGATTTTACAAGGAAAAGAGAAATCCCAAGTTCTTAGACAAAGAGAGAGATAATCTATCCATCTGTGTCTTGATATCCGTTTACAAATAAATACAGGTAATCATCAATTGATGACCATTTCTTTAACCATGGTCTGAAGTTACAATGGTGATGAAAAAAGTGTCTTATGGCCTGCTCTCAAAATTACAATCCTCACACCATCCCTGTAGTCATGTGATTGCAGTTTGACTGCTTGGTAACCAGCTTGCATTTATGATGGTTGCAATATCTCAAAGTCATGTGACTGTGATCTGGAACCTTCCCACCTGGCTTTATATAATCAAAGCCAAAGGGGGAAGGTTTCCTTAATTATTGTGGTGAAATGATCATTAAAAAATCAGGTCTGATCACATGATGCCTCACTTAAAGACCTCATCTCTTATGCAGTCCCAATTGTGGTTGTAGGTTGAGAGTTACCTGCAATTAATATGTAAACGTATATAGATTCAAATGAAGTATCCATACTAGAGAAAACAGGAAGGAGGAGATGAAATGAGGTGAATAAATCCTGGATGACTCCTCTGATGAGTATGGGCAATTGTGAGAAGGAAGGACTCACTGGAAAAGGGCCTAATGCTGGGAAAGATGGAGGGCAATAGAAGAAGGGGACAACAGAGAATGAGATGGCTGGATGGAGTCACTGAAGCAGTAGATGAGAACTTAAATGGACTCCAGAAGATGGTAGAGGACAGGAAGACCTGGAGGAACATTGTCCATGGGGTTGTGATGGGTTGGACACGACTTCGCAATTAACAACAACATTCAGGTTTAGATCCAGTCCCAGATCCAAATCCAAATCAGTGTCAGGTTCCTGAGATGTTTATCAATCTCACTGGATTGAAGCAGAGATAGAAATGTCCCCTCTGGTCAACATTAAATCACAAGGGATACCTCAATGTTAGATCTCTCCTGCCTGAAGAAGCATTTCTAGGTCAGGCCATGTCTGAATGAAGCACTTGTCCATGTGTATGGTTTCCATTTCTTTAGATCCATTATTGGCAAGATCTTGTATCACAGGGTTTCTCAACCTTGACAATTTTAAGGCATGTGGACTTCAACTCCCAGAATTCCACAGCCAGCATTGCTGGCTGTGGAATTCTGGGAGTTAAAGTCCACATGCCTTAAAATTGTCAAGGTTGAGAAACACTGTTGTATCAGAAGGGTTTTCCATTCTAGGCATAGTTTGAAAGACAGAAGGGAACCTTGAAGTTGTCCAAGATATCAATCAGAGAGAAAGTGAGCAAGTACATAAGTGAGCAAGTACTTTCCTTCTATGCTGAAGTTAATTTCATTTCTCTTTTCAGTAAAAAATAATTACTGTATTTCTAAAACGTGCACAACATTTGCAAATGATTCTTTAAAAAAAAACCAGTAATCAGAAACTACAACAGTAAAGAGGTTTTTTTCTTTTCTTTTCAGGATTACAAGGTTAATACAGATGAAGAATCTACTGTAAGTAAGTTACACCATGCTGGAATGTTCTGATTTTTTTCCCCCTTTGGGGGAATGTCTATGCGCCATTTTCTCCCAAGAGAGCACACATTTCCATTTAGTTTGAGACAGAAAAGTCAGTATAAATCACCCAGTCCAGAATAGTCTGCAAGATTCTCCTATCTGGTATTGTTACTCAACTAGCTGTCCATGGAGATAGTACAAAGAAGGGGCATTTTTCCATGTTTCTAAGGACTGATCTCCAGTCCAAGGGGCAAATGCTGTTTCAGTCCCAGTGAAGGCTTATCATTTTTCTGATATAACAGTTAAGATAGTGTAACATTATTGTCATCAGCCATTCCAGAGTTAACTTGAACTCAGGGGAAAAAGGTGAAATGAATGTTAGCTTGAACAGGTGTTATCCTACAAATGGAGAAGTGAAGAGGCATGTTTTCATTTGTCGCCAAAGGAGGGATGAGAGTGGATTTTCTGCTTGTTGCCACAGCAAGAAGATCCAAAAGAGATCCCTGCTATAAAATGCAGCTTCCTCCTGTTATATATTCAAGGTGGACAATATTTAATATTTATTTGCTATGTATATGTAGGGATGTGGGTCTACACATATGTTGTTTGTAGTATGTTTAGGTGTGTGTCATGTATGTGTTTCACTTTGAGAGTGGGCAACTAAATCTCATTTTTGATGTGTGCCATTGTGCGCACAGTATAAAAATGACAATAAAGGTTATCTATCTATCTATCTATCTATCTATCTATCTATCTATCTATCATCTATCTATCTATCTATCTATCTATCTATCTATCTATCCATCCATCCATCCATCCATCCATCCATCCATCCATCCATCCATCCATCCATCTATCTATCTATCTATCTATCTATCATCTATCTATCTATTATCTATCTATCTACCATCTATCTATCTATCTATCTATGTATCTATCTATCATCTCTCTCTCTCTCTCTCTCTCTCTCTCTCTCTCTCTCTCTATCTATCTATCTATCTATCATTGGACAATCCCTTTAGCAATTCCAAAGTTGTGCTGCATTTAAGTGCTTATCCGGACTGATACAGCTCAGCTCTGCTATTTCTAAGAACCCCATTTGAATATTTCATTCATTGTTAGAACTTCACAGTGGGCAGAGACAGAATCTCTGCCTTTTAGCTCCAGTTTAATCACAGACGAGGGAATAATTGTGCATGATGAGATGGAAGCCTAACATTTCCTTGGTAATGAAATAACAACAGCAAGAGCATCGAGGACTAAAACTGCTGGCACTGATGATGTTACTTAGATTGGGTAATGAAACATCTGCAAGGAATAATTAATAATTAATTGATAATTATAATTGATGATTAATATAATAATCGACTGCAAGGCGTTCAAACCGGTCAGTCCTAGAGGAGATCAACCCTGACTGCTCTTTAGAAGGCCAGATCCTGAAGTTGAAACTCAAATACTTTGGCCACCTAATGAGAAGGAAGGACTCACTGGAGAAGGGCCTAATGCTGGGAAAGATTGAGGGCAATAGAAGAAGGGGACGACAGAGAATGAGATGGCTGGATGGAGTCACTGAAGCAGTAGGTGTGAACTTAAATGGACTCCAGAAGATGGTAGAGGACAGGAAGACCTGGAGGAATGTTGTCCATGGGGTCGCGATGGGTCGGACATGACTTCGCAATTAACAGCAACAACAACAACAAATAATAACAGCAACAGCAACAGCAGCAACAACAACAGTAACAAAAATAATAATATTGGAAGGGACCTTGGAGGTCTTCTAGTCCAACCCTGGAAAGTCAGTAAAGGTTTGCATTCATCGTTCAAGCAGGCCAGTTATGCCACCCAGACATTCTCTTTACAGTTCACAGGTGGTATCAAGGTCAAAAGAGTCTTAACTAAAGTCTGGGCTTCAAGCCAAGTTTCTTTTAGGCAATAACAAGTTGTAATACCAAACTTCACCACAAGATGTCATCGATGCCATTTAAAACTTTTTAAGTCCCCCCCCCCATTTATAATAGTTTTTCAAAGTTTATTTCTTTTCTTTTTAAATAAAAATCAGCATATCCAGTAGAAATAGGAATAAGAAAATTTCTAGGAAAACTTTTTAGTCTCTTAATTTCAAAAGTATATGCATCCAATTAGATTAAAGTTGTTTTTATAATTGCTTTGTTTCCCCTGGATAGTCGGTCACCGCTGTTCTTAGAGGGTACGGTAGGAATTCCCTTCCTTCTCTCCTCACAGGGGGGGAGAATACTTAGAGCAGCTTTTTCAGAGGAGATATTTAGAGAAGATTAGATTTCACCCAGTTTCATCTGCGTTGCTTTAAAGATGCTTGGTAGTAATTTTGACTTCGGCTGTCAGCAGCTTAATGATGAGCCATATTGTTATGGCCGGTCTTTCCCCCGCTGGTTTGGAGAGCTGCCCCGGATCAAGCGGAAGGGCTACCACCCTCCTGCCATCAAGTGGGGGTCCCCTCCTCATTGTTGCCCTTACAGGGTGACTTTTGACCCTTTCCAGGGTCCCCCAGTAGGGTGAAATTGGACGCTGAAGACGGAGGTCACCTCCATGCGTCCAAAGGCACCGATGGCAAACTGGAAGTCCAGGCCAGATCATGTTTGAATGGAGGCATTACACTTGTGCATGTGTGCTTTTTATTTCTTTGCCTCCACTATCTAAAGATCAGATGGGTTTACCCTTCCGGGCAAATTTTAAGAACGAAAGAAGGAACCTTGAAGTTGTCTAAGGTATCACTCTGAGAGAGTGCAAGCGCATAAATCATGTACTTTTCTTCTATGCAGAAACCTGTTGCATTTTCCTTTTTAGTAAAAAACGATCACCATATTTCTAAAGTTTTCTTAACGTTTAGGATAACCCAAGGAATATTTGGCTTAGGAGCTAATATAAAAACGAAGTAAAACAATCGACAGCACTAGAAGGTTCTCTCTCATCATTGGGACTCTCTCCCCCCCCACTTTATTTTCTCTTAATTTTTGGGATGAGGAAAGAGAGCTTCCCTGTAATGATGGCAAACGTTTTGGGCTTGGCCTCTCCACAATTTGAAAAAGGTTTACCTTAACTCTTGAGTGTCGCCCCCTCCCCTGAATACAAGTGAAATGATTCTCTCTCTGCCCTCTCCATCTATGCCACCCTGAACAATGGCAATCTGAGAATAAAAGAGAAAAGAAAGAAAGAAAGAAAGAAAGAGAGAAAGAGAGAAAGAAAAAGAAAGAAAAAAAGAGAAAGAAAGAAAGAGAGAGAGAGAGAGAAAGAAAGAGAAAGAAAGAAAGAGAGAGAGAAAGAAAAAGAAAGAAAGAAAGAAAGAAAGAAAAAGAGAAAGAAAGAAAGAAAGAGAGAGAGAGAAAGAAAGAAGAAAGGAAGAAAAAGAGAAAGAGAGAAAGAAAAAGAAAGAAAAAAGAGAGAGAAAGAGAAAGAAAGAAAGTGAGAAAGAAAAAGAGAAAGAGAGAAAGAGAGAGAGAGAGAGAGAAAGAAAGAAAGAAAGAAAGAAAGAAAGAAAGAAAGAAAGAAAGAAAGAAAGAAAGAAAGAAAGAAGGAACAGAGACAGGGTCAGGATCAAAATATTATTCTCTCCTATATCTTATAATGTATTTTAAACTATTATTAATATCTATAATACAAGGTGAAAAAAATGAAAAGGGGAAAAAAAAGAAAATAAGCAGAGAAATTGCATGAGTAAATAAATACATTAATAAAAAAAGAAGTGGAACCCCCCACCCCGACCCCGAAAACTAAGAAAACTGTTCATTCAGATTTGGTTTTTTTGGCCTTAGCACTTTCTGTTGTGATAATAAATATGTGTTTCCTAATTGGAGGGAAACAATAATTCATGTATTTGATACCTAAATTGGCAGTGATAGCATGGGTAGAGCAGAGAAATCCAGGGTATCTTGAATCCTTATGTATCTCTATGCACATTGTGGTTGTGTTAATGTGGAAGAATATTGAAAAAAGAAAGGAAAGGGAAAACAAAGTCTCAGAATATTTATTAATTCATGTTTGGGGGTTTTGGCCCTGTTGCTCCAACTTTTAATAAAAAAAAATATTTCTTTCCTATTTGGAGAATGCAGTCATTCATATGTGTCCTATATAGCAACGAAACAATTGGAGAAGTCATATATGTTATTATGGGAACATCAGACTGATACCCTTATACTTCCCTTATAGGAAAATGGCAGTGAAATGATGGGAAAAATTATGGTAAGTAACTCATTGTTTATCTTGTGCTCTTTTATGAAGTCAAAGTCTTTCTCAAGGTTGTTTTGTTAGCTCCTTAGTGTTATGGAGCTCATGGATTGTACATATTCTAGCTACTAATTCAATCCTCTTTCTGTGGTTTGCATAATGTATTAAATGATGAAGTGACAAAATAACCTGCACTCACACAACTCAGTAAACCACAAAACAATTGCATAAAAATCTAACTCAGATTACTACTGTCCAACTTTGTGGTGCTGTGCCAGTGTAGCTGTTTGGGTTTTTATTGATGTGGTTAGGTAACTAGCATGAATCTAGGTTCACATGAAATGAAGACACACGATGGATATACCCAGAAAAGCTATAGCCTCAAGAGACATGTCTATTAAATTGGGGGTCCCCAACCTTTGTGGCTTGGTGGCCCAGCTGGAGGGGGGAAGGGAACTGGGTTGCGTGAACAGTGGCTGGCATGCATGCACATAAGGGCCCACCAACCCATCACTCATGGAAGTTGACCTGCATTCATGCATGCATTCTGGCCAGCCACTCACATGGCCAAATTCTGAATAGGCTATGGCCAGGGGTTGGGGACCCCTGTATTAAAAGACAGACACATTCCTATCTGAAGAAGGAAGGAATTCATTTTTATTATATATGAGATGGCAAACATCACACGGTTGGAGAAGATATGTTGTCATATGAGAATAGAGTTGATAACCTTTTTTTTCCATTGCAGAGTGAAATTGGTGAGGAAGGTCGAGAACAAATAATAGTAAGTAGCTCTTGGACCATCTTTTTTCCTTTTTCATGTGAAATATCTTCCTTGCATAGGATCAAGCAGCCCATTTTGAATTCAACCCACCGAAATTTAGCTGAAAGTATTTAGCTATACCAAGGATATATTTAGGAGGGTAGTTATCTTGTTTTATGGTGTATACCAGTGGTGGCGAACCTATGGCACGGGTGCCAGAGGCGGCACTCAGAGCCCTCTCTGTGGGCACGCGCACCGTCGCCCCAGTCCTAGGCCTTCAGCTGGGTTTTATAAAACCTTTTCGCTTGAGGCCTCCGCTGCCCTGTGCAAAAAAAAAGGTTCAATCAATCAGTCAATTTCAACTTCAAGATCTTGCAAAGTTGGAATGGATTGATTGAACTTTTTAGTCCCACCCAGTCTGCCGTTACCACCGCAGCCACGCCCACCCAATGGGCCACACCCAGCCAATGGGCCACACCCACCCAGCACCCGATGATGCATAAGTGGGTTTTGGGTTGCAGTTTGGGCACTCGGTCTCTAAAAACTTTGCCATCATTGGTGTATACACACTCTTTTTTTTTTTTTTTTTTTAAAAAAAGACACTTCTACCCACTACCACCATTTGGAGAGTGGCTGGGTGTGTGTGGAGTCTTTGAATGTTTTAGGACTCAGGATGGCCAAAATCATTTTTGAACATTTTTTGGACCAGAAAATGTTCTGAATTTAAGCTGACATTGGGATGCTGTTGTGGGATTTTCAGAATAACACAATTGGAAGTGACCTTAGAAGTCTTCTAGTCCAACTTTCTGCTCAAGCAGGAGACCCTACACCAGTGGTTCTCAACCTTTTTAATGCCGCGACCCCCAACCGGTTGTAAGTCGAGGACTAAACTGGTCATAAGTCGAGGACTAAACTGGTTGTAAGTCGAGGATTACCCAACCGGTTGTAAGTCGAGGACTTTCCCTGCCCAGGAAGGCTGTGCATGTGTGGTGCTGCCCCTGCGCCGGCCGAGGTGTAGCTGGCAAGCGGCAGAGACGGAGCAGGCCGACCACCGGCTGGGCCACCAGCTGGCCCAGCCCAAGGGAAGTAAGGCACCTGCCGGAAAAGGGGAAAAAATGGCGGACAGCCTTGCTTGGCGACCCCCATGAAATGGTTGATCGACCCCAAATGGGGTCGCGACTCATAGGTTGAGAACCACTGCCCTACACCATTCTAGGCAAATAGCTGTCCAATCTCTTCTCTAAAACCTCCAGTGATGGAATACCACAATATCTGGAAGCAAGCTGTTCCGTTGATAAATTTTTCTCACTGTCACAAAAGTTCTCCATAATTCTAGGTTTGATCTCTCATTGATAGACTTCCATCTGTTTCTTTTTATCCTGTCCTCTGATGCTTTGGAGAACAGGTTAACCTCCTCTTCTCTGTGACAACCTCTCAGATATTGGAAGGCTGCTATCATGTCACTCCTAGTCCTTCTCTTTGTTAGACTAGACCAGTAATGGTGAACCTTTTAGAGACCAAGTGTCCAAACTGCAACCCAAAACCCACTTATGCATTGTTGGGTGCCAGGTGGGCATGGCCAATTGGGTGGGTTTGGCCCATTGGGTAGGCGTGGCTGTGGTGGTAACGGCAATCTGGGTGGGACTAAAAAGTTCAATCAATCAATTCCAACTTTGCAAGAGGTTTTTTTACTGCGAAAAGTTGAAATTGATTGATTGAACCTTTTGTTTTGTACATGGCAGTGGAGGCCTAAAGCGAAAAGGTTTTATAAAATCCAGCTGAAGGTCTAGGACTGGGGCGATGGTGCACGTGCCCACAGAGAGGGCTCTGACTGCCGCCTCTGGCACCCGTGCCACAGGTTTGCCACCACTGGACTAGACATACCCAGTTCTGGTAACCATTCATCATATGCTTAAGCCTCTGGCCCACTAATCATATATGTTGTTCTTCTCTGGACTCTTCCTAGAATCTCAATATCTTTTTTGTATCAAAACTGGACACAAAATTCCAAGGGTGGTCTTACCAGTTCAGTATAAAGTGGTACTGAAGTTGAAACTCAAATACTTTGGCCACCTAATGAGAAGGAAGGACTCACTGGAGAAGGGCCTAATGCTGGGAAAGATGGGGGGCAATAGAAGAAGGGGACGACAGAGAATGAGATGGCTGGATGGAGTCACTGAAGCAGTAGGTGTGAACTTAAATGGACTCCAGAAGATGGTAGAGGACAGGAAGACCTGGAGGAAGGTTGTCCATGGGGTCGTGATGGGTCGGACACGACTTCGCAATTAACAACAACAATAAAGTGGTACTAACACTTCACTTGATTTTGATGCTATCCCTCTGTTGAAGCAGCTTAGAACTGCATTGGCTTTCTTGGCAGTTGCAGCATTATTGGCATCCTTCAGTTTTGAGAGACTATGGTATCGTGCTCTGGAAAATGGTCCTAAAGCAGCATCGGGTGTGGTTAAAAAGGCCAATTCGAGAATGGCACTCCCTTCGACACTGAGGGCAGATACAATCTGTCCCCTGTCCAGCCCCCGGATTTTGCTGGTTCCGGGACTGCCTCTTTGCTTCAGCCTGCCGCACAAGTGTCTCTTCGAATTGGAGAAGGCCATGCTGCCTCTTTAGCCTCCAGGCTGAACAATCAGAGGTCAAGGATTCCCAGCTGTTAATGTCCATTTCCAAGGCTTTAGGTCCCTCTTGCAGATATCCTTATATCGCAGCTCAGGTCTCCCTCTGGGGCGCTTTCCTTGCACTAGTTCTCCATACAGAAGATCTTTCAGAATCCGACCATCAGCCATTCTCACGACATGCCCAAGCTAGCATAGACATCGCTGTTTCAATAGTGTACACACGCTAGAGATTCCGGCACATTTCTGCTGCAGCATACTGTTGACTCCTAAGTGGTTGTTCACAAGGATTCCTAGTTCCCTCTCACAGTTATTGCTGTTGAGCCAGTTACCACCTGTTCTATACCTGTGCATTTGGTGTTTCTTGCCTAAGTGTTAAACTTTATTTTTTTCACCGCTGTATTGCATTTTGTTGGATAGGATTCAGGTTCCAGGTCTGGCAAGATCCTTCTATATCTTGAGCCTATCTCCTAAAACAGGGATCCTAGCCCCCGGTCTGTGAGGTCCTGTTAGGAACTGAGCCATGCAAGTGAGTGAAGCTTCATTTGTGCATGCATGGGATCTAGGTAGCATGCAAAACCATTCCGTTTGCCCCCCACCCCCATCCAGTCTGTGGAAAAATTGTTTCCCATGAAACTGATCCCTGGTTTCAAAAAGGTTGGGGACTGTTGTTCTAAAATGCTGGCTATTCCCCCCCCCCCCCGGCTTGGTAATGTGTGCAGATTTTTAAAAACTTTTTTATTATTATTTTATTCAAAATATTAAAATACCAACTCCCCCCAAAAGAAAAAAAAATACAAAAGCAAAACAAAGCTAAATAATACTATACCAAAAAAGTGCATAAATAAAATAGACCTATACATAAATGGTGCCCTAGTTGAATACTGATAAATATATTTCAAAGATAATAACTCTTCCCCTTTCTTGCAAAGCAGGCATGCAATTAATAATAATAATAATAATAGTAGTAGTAGTAGTAGTAGTAGTAGTAGTAGTAGTAGTAGTAGTAGTAGTAAAGTTGGAAGGGACCTTGGAGGTCATCTAATCTAACCCCCTGCTCAGGCAGGAAACCCTATCCCATTTCGGACAAATGGCTGTCCACTCTCTTCTTAAAAACTTCCAGTGTTGGAGCATTCACCGCTTCTGGAGGCAGGTTGTTCCACTGGTTAATTGTTCTCACTGTCAGGAAGTTTCTCCTTAGTTCTAGGTTGCTTCTCTCCTTGATTGCTTCTTGTCCTGCCTTCAGGCGCTTTGGAGAATAGCTTGACTCCCTCTTCTTTGGGGCAGCTCCTGAGATATTGGAATACTGCTATCATGTCCCCCCTCGTCCTTCTCTTCGTTAAACTAGACATCCCCAATTCCAGCAACCGTTCCTTATATGTTTTAGTCTCCAGTCCCCTGATCATCTTTGTTACTCTTCTCTGTACTCTTTCTAGAGTCTCAACATCTTTTTTGCATCGCGGTGACCAAAACTGGATTTATAAATATAAATTTCTACAACAGTATTTACCCAATGCAGGTAGCCTGAAATCTACCCAGTATATAAAAACATAATTAACAGGTAAAACCAACAGCTAAATTAAACTTCTAAGCCCTCTGTTAACAATCTATTTATTGTATTTCACTTGCAGAAAATTGACAGTTGGCTTCTTTTCTACCATAAGTCTCTGGTCTGTCCAGGATTAAATAGGCTATATTGATTTTTAATAATAAGGCTTTTCCTTAAAATTTTAAACTAGATCTTTTCTAACGATTGGATTTTATTCCCCAACATCACAAGTCTCAGTTGTGTATATTTCAGAAAGGTGAAAATGCAAATCTGCATATTTAATAATGAGTGTATTTCACATTTGGAGGAGGGAGAGGTAGAAAAGGTAGAATAGAAGGAGCCTAGGTGAAGCAGAATAAGGATGTCTTTCTTACCTGAATAATTACCATATTTTCCGGCGTATAAGGCAATTCGGCGTATAAGATGACCCCCAACTTTGGCGCCGATTTCCATGCCTAGAAAGTCGTCTTATACACTGGAAACTACCGTAATTTCCGGTGTATAAGACGACTCGGCGTATAAGACGACCCTCGACTTCGGCGCCATTTTCAATGCTTTAGAAAGTCGTCTTATATGCCGGAAAATACGGTATATAACTAAACTGAATCTAGATTCATGTATGCAGTGTGGACACGTAGAGCAATGATTTCAAAAGCGTGTTCTCCCCCAAGTGCCATGCCTGGTAAAACTTTTCTTTTCTAAGCAATTATCTTATATGCTGATGAATACGGCACAATAATTATTCCTCAGGTTTCTCGATGCATATTTTATTTCCGTGAATGTGAAAGAACATTGAAAAGAGAATTAAAACCTTGGGTGTGTGTACATTTCTAGTGTTGAGATCCAATTGGGGACATGCCTGTAGTTCGGTCGTCGAATTTTGATCCATACATCTATTAGTGCCCATCTGATGTAGTGCCTCCGGAAGTACTGGTGAACTTTATGCTTCTCATCCCATAACATGGCATGCCATCCCATCTGCATGTCATGACCTTCCAGTTTTAATAATCTCCGATTTTTCAGTCAAATCCAATCCCGCACCCACGGTAGAATTGTAGATTGATAGTATTTTTCCAGATCGGGGAGGCCGAGACCCCCCCCCCCCTTCCTTAGCATCCTGTAATAATTTTAATTTAATCCTTGTTTTTTTCCCTTGCCAAATGAATTTAAGTATGGTTTGGTTGAAATTTCGAAAGAATTCCTTTTCTAATCTAATTGGTATACATTGAAATAGGAATAATATTTTAGATAATATGTTCATTTTAATTACGGCAATTCTACCCATGAAAGAAAGCTGGAGATTTGTCCAAGTCTGTTTTAATCTGATCCATTAATTTGTCATAATTGTCTCTTTTAATTGTTACACACCTAGCGGTTCGATGTATCCCTAAGTATCTTATTTTCTTTGTGATCTGAATACCTAATTTATCAGCTAGTTTGTTTTTCTGTGATCTAATCATATTCTTCACAAGTATTTTGGTTTTGGTATTTTGATGTGGATCAGTTTATTATGAAACCTGGGATAAATTTTACCGCTGGAGGAATTCGAAGAGGACGGTCGGGATTAAAGATGAATGTTAAGATAGAAATATATGTTATTTTAGAACAAGTATTGTGTATAAAACTTAGATGTATATGTAGAGATGAAGAATTGATTGTAAAAAGTGGAACAATCTGATAAGAAGGTATATACTGGAATGTCGTATTAAATCCAATGTTTGTTTGTTTTTAACTGTATTATAAATAAAATTTGTAAAAAAGAAAAAGAAAAAAAAGAAAGAAAAGAGAAATAAAAGAAAAGAAAAGCCTGAGAACACTGTTAATTCAAATTTGTTTTTTTCAGACTAAGTACTCACTGTTCTGATAAAAATGTGTCTTTCCTTAGCGGAGGGAAGTAGCAATTCATTTAATAAAATCTAAGATGGTAATGAATGATACAGACAGAAAGGTCCCGGGTGTCTTCATTTCAGAATACAATTTGATGTGCTTGTTTCCCTTTTAGAATGCTTTGGAGGAATACGAACTTGAAAAATTAATGGTGAGTGGTACTTTTTTCAATTTCATCCTATGGTTCTGCATAATAGACTTTTTGCATGCAATGAAGCATCCCTGTGTTATAACAACCCTGACCCCAAACCCACTTCATTTAAGTTGTATGTGTGGACAAGGGCTTTGCAGAGTTGCCCCCAATGACATTGTGCTCTGGAGAAGATTGTTGTGGACAACTTCTATCTCTCCCTGCAGTTTCTGTCCCATTTTGGTGTGGTCCAAATACAGTTTTATTGGTGTATTTCCTCAGCTCATTTTCCAGGTTTCTTTCACAGAAAACATTGTGGAAGCCAGAAAAAGGGATTTTTCAAATGATCCAAAATTATAATGAAGTCTAAATCTTTCTCTGGGTTATTTAGTCCACACTTTTAGAACATAGAACAATAGAGTTGGAAGGGATCTCAGAGATCTTGTAGTCCAGCCCCCTACTTGAGCAGGAGACCCTATATCAGGGGTAGGCAACCTTGGCTCTTTTATGACTTGTGGACTTCAACTCCAGGGTTGCCTACCCCTGCCCTATACTATTTCAGACAAATGTTTGTCTAGTCTCTTTTTGAAAGCCTCCAATGATGGAGCACTCACAACATCTGAAGGCAAGCTATTCCATTGATTGATTGCTCTCACCGTTAGGAAATAGCTCCTAAGTTCTAGGTTGGTTCTCTTCTTGGTTAGTTTCCATCCATTGCTTCTTGTCCTGCCTTCAGGTGCTTTGGAGAACAGGTTGAACCCTTCTTCTTTGTGGTATCCCCTCAGATATTGGAACATTGTTATCATATCACTCCTAGTCCTTCTTTTCACTAGACTAAACAGACCCAATTCCTGCAACTGTTCTTCACATGATTTAGCTTCCAGCCCCCTAATTATCTTTGTTGGTCTCTTCTGCACCTTTTCTAGAGTTCAACGTGGCGACCAAAATTGGATGCCATATTTCAAGTGTCATCTTATCAAGGCATTATAAAATGGTACTAACAATTTGCTTGATCTTGATTCCATCCCTCTGTTAATGCAGCTTAAGATTGCATTGGCTTTTTTTTAGTGTTGTGCTGCTGGCTCATATTTAAGTGGTTGTTCACTAGAACTCCAAGATCCCTCTTGCAGTTATTACTATTGAGCCAAGTAACCACCTATTTTATATCTATGCATGTGGTTTTTCTTGCCTAAACTTTTCTCACCATTGAATTTCATTTTAATAGAATAGAATAGAATAGAATAGAATAATAACTTTAATAATGATAATTTTGTTAGATAGGACCCAGTGTTCAAGTCAAGATCTTTCTGTATCATTTCTGTTTGAGACAGAAATTCAATACAAGTTAGAACAATTAACCAGTGGAAAAACCTGCCTCCAGAAGCGGTGAATGCACCAACACTGGAAATTTTTAAGAAGAGGTTTTCATTGTAAAATTGTAAAAAATTATAATTAAAAAAAAAAGAAGAAGAGACTGGACAGCCATTTGTCTGAAATGGTATAGGGTTTCCTGCCTGAGCAGGGGGTTGGACTAGATGATCTCCAAGGTCCCTTCCAACTTTATCATTATCATTATTATCATTATTATCATCATCATCATTATTATTATTATTATTACTATTACTATTATTATTCCACTAGATTGTCTGTGCAGGTTTCAGTTGTGTGATAGTGGATTAATATTGAAAAGAGAACAAAACAAACCAAACTGTTTTAGGGGACAATTCATTGAAGTGTGCCTTTTTTTGCCAAATCATGATTTGCTGTGATAAGAAATGTGTGTATCTCCTCTGTAGAATAAGATTTAAAAAATGGTAGGAATGGCATGGATATTTCTTTATTTCAAAGCTTTATATAGTTGCCAATGTTATGCATCAGAAACGAGATTAGTGAAGTTCAAATATAAGGTCATGTTGAAACAGAAGTAATACTTATTTTCCTTGCAGGATTGTATAGAAAGCAACTGTAAAATGAAGGATTTCATGGTAAGTACCTGTTTGTTCATCCTCTGTTCTTCCCTTGTGAAATATCGTTCTTGCATGCAGTGAATTCCCCCTTTTGCGATTCCGCTCCCACCCCCAGAAACCATCTCTATTGTCCCCAGAGCATCAGGAAAGAAGGCAAGGCAAAAATCTTGGGCCAACTTCAGGCACTGGTTTACTCTTAAAATGCACCCATCACTTGCATTGCTGTGAAGCAGGGTGCTCTAAGGCAAGGAAAGGTCAATGGGATTATCCATTATTGTTACTGGTGTTCTTATTCATAGTACTATTACCTAAAGTGCAGATAGTCCTTGGATTATGAGAATAATTGGGAAACTGTTGCTAAACAACACCGTCATAAAGCATGTCACGTGGTCATGTCACTTAGCGACAGCAATCCCAGCAATTCAGGTTGTGGTCCTTGGGTAAAGATAGGTCATTAAGGAAGGACCTTGTGTGACTGTGACTTCTGTGACGTCTGATTTCCTACCAGTTTCCCCAATGACTTTGCTTATGGGAAGTCAGCAAGGAATATTGGAAATCACAATCCTGTGACTGTGAGGGCCAGAATTCTGAGGAGTCATTGTAAGTTCCCTTCATTCAGTGCCATTGCAATTGTTACTCTTCTCTGTACTGTTTCTAGAGTCTCAACATCTTTTTTACATTGTGGTGACCAAAACTGGATGCAGTATTCCAAGCGTGGCCTTACCAAGGCATTATAAAGTGGTATTAACATTTCATGTGATCTTGATTCTCTCCCTCTGTTAATGCAGCCTGGCACTGTGTTGGCTTTTTTTAGCAGCTGTGGCACATGGCTGGCTCATATTTAAGTGATTGTCCACTAGGACTCCAAGATCCCTCTAACAGTTGCTACTGTTGAGCAAGGAACCACACATACTATACTTGTGCGTTTAGTTTTTCTTGCCTAAATGTAGAACCTTACTTTTTTCACCATTGAATTTCATTTTGTTAGATAGCACCGAATGTTCAGCTCTGTCAAGATCCTTCTCTAGGTCAGTGATTCTCAACCATGGCAAGTTTAAGATGTGTGGACTTCAATTCCCAGAAATCTCCAACCAGCATGTGGGTAGGGAATTTTGGGAGTTGACATTCATATACGTTAAAATTGTCAAAGTTGGGACACACTAAGTTATTATAAATTATAGCTGTTATTACCATATCACGTTGGGATAAGTTATTATAAATTATAGCATCACCATATAACTCTGGCTCCTAATCCTATCTCCATTTTATTTTGTTATATGTATGGTCAGGACCCTTTGGAACCCACCCCAGGGGTAAATGTTTGGCATGGGAAGGGTCCCTATAAATTTCCTTTTCTCTGCTTGTGGTTTTTCTCTCTGCAAAATGCCAAATGGTTTCAATTCAACCATGAGGTCTGAATTGCACTTAAAATGAAGACTGAATGGTAAAAGGAGGGTTTAATATTAGGTTGGGATATGGCTTTTGGAGAAATTCAGTTCTGGCCTTGCAAAGAGGGAAGGAGAAGAAAATGGTCATTCAGCTCTGTATAAGGCAGTGGTTCTCAACCTTTTTATACGGCGACCCCCGGTCACACGGACGCGCCGTGCATGCGTGGCGCTGCCCCCTGAGGGGGGAAAATGGCGGATCGCGTTGTTTGGCGACCCCCGTAAAATGGTCGTTCGACCCCAAATGGGGTCGCGACCCATAGGTTGAGAACCGCTGGTATAAGGGATGAGAAAGACGATCAGACTAGCCCCAACATGACTTGTCACTAAAAAGGAGTAATGAAGCTTTGGATGGGTCTTCAAGTTTCTGCTACTAAATCTGACAACAATATAGTAGCATTCCTGGAATTCTTGCAATGGCTTCCCTTGACCTTGGTTGCTTCAAAGCGTTGATGTGGCTTTGTGTACCTTCTCTGATGATGTGAGGCCATTCACATCAATATCCTCACCAGTTTATGTTAATGGACTGCAGTGGACCAGACAAAGCCTATCTGGATATTTATGTTATACAGTGGCACAATGTAGTTATGAAACAGGATAATGGTATTTGTCCTTCACTGTAGGCTCTCGTACAGAGGATGGTCAGTGTTCTTAAGGGAATATCATATGGTGATCAACTGATATATAAAATGATAGTAAGTACACACACACTTAAGCTCTCTTCTATGTCTTCTATGTTATCCTTCTTAGATATAATTTGATCTGACCTCTTGAGCCTCACTCCCACCAAAGGATCTCCAGATAGTTCAGGAAGAATTCCATCAGGATGCTATAAGCTCTTGGGAACATTTGAAGGAGAGCATCCTTTTGACAATTGAAAGAATCCGGCTTCATAGGTCTTCCCCGTAGCTCAGGAAAAAGGCTTAAAAGAGAATGTCAGGAAACGTTTAGAATGGCTGCACAATGATGTGTCTTTTAAGAATAAAAATATCACAAAATGGAAACTAAGCAAGGAGAGAAGCAACCTAGAACTAAGGAGAAACTTCCTGACAGTTAGAACAATTAACCAGTGGAACAACCCTGCCTCCAGAGGTGGTGAATGCTCCAACACTGGAAGTTTTTAAGAAGAGACTGGACAGCCATTTGTCCGAAATGGTGTAGGGTTTCCTGCCTGAGCAGGGGGTTGGACTAGATGACCTCCAAGGTCCCTTCCAACTTTACTGTTATGGATCATTGCACAGTCAGCCAGATGTTCAGACTGGATTTGGCATTTTGTCTACCTATCGAGTCCTTACCCAGGACCTGGGATAGGCAGATGTGGATGTTTGATGGTATTACAGGTATCGTCGCAGGATGTAAGCAGTTCCTAGCAAGGCTGCCTTTTGCAATTGACTAATGGCAAATTTGTCAATGCCAATGGTGTTCAAATGGTGCTCCAGTTGTTTTGGGATTGCACCCAAGGTGCCTATGACTATTGGTACTACCCTTGCTTGCTTTGCCACAGTCTTTCTATTTCTATTTGTAGGTCTTTGTATTTTGTTATTTTCTCCAGCTCTTTCTCTTCTATTCTGCTATCTCCAGGCACTGCCACGTCCACTATCCAGACTTTTTTGTCTTTCTTATCGACAATTGTTAAGTCTGGGGTGTTATGTTGCAGGTGCTTGTCTGTTTGAATTCTGAAGTCCCAGAGCAGTTTAATTTTATCATTTTCTATGACTTTCTCTATTACTACTACTATTATTATTATTATTATTATTATTATTATTATTATTATTATTATTATTATTACAAGTGAAAGAAACAATGATAGTATGGGCAAAGATGGCAGGTAATCTCTGTGATTTTATATCCAATCCACAGATCCTTAGAAAAGAAGTTTTCTAGATGTATTTCCTGAATTACCAATTAAATATCTCTACACCATTTGTCTGAAATCGTATAGAGTTTCCTGCCTGAGCAGGGGGTTGGACTAGATGACCTCCAAGATCCCTTCCAACTTTATTATTATTATTATTATTATTACTACTACTACTACTACTATAAAAACATTTTGCTCACAATAACAAGAAGTCTCAGAATGCTATTAATTCATGAGTCTTTTAAGCGTTATCATTTCTGCTTAGAAGGGCACAGTTCCTACCTGGAGAATGAAAGATATAGATGAAGATGATATTGAAGTATTGGAGTTATCTGTGATGATATAGTTATTGATAATTACCTTATCAGAATAGAACTGACCTCCCTTCATTTCCTTTGTAGAAGGCATTCGTCAGACGAGGTCTTCTGGCTGAACTGGTGGTAAGTAGCTTTGATTTACGTTCTTCCGTTTCTTTCTTTAATTTCTTCTTGCCTCTGAACAAGCACCTTTACATTTTTTATTTTATTTTAAGCAGCTTAAAGCAACCAATTTACTGCTTTTGAGACAAAAATAAAACCCACCAGCTTAATTGGACAGAGGTTTCTCCTGGGACTGAGTGCTAAATAAAAAAAATGTTGATCTTTGACATGGATGTCCCTGTGAGGACTATTTCTCTGTACATAGTGTAGTTGTGTGAATGTGGGAGCAGACTGAAAAGAGAAATAAAAGAACAAAGGGCCTCAGGATGCTGTTAATCCATGTTTGTCTTTTTGGTCCCAGATCACTTCCTGCTGTAATAAGTAATGTATGTTTGCTATCTGGAAGAATGAAGAAATTCAATTTTATGTGATATGAAATGGCAGAGATAGCATAGCTGGGAAAATCATGTATGTTCTCGTGTGAGAATAGAGCTCATGTCCTTTATTTCCATTGTAGAATAAACTGAGTGAGGAACATATGTTGGAAATAATTGTAAGTAGCCCTTTCACCATCTTCCCTCTTTCCTTGTGAAATATCTTTCTTGCGTGCGATCAAGCAACCTGTCATGGTTCCGACAGCAGAGACGAATAAAGCAGAACTCCGAGGCTTGCAAATTCCTCAAAGAACATGTTTATTAGTTACAAAGTATTGGCACGGTCAAAAGTGAAACCAAGTCTGGATACACAAGTAACAGTTTCCCAATACAAAGCCAAACATCCCACCCAATTTACTATGCAAGCAACTACATTCCCCAATATGATTATTTGGCAGGCTTTTGATGCAACACCCAGTCTCTAGGCAGCCAATGACCTTGGTTCCCATGGGACCAAAGATTATTATGACTAACTAAGCACCTGAACAACCCCTCTCCCTCCATTCTATGTGGCAACTGAAAATGAGAAGAAATCATGATTGCAGCCATGCTCATTTGTAGAGTTGACACAGACCTTTTCAGATTCCACCCCATACTCACAAAAATTTAGGAGTTATATACAAAGTACTGAGATATACTCAAGTTATATATTTGGGAGGACAGTTACCTTGTTTTATGATGAAAGCCATAATACTGATTCTTAAAAAGACATTGCACACTTCCCACCCATCCTCAAAATTCGTCGGGTGGGTGGTGGTGTGTTGAGTAGTTAAGTAAGGGTTTTAGGAGTCAGGATGACCTACATCTTTTTTGAACCTTTTTTTCTGACCAGAAAATACTCTGAATCTGAGCTGATGTTCTTGTAGCAGCTGGAAGAAGAAATGAGATGTGATTGTGGGATTTCAATATCCCTTTTCCTCACATGGCTACACTGAAAATCAAGAGCACATTTGCATTAAGAGGGGGAAGAGGCAAAGGAAGTCGTGCGATTGGTTGTTCGTATGGAGCTGTATTTGAATTCTGAGCAGCTGATTGGTTCTCTTGTTGATTAGTCATTCAAATGGTCTGGTTTCTTACATATTCATATGCTGGATCGAAATCAATGTGCTTGTTCATTGTTCCTTTGGTAGAATATCAGGTCTCGATGAATTCTCGTGTACGGTGGGTGTTGACATGCCTAATGATTTTTATTCATTCCCAATCGAACTGGTGTTGTTTATTATCAATGTGGTTTGAGATCAGGGATTTTTGGTCATGCCGTTTAACTGCTAGTTGATGTTCATAAACTCGTGTTTTCAATTGCTTTCCTGCTTGTCCCACATAGACTTGGTTATAATTGATTTTGTATATTATGTTGCTGTTGTCTTCTTTTTGTATTTTGTCTTTGATTGATATTGATCTAGATCCAGCATATGAATATGTAAGAAACCAGATCGTTCGAACTGCCAGTCAACAAGAGAACCAATCAGCTGCTCAGAATTTAAATATAGCTCCTAACAAACAACCAATCAAACAACCAATTGACCACACTGGCACACAAGACATTTGTAATCTAAAGAGAATAGGACAGTGATGGCGAACCTTTTAGAGACCGAGTGCCCAAACTGCAACCCAAAACCCACTTATGCACCGTCGAGTGCCGGGTGCGTGTGGCCCATTGGGTGGGCATAGCCCATTGGGTGGGCGTGGCCCATTGGGTGGGTGTGGCTGCGGTGATAACGGCAGACTGGGTGGGACTAAAAAGTTCAATCAATCAATTCCAAATTTGAAAGATCTTTTTTTTTCTGCGAGAAGTTGAAATTGACTGAACCTTTTTTTTTTTTTTGCACATGGTGGCGGAGGCCTAAAGCGAAAAAGTTTTATAAAACTCAGCTGAAGGGCTAGGACTGGGGCAACGGTGCGCTTGCCCACAGAGAGGGCTCCGAGTGCCACCTCTGGCACCAGTGCCATAGGTTCGCCACCACTGGAATAGGACAAGAAAATCCTGCTTATGATGTTCGCTAGTTCGATAATGAAACATTTAGAAACTATATTGAAACAAGCTTGGGAGAGCAAGACCCTGAACACTGTTAATTCAAATTTGGTTTTTTTAGACTAAGCACTGTATGTTTTGATAAGAAATATGTGTGTCCTAGGTGGAGGGAAGCAGCATGTAAATGATATCTAAGACGGTAGTGGTGGCAGGGAAAGAGAGGTTCTGCATGTCCATGTCAGAATGGAATTTGATGTAGTTGTTTCCTTTGTAGAATGCTTTGAAAGCAGGGGAAATTGTTAAATTAATGGTAAGTAGCCTTTTGTTTATCTTCTGCCTTTTTCCTGAGTGATATTGAGATGTTGAGATATATGTTGAGACTCTAGAACAGCGGTTCTCAACCTGTGGGTCGGGACCCCATTTGGGGTTGAATGACCATTTCACGGGGGTCGCCAAACAACGCAGTCCACCATTTTTTCCCCTTTATCCTTAGCTGTGCTACTCCCTTTTATTCTATTGGCTTTTGAAAGCCAATAGAATAGACTCTCTTGAATAGAGTCTAATTCTATTGGCTTTCAAAAGCCAATAGGAATTGTCCAGGCTGCCTCTGCCCTGCTGAGCCCACCAAAAGCCCCATTCTGCAAACAGTGCTGCAAGTTGTCTGCAGTGAAGGCGAGCTGTCTGGAAGTTTCCACCCCTCCCTGCTGAGCAACTACTAAAAATGTAAGTAAAAGAGGGCCAGGGGTGGGAGGTGGGAGGCCGGCGGGTGCAGGGAGGGTTGCTGGCGCGTGTGGGGCCCGGCGGGTGCCTTACCTCCCTTGGGCTGGGCCAGCTGGTGGCCCAGCTGGTGGTTGGCCTGCGCTGTCTCTGCTGCTTGCCAGCTACACTTCGGCTGGCGCAGAGGGTGGCATCACGCATGCGCGGTGCTCCCAGGCAGGGAAAGTCTTTGACTTATGACCAGTTGGGTAGTCCTCGACTTACGACCGGTTGGGGTCGCAGCATTAAAAAGGTTGAGAACCACTGCTCTAGAAAGAGTACAGAGAAGAGCAACAAAGATGATTGGGGGACTGGAGGCTAAAACATAAAAGGAATGGTTGCTGGAATTGGGGATGTCTAGTTTAATGAAGAGAAGGACCAGGGGGGACATGATAGCAGTCTTCCTATATTTGAAGGGTTCCCACAAAGAAGGGAGGGGAGTCAAACTATTTTCCAAAGCGCCTGAAGGCAGGACAAGAAGCAACGGATGGAAACTAATCAAGGAGAGAAGCAACCTAGAACTAAGGAGAAACTTCCTGACTGTTAGAACAAATAACCAGTGGAACAACCTGCCTCCAGAAGCGGTGAATGCTCCAACACTGGAAGTTTTAAAGGAGAGACTGGACAGCCATTTGTCCAAAATGGTTAGGGTTTCCTGCCTGAGCAGGGGGTTGGACTAGAAGACCTCCAAGATCCTTCCAACATCATCACCATCATCATCATCATCATCATCATCATCATCATCGTCATTATTATTATTATTATGGATCATCGCACAGTCAGCCAGATGTTCAGACTGGATTTGGCATTTTGTCTACCTATCGAGTCCTTACCCAGGACCTGGGATAGGCAGATGTGGATGTTTGATGGTATTACAGATATCGTCGCAGGATGGAAGCAGTTCCTAATAAGGCTGCCTTTTGCAATTGACTAATAGCGAATTTGTCAATGCCAATGGTGTTCAAGTGGTGCTCCAGTTGTTTTGGGATTGCACCCAAGGAGCCTATGACTATTGGTACTACCCTTGCTTGCTTTTGCCACAGTCTTTCTATTTCTATTTGTAGGTCTTTGTATTTTGTTATCTTCTTCAGTTCTTTCTCATCTATTCTGCTCTCTCCAGGCATTGCTTGAGCCCTGACTGCCCAATCTATTAACAGATCTTTTTTGTCAGCAAGCATTTTATTTTTTGAAACAGAAATCGAATACATGCATTATTCCACTGAATTCTCCGGGCAGATTTTGGTTGTGTAAAAGTGGAAGAATATTGAAAAAAGAACAAAACAAAGTGTTTCAGAGCACAGTTCATCCAGGGGTACCTTTTCTGCCCTATCTATCCCTGTTCTGATAAAAAAATGTACATATCTCCTCTGTAGAATGAAGTGATTTACATATATGATATCAAAGATTGTAGTGATGGCATAGTTGGAGAAATCATGTGTGATATCTTTTCAGAATAAAAGTAACACCTTTTGTTTGTGTTATAGAATATGGATAAAGATCAAAATGATATTCCTGAGTTAATGGTAAGTAGATTTTGTTCATATTTGGTGCTTTCTTTGAATAATATTCTTCTTTCATGCAATAAACCATCCCTTTTGTTATTCCACACCTCATAAAAGCATCTTCAGAAAACCACAGAACAGAAACAGAGCAAGCAAGGCCAAGACATTGCACCTGTTTCGACTCTCCTTCTTAAAGCAGCTTCAAACAACTACTATTCTCCTTAAAACAACACTGACTCCAAAGTGGAGTGATGGTCCCTCTAGGGACTGAGTAGCAGACACAGAAAGGTGTATTTTGGAATTGTGCCTAAAGGACACTTTTGGGATGGGGAGGTTTCTCCAAAGTTACTTTTCTCTGCTTGTATTTTTTCCTCCCTGCAAAATGGTAAATTGTTGGCTCAAATGGTCTTTTGCTAGTAAGAGTTCTTTCCACATTTCCCTTCCCAGATTAATTTTATCTGAACATGTTTGGAAACTCAGTCTGACTTTGTTCTTCTTGAAAAAAAAAAAACCTCTTCTTCCTTATAGTTAATCAGAAAAAAGATAACACCCATTATCAAGAAAGCTGAGGTTGGCGAAGGACTGTCTAAACTGATAGTAAGTAGATAAGCACTTAACTTGTCTCATTTCTTCTATGTTTTCCATGTTATCCTTCTTAGATGTGACCACAATAGCTCTTTTGAGACTCATTTAACAGACAGGATTAACAGACATTCCAGGAAGAATTCCCCCAAGAAATTAAAAACTCTTGGGAATATTTAAAGGAGAGCATCATTATGACTATAATTAAAATTTGAGAGATTCTAATTTCATAGGTCTTCCCTGTGGCTTAGAGCAGGGGTCCCAACCATGAGTCTGGAGAGCAACACTGGTCGGTGGATCGCCAGGAATAGTCCACACAAGCAAGCAAAGCCCCATTCGTACACAGACAGGATGCAGGCAGTGTGCGATACCACACACACTCCAGTCCATGAAAAAACCACTCTCCATGGAACTGGTCCACGGCGTTCAAAGAAAAGTTTGGGGGCCACTGACTTAGAAGAAAGTGTCATGGTTCCAACAGACAGAGACGAATAAAGCAGAAGTCCAAGGTTTGAGAATTCCTCAAAGAACATGTTTCTTAGTTACAAAGTATCGGCACAGTCAAAAGTGAAACCAAGTCTGAATACACAAGTAACAATTGTTACTAGAAAGAGTACAGAGAAGAGCAACAAAGATGATTAGGGGACTGGAGGCTAAAACATATAAGGAACGGTTGCTAGAATTGGGTATGTCTAGTTTAATGAAGAGAAGGACGAGGGGGGACATGATAGCAGTCTTCCAATATCTCAGGGGTTGCCCCAAAGAAGAGGGAGTCAAGCTATTCTCCAAAGCACCTGAAGGCAGGACAAGAAGCAATGGGTGGAAACTCAACAAGGAGAGAAGCAACCTAGAACTAAGGAGAAACTTCCTGACAGTGAGAACAATTAATCAGTGGAACAGCCTGCCTCCAGAAGCAGTAAATGCTCCAACACTGGAAGTTTTTAAGAAGAGACTGGACAGCCATTTATCTGAAATGGTGTAGGGTTTCCTGCCTGAGCAGGGGGTTGGACTAGATGACCTCCAAGGTCCCTTCCAACTTTACTACTACTACTACTACTATTATTATAATTATCCAATTACAAAGTATATTGTCCCACCCACAAAACCATGAAAGCAACTACTTTCCCCCAGAAAGACTTAAAGAAAAAGACAAGAAACTCCATAAATATTTGCACTTTTCCTGAAGGTATCTGTTCATTCTACCTAATTGGATAAAGTAGGCATGCTTTAAAGTGCCTTCCCATAAAAGTTGCCATCTAGGCCAGTGTTTTTCAGATGTATAGGCTTCAACTCCCAGAATTCCCCAGCTTGTATGCTGGCTGTGGAATTCTGGGAGTTGAAGTCTGCATTTCTTAAAACTGCCAGGTTCAAGAAACACTGATGTAGAATTCCTATTTCAATGCCACTGACCTAGAGGTCCTGTCATGGTTCCGAAAGATGAAACTCTTCAAAGAACTTTGAGGCATTGTTTACCTTAAAGAATCTTTAATCGAGCAGCATAGCTTCAGCATGTACATGGTCGAAGCCAAAATCTGACTTCCCCTCCCTTCAGCACATAGATCAAAGCACAATTCCCTCTTACAACTAACAGTCATAAATCACATTCTCCAATTAGTTTGAAATCCTGGCTTTCCTCCAAGTTCTTTATCCCGCCATGCATTCTCAGCTCTTATTACAATATTGTATGTCTAACTAACTCCCATCACATTCCTCCCCCTCCCCCAGTATCATCTAATTCTAAGAGTAAAGTATAAGAAAGAAAAAGGCTGCATCTCCATATGTTGTCAAAGCAAGAACATCCAATGTTAGCAGTGTTGACAGTTTCTTTTCCATAGCAGCCCCTGCCCTCTGGAACACTTTTCCCATTGCGATTCAGCAGGTCTCTTAGAATCTACTTTTTTTCACCATCCAGAAGGCTCTGAAGACCATGATTTTCCCCTGAGCACTGGGAGAAGGTGAGGTTGGAGCCTGAAGATGGTGATGTCATCTAGGTTGGAGAATGGTTTGTCTTGCTCTTTGCTTTTATTTTCTATGGAGATTCTCAGTCGTGCAGGTCATGGTTGTCCCAAAGGTGCTTTTTCAAAAGACAACTGGACTTTGTTTTTCCTTGAAGATGTGAAGTTCTGAAGAAACTTCTTGGATGAGAAGCAAAATACCTTCAAGGAAAAAGAAAGTCCAGTTGCTGTCAACTTTAGAATGAGCATGGCTGCAGCCATTTTTTCCTTCTCATTTCTAGTTGACACATAGCACGTAGATAAAACAGACTTTTTCTCTTGGACTTTCTCTCATGGGAACCAAGGTCATCGGCTGCTCCTGAGACTGTGGGCTGGGCATTTCCTGAAAAGCCCACCAACTATCTGCATGGGGAAATATAGTTGCTTGCATAGCCTTAGGGATGGGATTTTTTAAACTTTGTATTGGGGAATTGTTATGCATCTCTTCAGACATGGTTTCACTTTTGAAGTGCCGATACTTTGTATCAATAAACATGTTCTTTGAGGAATTGCAAGCTATTTGTCTCTGTCTGTCGGAACCTTGACAGTTGCCTTTTGAAGAAGCACCTTTGCGACTTTGCTTTTATTGCATTTGTAGTGTTTTGGTTTCGAGCCACTGCTGTGAGCTACTCAGAGTTGTGTACCTTAAGATGTGTGGTCATATCTTAAAGGAATTGATGAACTAAAGAAATATGTATGTAGCGGAGCTGGGGTGAAAATGGGGCCGTCTGAGAGGTTTTGTGGGAGCCTGCCGATCCATTAGGGAAATGAGCTCTGGCAGCTGCTGTGAGTCTGGAGGTGGGGTGTGGCTCTGAGGAAGGAAGAAAAGGGAGGAGGAAGTCAATGGGGAAGAAGAGAGAAAGAGACCAGAAGGTGGCATTTGGCTGGACATCAAGCAGAACCAGCTGAGCAAAGAGAGAGAGAGAGAGAGTAGCTTATTGGAGCCTGCCATCCAGAGCCAGCTGAGCGAAGAGAGAGAGAGAGTAGCTTATTGGAGCCTGCCGTCCAGAGCCAGCTGAGCAAAGAGAGAGAGAGAGTAGCTTATTGGAACCTGCCGTCCAGAGTCAGCTGAGCAAAGAGAGAGAGAGAGAGAGAGAGAGTAGCTTATTGGAGCCTGCCGTCCAGAGCCAGCTGAGCAAAGAGAGAGAGAGAGAGAGTACCTTATTGGAGCCTTCCGTCCAGAGCCAGCTGAGTGAAGAGAGAGAGAGAGAGAGAGTAGCTTATTGGAGCCTGCCGTCCAGAGCCAGCTGAGTGAAGAGAGAGAAATTAGCTTATTGGAGCCTGCCGTCCAGAGCCAGCTGACCAGAGAGAGAGAGAGAGAGAGTAGCTTATTGGAGCCTGCCATCCAGAGCCAGCTGAGTGAAGAGAAAGAGAGAGATTAGCTTATTGGAGCCTGCCATCCAGAGCTAGCTGAGCAAAGAGAGAGAGAGAGAGTAGCTTATTGGAACCTGCCGTCCAGAGTCAGCTGAGGAGAGAGAGAGAGAGAGAGAGAGAGAGAGAGAGAGAGAGAGAGAGAGAGAGAGAGAGAGAGAGTAGCTTATTGGAGCCTGCCGTCCAGAGCCAGCTGAGTGAAGAGAAAGAGAGAGATTAGCTTATTGGAGCCTGCCATCCAGAGCCAGCTGAGCAAAGAGAGAGAGAGAGTAGCTTATTGGAACCTGCCGTCCAGAGTCAGCTGAGCAAAGAGAGAGAGAGAGAGAGAGAGAGAGTAGCTTATTGGAGCCTGCCGTCCAGAGCCAGCTGAGTGAAGAAAGAGAGAGAGAATTAGCTTATTGGAGCCTGCCGTCCAGAGCTGAGTGAAGAGAGAGAGAGAGATTAGTTTATTGGAGCCTGCCGTCCAGAGTCAGCTGAGCAAAGAGAGAGAGAGAGAGAGTAGCTTATTGGAGCCTGCCATCCAGAGCCAGCTGAGCAAAAAGAGAGAGAGAATTAGCTTATTGGAGCCTGCCGTCCAGAGCTGAGTGAAGAGAGAGAGAGATTAGTTTATTGGAGCCTGCCGTCCAGAGCCAACTGAGTGAAGAGAGAGAGAGAGAGAGTAGCTTATTGGAGCCTGCCGTCCAGAACCAGCTGAGCAAAGAGAGAGAGAGAGTAGCTAATTGGAGCCTGCCGTCCAGAGCCAGCTGAGTGAAGAGACAGAGAAAGAGAGATTAGCTTATTGGAGCCTGCCGTCTAGAGCCAGCTGAGCGAAGAGACAGAGAGAGAGTAAGAAAGTGGGATCTTTGCATTTTTCTGCTTTGTTGCAGGCAAGCTGGACGAAGAGCGGGGATAGAGAGCGAGAGTAGCTTGCTGAAGTTTTTATTATTTTTCTTCTTTGTTGCGAGCAGGCCATATAAAGAGAGGGAGAGAGGGTAGATTGGGGAGTTTTATTTCTTCTCCCTTGTTGGAGCAAGCCGGGTGGAGGGAGAGCCAGGAAAGAGTTTGACTGGGTTGAGGGTATGTCTTTTAGTGGGAAGTAGAGGGGTTTTTATAGGATCAGCTGGAGGAAGCAAAAAGGAGATAAGGAAGGGAGGGGGGATTGCATATAGTGAGGGCAGAGAGAGACGAGGAGACTGGATAAGGGAGGACCCTGTGAGCTCCAGAGTGGGACTGATTACCATCGTCTTAGGCAAGTTGCTGTCACTAGAGACTGACTGCCATAGTCTTAGATAAGTTGCTGTCACCAGAGGCTAACTACCATCGCTCTAGGCAAATTGCTGTTACCAGAGACTGAATAACATTGGCTTAGGCAAGTTGCTGTCACCAGAGGCTGACTACCATCGTCATGGACAAGTTGCTGTTACCAGAGAGTGGCTAACATTGTCCTAAGCAAGTTGCTGTTACCAGGGACTGACTACCATCGTCCCCCTGTAAGTTCTTTCTGCCTGAGATCAACTATCATCATTCCACATGAGTTACCGTCAAGAGAGATCGACCATCACCGCCCCATGTGCATGGCTACCAACCATGACTGAGCATCACCGTGCTATGTGCCCTGTCAGGCAGAGGTGCCAACATGAGAGACGCTTGGGCTGGCAGTCAGCCAAAGAGGAGGACCCGGACTTTTGCGGTCTCTTCAAGTGTATAAAAAAACCCTAACTCTTTACAAAAGCTGATTAATCATATGTCTGTTTGATAGAAGTCCCCCCAAGTCTTTGCTGATGAAAACAAAAGAAACCCTCAAAGAACAGTCTTAATGTGTGTCTCTTTGGCTCCGATTATTCTATGTTCTGATAGGAATAGCACGTTTTCTATCTGAGGAATGAAGTACAAATATAATTAACAATATAAATATATGATATTGATATATAAAGTTGAAGATGGCAATGATAGCATGGTCATGTATTTTTAGATTATTGGAAAGTAGCCATTTCCTTGGATCACTGCAGGTACGTGCTGGGTCTGTTTGTTGCTGTTGCCTATTCCTTTTGGTTGGAATGGCTTGATCTACTCTACTCAAACCATTCCACTGACATTAGTACTCTCTGTAATGCTCATGGACCCACTCTTTTTTTTTAAATTTTACAAATTTTATTTATAATACAATTAAAAACAAACAAACATTGGATTTAACGTGACATTCCAGTATATACATTTTTATCAGATTATTCCACTTTTTACAATCAATTCTTCATCTCTACATATACATCTAAGTCAGTGGTTCTCAACCTGTGGGTCGGGACCCCATTTGGGGTCAAACGACCATTTCATGGGAGTCGCCAAACAACGCAGTCCACCATTTTTTCCCCCTTTTCCTTGGCTGTGCTACTCCCTTTTATTCTATTGGCTTTTGAAAGCCAATAGAATAGACTCTCTTGAATAGAGTCTAATTCTATTGGCTTTCAAAAGCCAATAGGAATTGTCCAGGCTGTCTCTGCCCTGCTGAGCCCGCCAAAAGTCCCATTCTGCAAACGGTGCTGCACCAGTTGAGTAGTCCTCGACTTACGACTGGTTGAGTAGTCCTCGACGTTACAACCGGTTGGGGGTCACGGCATTAAAAAGGTTGAGAACCACTGATCTAAGTTTTATATATAATACTTATTCTAAAATAACATATATTTCTATCTTAACATTCATCTTTAATCCCAACCGTCCTCTTCGAATTCCTCAGCGGTAAAATTTATCCCAGGTTTCATAATAAACTGATCCACATTTGTCTTTTAATATCATTGTGAGCCTGTCCATTTCCGCACAGGCTAATATTTTATGTATTAACTCTTCCTCCGTGGGAATTTCCTTGCTCTTCCATTTTTGCGCAAAAGCAAGCCTAGCTGCAGTCAGGATGCGTAGCAGCAAGTAGATTGTTCCCTTGTCGTATTTTTCTGTCGTTATTCCCAACAAAAAGAGTTCAGGTTTTAACTCTAAGCTCATGGACCCACTCTTGAACGAAATGTAGTGGCCCAAGTTTGACCCACACAAATCCTCATAGGATACACTACCACGTCATAATCGTAAAGATATCTTTTTGCTTCCATTTTAGAATGGAAATGATGAAAAGGGAAAAAAGGTAAGTAGCTGTTGTTTAATTTTGGATATTCCTTTCTTTCATACTCTTCTTCCATCTGATATGATAACCACCACTAATTATCTTCCTTCTTCCTTAACTAGAAGCATCTCTAGAGCATCATCACAACAGGAAGGGAGAAAGGAGCCTGAATGCTAACAGAAAGAACCAAAATATTTGGCCAGTTTTTACATTTCTTTCCAATATCTGACCCCTCAAAAATAGATCCAGCAGTCACATTGGGGTCAAGGTTCTCCCTGGGGACTGAGCAACAAATGGGGTGGATTTATATCTCACAAATGAAGGCAAAGAAGGAATTTAATGAAGGAGTTTCATCTCTGCCAAGGATGCCCATATGGAAAAAATGGCAAGGCATGTAATGTGCATGATGGTGTCTGCTAAGTTGCGGTGAATTGTGTCAGCAAGGAACGAATTTCATAATTTATGTGATTATACTGTCACATGCTTATCACTGTTTTTTAGTTATTTGGTTTGAACGTGAAAGGAATCAGACCATGTTAACAAAAGTACAGCACATTTGAAATTTGTATATATTTGTATATATTTGTTTTCTGAGGTTTTCGCGGGTGTTTGTATGTAGGTCTTTGGTTATTCGGGTTTTCTCCCATGTAAAATTGAAAGTGTCTTGGCGACGTTTCGACGAAGTCCCATTCGTCATCTTCAGGCTGGTGTTTTCAGCTTCGTGCTTCGAGGAGCAATGTGTGGTCTTAGCTGTTTGTATATATTTGTATATACAGCACATATGAAATTTGTATATAAAATTGAAGATGGCAGCAATCATAGAATTATAATTAGTGGCGGTTATCATATCAGATTAGAACGAATTCTTTCTATATCTGTCAGGCGTGAAAGATCAAGGTCACATGTAAAAATTCAGTTCAATTTAAATTCATGCCTACGCACAGGAATATTCTCAACCAACAGTCTTGGAGTTAAATAAAGTTCAACAGAATTTAAATGGGTTTGGACTAGGCTGATTCCTCTTTTAACTCCATTCCCAGATTCTGCCACACAGAATAAGAGAATAAAAGAGTTGGAAGGTGTAGAGGTGGGGGCCAGGTAGAGGTCGTGTGCAGCAAACTGCCCTTCCAACGCCTGCATGCCTCTTCTCTCTATGTTATCTCATCCCTACACATCACCATGGCAATGTGGGAAAGTACCCCAGGCTGGTATAATGACCTCACCCGCCTGATATCAGCTAGCTTACACCAGAGGATGTTACAGCCAACTGCTCCCTGTTTTGGGCCTCTGGCTTCTATATGCTTAAGGACTGGTAAGGAGTTTAACCAATAAAATGCTATTGCCATGTTAAACTTTTGCTGCTTGGAAAACTGTATAAAAGAATAAACGCTGCGAAGGCGGTCAGCCATTTTTGCACCTTGCAATGACTGAGCACTGATTACTACAGGAAGGGATCTTGGAGGTCTTCTAGTACAACCCCCTGCTCAGGCAGGAAATCCTATGCCAGTGGTTCTCAACCTGTGGGTCGGGACCCCATTTGGGGTCGAATGACCATTTCACGGGGGTCGCCAAACAATGCAGTCCACCATTTTTCCCCCCTTTTCCTTAGCTGTGCTACTCCCTTTTATTCTATTGGCTTTTGAAAGCCAGTAGAATAAACTCTCTTGAATAGAGTCTAATTCTATTGGCTTTCCAAAGCCAATAGGAATTGTCCAGGCTGTCTCTGCCCTGCTGAACCCACCAAAAGTCCCATTCTGCAAACGGTGCTGCACCAGTTGAGTAGTCCTCGACTTACGACCAGTTGGGGGTTGCAGCATTAAAAAGGTTGAGAACCACTGCCCTATACCATTTCAGACAAATGGCTGTCCAGTCTCTTCTTAAAAATCTCCAGGGTTGGAGCATTCCTTCTCCTACAAAAGGAAGCTAACCTGGCTCTCCTGCTACAGCCTCATCCAGCAATTCTAATTTATTGTCATTTACCTGTCATTTTTTATAGAACAGGGTTAGCACCTTGGGAGGGAAACTAATTTTAGAAATGAAGCCCAGGCCTATGGAGACACACAATCCTGATTGCAGGAATAACATGGAAGTTAGCAGTAACAATAAAACTATTCAGCTGTTCAGTTTGAGAAAAGTCTGTGGGCATTTGAGAAAGTTGGTGCTTTACAGATGAACACTGGCAGAGGCTACTGCTTCTCCTCCTCCTCCTCCTCCTCTTCTTCCTCCTCCTCCTCCTCTTCTTCTTCTTCCTCCTCCTCCTCTTCCTCCTCCTCCTCCTCTTCTTCCTCCTCCTCCTCCTCTTCTTCTTCTTCCTCCTCCTCCTCCTCTTCCTCCTCCTCCTCCTCTTCTTCCTCCTCCTCCTCCTCCTCTTCTTCCTCCTCCTCTTTCTCCTCTTCCTCTCCTCCTCCTCTTCCTCTCCTCCTCCTTCTCCTCCTCCTCCTCCTCCTCATTGGAACCTCTTCATCTTGCCTCATCTCCCTTCTGTCATTTGGGCACATTTGTGGGTCAAGACTCCAAGTGGCAGGCCATGGTTTTGCAAATTCTGAGTCATCTGCTCATGCCTTCGCCTCTCTGCTACTTCTCCAGCACCATCCAGTCCTCTTTTCCAATTAATTTCCAGCTGCCCAGCCATCCAAGTCCCAAGTGAGTTTCCATGAAACTCTGTCAGTTTGTTTAGTCAGACATACCTCCTCTCTACTAAACCCGAAAAGGCATTTGCTGACCAACCCATCCAGCCCCACTCCTTACCTCAGCCTCTGCAGACAGCACAGCCACCTCTGATGCCCCAGTTGGAATTTTTTTCCTGCCGAACGTACCAGCTGGGGTAATGCTCAGATGTTGGCTAGGCATATCTCCCTTTCAGTGCCCACCCAATGACTGTCGATTAGTAAAGCTCAGGCAGAAATGCAAGTAGTGACAACGTTGCCTTTGTGCCTAGACAAAATGCCTCAGAGTTGGGGAAATGTGGATGGAATCCAAGAATGAAGTCAACCTGTCAGCCCCACAAGGTAGACCAGACAAAGACACCAATGTTCTATAGGCCAGGACTGGTTTTAGTGTTACTGTTCTAGTAACAGTGTCTAGCACAGTGGTTCTCAACCTTTCTAATGCCACGACCCCATAATACAGTTCCCCATGTTGTGGTGACCCCCAACCACTTATACATCACCGGGTGCCAGGGGCGTGGCCAAAGAAAAGGGGGAAAAAATGGCGGACAGCTTTGTTTGGTGACCCCCGTGAAATGGTCGTTCGACCCCAAATGGGGTCCCGGCCCACAGGTTGAGAACCACTGGTCTAGCAAGTCTGTCCTTATGGATATTTTTGCATGAACCGGAAGAAGAAAATGATTGATGGCCTTGATGGTTGGATAGATTATAGAAAGAAGATAATTATGTTGTAATCATAAAGTAACTGCTGTCAAAAAAACATTGGAGGCTACTTCTTTATGGTATATAACTAACCAAAGAGAGAAGCAGCCTAGAACTAAGGAAAAATTTCCTGACAGTGAGAACAATTACTCAGTGGAACAACCTGCCTCCAGAAGCTATGAATGCTCCAACACTGGAAGGTTTTAAGAAGAGACTGGACAGCCATTTGTCCGAAATGGTGTAGGGTTTCCTGCCTGAGTGTTGGGTTGGCCTAGTTGACTTCCAATGTCCCTTCCATCATCATCATCATCATCATCATCATTATTATTATTTATATGGTTTTATGGTAGAGGGTATAGATTTCCTGCCTGAGCAAGGGGTTGTACTAGAAGACTTCCAAGGTCCCTTCCAACTCTATTATTATTATAATAATAGCCTATGACTATTGGTACTACCCTTGCTTGCTTTTGCCACAGTCTTTCTATTTCTATTTGTAGGTCTTTATATTTTATTATCTTCTCCAGTTCTTTCTCTTCTATTCTGCTATCTCCAGGCACTGCCACGTCCACTATTCAGACTTTTTTGTCTTTCTTATCGACAATTGTTAAGTCTGGGGTGTTTCTCTATTTTATGATCCCACCAGTTTTTGCTTACAGGCAAATGATATTTTTTGCAGATCTTCCAATGGACCATTGTTGCTACTTTGTCATGCCGCTGCTTGTAATCAGTTTGTGCAATCTTCTTGCAACAGCTTACCAAGTGGTCCACTGTTTCTTCAGCTTCTTTGCATAGGCGGCACTTACTGTCTGTTGCTGTCTTCTCAGTTTTGACTTTGTATGCATTTGTCCTTAAGGCTTGGTCTTGTGCAGCCAGAATTAGTCCCTCGGTCTCTTTCTTCAATTTTCCTGCTCTTAGCCATTGCCAGTTTTATTTTATCTGCTTTCCCAGCTATTTTTTTCATGTATTGGCCATGTAGTGCTTTGTCTTCCCATGCCTCTATTCTGTTCTTCATTTGGTCTTTCTTGTAGGCCAGTTTGGTCTCTCCAGTAGTTAGTAAGCCTTCCTGATATACTAATTTCAGTGCATCTTCATCATTGTTCTTCAGATATTCTTCCAAAGCCATTTTTTCTTCTTCAACCATCTGATGTACTTGTAGCATTCCACGCCCACCTATTTGCCTTGGTAGATAAAGTCTATCAATGTCACTGCGTGGATGAAGGGCATGATTCATTGTCATTATTTTTCTGGTCTGCCTATCCATTGCTTTTAGTTCTGCTTGAGTCCAGTCCACTATTCCAGCTGTGTACCTAATGACTGGGATTGCCCAGGTGTTGATTGCCTTTATGGTATTTCCTCCATTGAGTTTGGACTTTAAGATCTTCTTCACTCTCTTGATGTATTCACCTCTAATCTTTTTCTTGACTTCAGTGTGCTTGATGTTGTCAGCTTGAAGGATACCCAAGTATTTGTAGTACTCTTCCTCATCCAGACTCTTAATGTTATTTTCGTGGGGCATCTTGATTCCTTCAGTTTTCACTATTTTTCCTTGTTTGATAGTAAGTGTGGCACATTTGTCCAAGCCAAACTCCATTACAATATCTTGGCTATATATACGGACAGTGTTGAGCAGCGATTCTATTTCATGATGTTTTTCCATACAGCTTCAGATCATCCATGTAAAGGAGGTGGGATAGTCTGGCATGTTTTTGATTTGATAGCCATGTCCTGAGTTATTCAGTATTGTTGACAGAGGAAACAGTGCAATAACAAATAGTAATGGTGATAATGAATCTCCTTGAAATATTCCTCTCTTGATATTAACCTCTCCCAGCTTCTCACCATTGATCTGCAACTGTGTCTTCCATTGTGCCATCGATCTTTGCACAAATTTTCTGATGTTTCTACTGACTCCTGTTATTTCTAGGCACTTTATTATCCAATCATGTGGCAGAGAGTCAAATGCCTTTTTGTAGTCAATCCATGCCACATTCAGGTTGGTCTTCCTTCTCTTGCAGTTTTCCAAGATCATTTTGTCTATTAGGAGTTGATCTTTTGTTCCTCTGCTATTAGGGCGGTTTCCTTTCTGCTCAGGTGGAAAGAGATTGTTTTCAACTAGATGCTGTTGCACTGCATCAGCTACTACACCAGTTAGTAATTTGAAAGTTGTTGGTGATTATTATTATTATTATTGTTGTTGTTGTTGTTGTTGTTATTGTTATTGTTATTATTATTATGGATCATCGCACAGTCAGCCAGATGTTCAGACTGGATTTGGCATTTTGTCTACCTATCGAGTCCTTACCCAGGACCTGGGATAGGCAGATGTGGATGTTTGATGGTATTACAGGTATCGTCGCAGGATGGAAGCAGTTCCTAGTAAGGCCGCCTTTTGCAATTGACTAATAGCGAATTTGTCAATGCCAATGGTGTTCAAGTGGTGCTCCAGTTGTTTTGGATTGCACCCAAGATGCCTATGACTATTGGTACTACCCTTGCTTGCTTTTGCCACAGTCTTTCTATTTCTATTTGTAGGTCTTTGTATTTTGTTATCTTCTCCAGTTTTTTCTCTTCTATTATTATTATTATTACTACTACTACTACTACTACTACTACTACTACTACTACTACTCCTTTTTCTTTCTTTTCTATTTTACTTTTTTTTGTTTTCTTCTACTTTTAGCTTTCTCCATGCTTTCTCATTTTGGTATTAGTTTGTATTAGTTTTACCTTCCTTTAAAATATTTAATAAAATTATGTATCAACAATGTAAAGAAATAATTTTGCCCACCTGAATTTCCTTCCCCCTCCCTTTATCTTTGGTGAACTAGGTGGGGCATGTCTGAGATGCTTTTCATGTGACTTTCTTGGCTGGGGCTCAATCTCCTTTTAATTCACCTTGCCTTGGCAGTGGCTCTTCTGTAATGTTCCAGGACTCCAGCGTTCACTCCTGAGCTACACATATTTTCTTCTTGGGATAATAAGTTGGTGTCTGCAGTAGAAGAAGAAGATCTGAAGTCATTTCTTAAACTATTCTTAAACTATTTATATTGTCTTTCTAGTTCTATTGTTCTCTGGCTGAGTCCAGCAAGTCTGGCTCAATCCACTGATCATCCATGAAGCAGAATGAGTCAGCGGCTGCAATTCTGCTGCTTCTTCCACACCTTCCTTCCCCTGCCACATTGGGGGGATTAATCCTTAGCAGAGGCGGTCTCTGGAGGTCTTTGTTTGACTCTGAAGCCCCATGAAAAGGCTGATACAAGGCATGCATTTCAGTTGGCTGGTTTGAAAGCCGAAGTTGTGTTTTGCAGTAAAGTCATTGATTTGGTTCATCGTTTTCTGTCTTCCAGACTCTCCCTTACCATCATTCTGTCCCTGGTGGCCTCCATACTGGGATGTCTATATATGTGCAAGGCACAGTGCCCAAACATGTCAAAAGGTAACGTTCTTTTTGGGGGCTCACAGGAAGAGCAAGGTGTTTCTTTAGTCAGAATAAAAGTAATAAGGTTATCAAAGATGATTAGGGGACTGGAGGCTAAAGCATATAAGGAACGGCTGCTGGAATTGGGTATGTCTAGTTTAATGAAGAGAAGGATGAGGGGGGAACAGGATAGCAGCCTTCCAGTATCTCAGGGGCTGCTCCAAAGGTGAGGGAGTCAAGCTATTTTCCAAGGCACCTGAAGGCAGGACAAGAAGCAATGGAGGGAAACTAATCAAGGAGAGAAGCAACCACCGAGGTGGCGCAGCAGTTAGAGTGCAGTACTGCAGGCCACTTTAGCTGACTGTGTTCAGCAGGTCGGCAGTTCAAATCTCACCGGCTCAAGGTTGACTCAGCCTTCCATCCTTCTGGGGTAGGTCAAATGAGGACCCAGATTGTTGGAGGCAATGTAAATATATATATACATTGCTTACTGGTGTACACCGCTTAGAGAGTGCTTGCACTTAAAGCGGTATATAAGTCTCATAAATAAATAAATAAATAAATAAATAAATAAATAAATAAACAAACAAACCTTGAACTAAAGAGAAACTTCCTGACAGTTAGAACAATTAACCAGTGGAATCACCTGCCTCCAGAAGCGGTGAATGCTCCAACAGTGGAAGTTTTTAAGAAGAGACTGGACAGCCATTTGTCTGAAATGATGGTATAAGGTTCCTCCAAGGTCCCTTCCAACATTATTATTATTATTATTATTATTATTATTATTATTATTATTATTATTATTATTATGTTGTTGTTGTTGTTGTTGTTGTTGTTGTTGTTGTTGTTGTTAAGGGCAGTTTATATAACCCAAATTCTCTACCAAGATTAAAGCCTTTCTTAATTCTTCAGAGAGTCCCACTTCCTGCTTCTTCCAACAACTAAGCCATGAGGGCTAGGGACTTGGCTCTTCTCCTCAAGCAAAAAATCTACAGATTCTAGCTTCAACACAAAGCAAAAGGGCAGCGGCGGCAGGGGAGGGGGGAGCAGAACTCCACTCTGGGATTCCTCCACCTCTTATTTAATTTTCCTCTTCTTTTCTCCAGATTTTGTGTGTACTTTGCCTGTTGCCGTCACGAGGGGGCAGACGTTACCTTCCACTTCAGCCCTCAGTTTGATATTGACAAAACTGTGCTCAACACATTTTGGGATGGGAAGTGGGGAAAGGCAGAACATCACAAGATGCCCTTCCGAAAGGGTGAGAAATTTGAAATCATCTTCATTGTCAATAATACTGGATACCAGGTTGGTACACATGATAGAGGCTCCTTTGGGACTTTAGGTGCCCCTTCATTTCCCCCCTCCCCCAGAATTCACCATTTCTCTGTAATGGACCATAAATATATTTAATACTCTTGTCAACGCTGCAAATATTATATATTCTTGCTTTTGACAATATGCAGAATTGTCTGGTAATTATGGGGTTAATACAGAGCAGAAGGGGGGTTGGGGGTAAAGCCCGGGAAAGAAAGAGGAAGAAAACCTTTGACCTTCACACTAATTGGATAATGTGATATATGACGGCTAATTTAGGGAGGGAACATGCTGATAATTTAACTGCTCAGAGGAAGAGAACTTAGGTCCTAGCATCCCTCCGTTGTGCCTGTGCCGACATTTTGTAGCAATAAAAGACTTTTAGGAAAATAAATGCCTGGAAGTTCTTTGAAGTGTTTCATTAGCCAGAACCATAACAACTGACTTTCCCAACTTCATATCGTTCAGATTGGATTTAAGAGTAGAGTAGAGTAGAGTAAAGTAGAGTAGAGTAGAGTAGAGTAGAGTAGAGTATATAGAGTAGAGTAGAGTAAAGTAGAGTAGAATAGAGAATAAAAAACAAAATATAGAATAGATATAAAATAGAATAGAATAAATATAGAATATAGAATAGAATAAAATAAATACAAAATAGAATAGAATAGAATAGAAATAGAATAGAATAGAACAGAACAGAACAGAACAGAACAGAATAGAATAGAAATTTTATATTGGCCAAGTGTGATTGGATACACAGTTTGTCTCTGGTGCATAAGTTCTCAGTGTACATATAAGCAACAAGTGATAAAGCATGATCATGACCATAAAATTCAATCATCATAAATCATAAGATACAACACTTAGTGATAGTCATAGGATACTAAATAAATAATCAATATAAATCATACAAGGATACTAGTAAAAACAATCAACATAAATCATGATACAAACAACAAAGTTATAGTCAAAAGAAGATAAGGAAATAGGTAATAGGAAAGATGAGAAGAATAGTAGTAATACACCCCTACTAGGTGGTGTAGCGATGTACAGGTAGTCCTTGTTTAACAACAACTTGGACCAATAACTTAGTCATTAAATGATGTAGTTCCCTAAGTGCGAACATTACTGTGTTTATAATCAGACTTTGAAGGTTGTAAATGTCAGGATTGGTCTCAAAGTTACTATTTCATCATTGTAGTAACCGCAAACGGTCACCAAATTGCAATAGCAATAGCGCTTAGACTTATATACCACTTTGTAATACTTTAAAGCCATCTCTAAGCAGGCTACAGAGTCAGCATATTGCCCCCCCGCCAACAATCTGGGTCCTCATTTTACCGACCTCAGGAAAATGGAAGGCTGAATCAGCCTTGAGCCAATCAGGATCAACACTTCATTCTGACCATTGCACCACTAGGGCAGGATGAGGATGAGGAAGATCTGTGACTGAAGGGAAAACATTTTGGTCTAGGGCAGGGGTCTTCAAACTTGGCTCTTTTATGACCTGTGGACCAACTCCCAGAATTCCTGAGCCAGCCTGGCTCAGCTTGGAAACCTCTCCCTTTCCCCTCAGCATGGCTGGCTCAGGAATTCTGGGAGTTGAAGTCCACCAGTCATAAAAGAACCAAGGTTGCCTACCCCTGGTATAGGGCTAGGCCAGGGGCCTTCCAACTTGACCCTTTTATGACTCGTGGACTTCAACTCCCAGAATTCCTGAGCCATCATGGGGGAATTATGGCCCCTTCATGACTTGCAGACTTCAACTCCCAGAATTCCTAAGCCAGCATGGAGGGAACTATGGCCTCCTCATGACTGGTGGATTTCAACTCCCAGAATTCCTGAGCCAGCATGGGGGAAACTGTGGCGCCCTCATGACTGGTGGACTTCAACTCCCAGAATTCCTGAGCCAGCATGGGGGGAATTATGGCCCTTTCATGACTCGTGGACTTCAACTCCCAGAATCCCTGAGCCAGCCTGGCTCAGCTTAGAAACCTCTCCCTTTCTCCTCAGCATGGCTGGCTCAGGAATTCTGGGAGTTGAAGTCCACGAGTCATAAAAGAGCCAAGGTTGCCCACCCCTGGCCTAGGGGGAGAAAAGGTTATTAGTGAAACAAAGGCCTATCCCTTTTTACATGTATACATTTTGACTTGTTTGACCCCGCTCTATCGCTACTTGCTCAGCTTTGGGGTGGGATGTGTTCCTGGCAAGAATAAACAGGTTTTTTTCTGCAAAGACAATGAATGATCCCAAATGAGACTTGAACCCTCTCGACTTTGCCCTCTGATAGATTCTAGTGAACAGGAAGCCATATTGTACCTTTGGACACAGAAACCCACCGCAAAACACACAGGAAATTAGGGTTGAGGGAGACCTGGAGCTGCAATCTTTGCATGTGATAGGAGAACCAAAGATGGGGAACTTGGTAAGTATTTGCTATTGACAAGTTGGCCTCTCCTGATTTTGATCTCTCTTTGGGAATTGATTCTGGACTGCTTCAATCCCCTAACAGTGAGTACAATTGACCAGTGGAACAGCTTGCCCCCAGAAATCGTGGGTGCTCCATCACTGGAGGTTTTTAAGAAGAGACTGGACAGTTACTTGTCTGAGATGGTATAGGTCAGGGGTAGGCAACCTTGTCTCTTTTATGACTCATGGATTTCAACTCCCAGAATTCCTCAGCCAGCATGGGGGAACTATGGCCCCCTCATGACTCGTGGACTTGCTAGTCAGCTGACTAAGGTATGTAGGAAGCACATCACAATAGTAATGGGGGACTTTAACTACCCCGACATCAACTGGGAGACAAACTCCGCACCAAGTGGAAGATCCAACAGGTTCCTGGCAAACCTAGCAGACAACTTTGTCTCCCAAAAAGTAGAGAAGGGAACTAGGGGATTAGCCATTTTGGATCTAATTCTCACTAACAGAGATGAAATGATAGAAGGTGTTGAAGCCATAGGAACCCTGGGAGGAAGTGATCATGCAATATTAGAATTCAACATTATAGAAGCACAAGCAATAGAACACAGTCAAACTAGAGTCTTGGACTTCAAGAGAGCTCATTTCAATAAACTTAGAGAGGGCTTGGGAAGGATTCCATGGATGAGAATCCTCAAGGGGAAAACAACCCAAGAAGCTTGGGAAATTTTGAAAAAGATAATAAAATAATAAAAGATAATAAAAGCACAGTCTAGCACAATACCAACAAAGAGGAAAAACAACAGCTCTCAAAAGAAACCAGCATGGCTGCATAAAGAACTCTCTGACAAACTGAAAGATAAAAAGGACAAGTATAGACAGTGGAAAGAGGGGAACATAACTAAGTCAGAATATCAGCAAATAGCCCGAGCCTGCAAAGATGAAGTGAAGAAAACTAAGGCTCAAAATGAACTAAGGCTTGCGACCAAAGTCAAAAATAACAAAAAAAGCTTCTTTCAACATGTAAAAAACAAGAAAAAAGTGAAGGAAATGATTGGTCCATTAGTGGGTGGAAGTGGCAAAAAAGTGACAAGCAACAGGGAGAAAGCAGAACTATTTAACTCATTTTTTGCATCTGTCTTTACACAAAGGGAAAAAACAGACCAACCTATCAAAAATAGTGCCATAAAAAACAAAATAGAAACACAAGTTAAGATAGGCAAGAAAATGGTTAGTGAGCACCTGTTCAGCCTAGATGAGTTCAAATCACCAGGACCAGATGGATTACACCCCAGAGTTCTGAAGGAACTGGCAGATGTGCTATCAGAGCCACTGAACTATATATTTTTTTTATTGAAAATTTTTAAAAGTTTTTACAAATAACAACACAAAACAAAACAACCCTCACCCAACCCCTCCCCAACCACCCCCTCCATCCCCCCCCCCGAGCTTCCCAGAACTGAATATAGGCTTAATTAAAATTTTAAGAAAACTAAACAAATTTTAACAATTTATAAAATAATTAATAATAGGATATATATAACGTAGACATTAAGAAAAAAAATATTTAAAAAGAAAGAGAAAAAAAAGAAAAGGAAGAAAATGAAAAAAAAAATAAAAAAAAGAAAGAAGAAAGAAAGAAAAAAAGAGAAAACAATCTATAAAATATCAAAAATTACGTACAAGTTACAAAAAAGCTAAATAATATTTTTTTAAATCCAATTTATATTGTATAAAACTTATCCATTTTTCCCATACAGCAAAAAACTTCTCTTGCGATTGCTCCTTTAAAAAAGCTGAAATCTTTGCCATTTCTGCCAAATAAGAAACTTTAAAAAACCACTCTTGCAAAGTAGGCAAAGATTCCTTCTTCCAATATTGCCCTACTAACAGCCTTGCGGCTGTAATCAAATTTAACATTAAAATGACCTCCTTAGCATCACAATCAGTAACAATACCTAACAAAAATAACTGCGGAGTGAATTTTACCCTCCTTCTAAAAATTCTTTGAATATTCCACCATATCTTAATCCAAAAAGCTTTTATGTTTTTACACGTCCACCAAGTATGATAATAGGTTCGGAGCCACTGAACTATATTTTTCAAAGATCCTGGAACACAGGGGAACTACCAGAGGACTGGAAAAGAGCTGATGTAGTTCCCATCCTCAAAAAAGGAAAAAAAATGGATCCAGGAAATTACAGACCTATCAGCCTGACCTCAATACCTGGGAAGATCATGGAAAAGATAATCAAACAACGAATCAACGAACACCTAGAGGCAAACAAAGTCATTACTAAAAGCCAACATGGGTTTGTCAAAAATCGATCATGCCAGACAAATCTTATTGCATTCTTTGACCAAGTGACAAAATTAGTGGATCAGAGGAATGCTGTGGACATAATTTACTTGGACTTCAGTAAGGCATTTGATAAAGTAGATCACAACCTACTACTTGACAAGATAGAAAAATGTGGGGTAGACAGAACCACCACCAGATGGATCCGTAGCTGGCTGACCGGCCGTACTCAGCGAGTGGTCCTCAATGGAAATGCATCTATATGGAGGGAAGTGTGTAGTGGGGTGCCCCAGGGCTCTGTTCTGGGCCCAGTACTCTTCAACATCTTCATCAACGATTTGGATGAATGGATAGATGGGGAACTCATCAAATTTGCAGACGACACCAAGCTGGCAGGAATAGCCAACACTCCAGAAGACAGGCTTAAGATACAGAAGGATATGGACAGACCTGAACACTGGGCACTAACTAACAAAATGAAATTCAATGGTGAAAAAAGCAAGGTTCTACATTTAGGCAAGAAAAACCAAATGCACAAGTACAGCATAGGTGGCACATGCTCAATAGTAGTAACTGTGAGAGGGACCTCGGAGTCCTAGTAGACAATCACCTAAATATGAGCCAGCAGTGTGCTGCAGCTGCCAAAAAGGCCAACACAGTGCTAGGCTGCATTAACAGAGGGATAGAATCACGATCACGTGAAGTATTAATACCACTCTTCAATGCCTTGGTAAGGCCACACTTGGAATACTGCATCCAGTTTTGGTCACCATGATGTAAAAAAGATGTTGAGACTCTAGGAAGAGTACAGAGAAGAGCAACAAAGATGATTAGGGGACTGGAGGCTAAAACATATAAGGAACGGTTGCTAGAATGGGGTATGTCTAGTTTAATGAAGAGAAGGACAAGGGGGGACATGATAGCAGTATTCCAATATCTCAGGGGCTGCCATAAAGAAGAGGGAATTAAGCTATTTTCCAAAGCACCTGAAGGCAGGACAAGAAGCAACGGTGGAAACTAATCAAGGAGAGAAGCAACCTAGAACTAAGGAGAAACTTCCTGACAGTGAGAACAATTAATCAGTGGAACAGCCTGCCTCCAGAAGCAGTAAATGCTCCAACACTGGAAGTTTTTAAGAAGAGACTGGGCAGCCATTTGTCCGAAATGGTGTAGGGTTTCCTCCCTGAGCAGGGGGTTGGACTAGATGACCTCCAAGGTCCCTTCCAACTTTACTACTATTACTATTACAGTGTTGGAGCATTCACCGCTTCTGATTAATTTTTCTAACAGTCAGGAAGTTTCTCCTTAGTTCTAGATTGCTTCTCTCCTTGATTAGTTTCCATCCGTTGCTTCTTGTCCTGCCTTTGGGTGCTTTGGAGAATAGCTTGACTCCCTCTTCTTTGGGGCAGCCCCTGAGATATTGGAACACGGCTATCATGTCCCCCCTCATCCTTCTCTTCATTAGATTAGACATACCCAATTCCAGCAACCGTTCCTTATATGTTTTAGCTTCCAGTCCCCTGATCATCTTTGTTGCTCTTCTCTGCACTCTTTCTAGAGCCTTTGGTTTGCTTCATCATTTTTTCTGTTCCAGATTCTCCCTTACCATCAACCTGTCCCTGGTGGACTCCATCCTGGAATGTCTGTACATGTGGAAGGCACAGTGCCCAAACACTCCAAAAGGTAATGTTCCTTATAGGAGGGACATGATGATATCTTGCTCAAAACAATGGCAATAAGATTCTTATACTATTAAGGATAGTTTAGCCAAATTCCATGCCAAGACTAAAGACTTTTTAAATTCTTCAGGTAGTTCCACTTCCTGCTTCTTCTAAATTCCAACTAAACCATGAGGATAAGGAACTTGATTCTTTTCCTCGAGCCAAAATTCACTATCCTACAGATTCCAGATTCAGGCCAATGGAGAAGGGGGGGAGGAGCGAACTCTATTCTGAGATTCCTGCACCTCCCATTTAATTTTCCTCTTCTTTCATTCTCTCTCTCTCTCTCTTCCAGTTTCCCAGTGTGGTTCCGGGTGAACCTTGCCTGTACCTCTAGTGAGTCGAACAACATTCCCCTCCACTTCATCCCTACCTTTATTTATAATCACATTGGACTCAACACCTTGCACGGTACCAGGTGGGGATGGGAAGAGAAACACAAGATGGTCCTCCGGGAAAATGAGCATTTTGAGGTCATCTTCATTGTCCATAAAGACCAATACGAGGTTGGTTCATGTGACAGATCTTTTTGGGGACTGTTTCCTCCTCCCCCCTCCAGTATTCACAATTGTTTTGGAATGAACCATGAATGTATTTCATACTGATTTTCCCAATTTCATATCTTCCAGATAGGGTTTATGTCAGTGTTTCTCAATCTTGACCATTTTAAGGCATGTGGAGTTCAACTCCCAGAATTCCACAGCCAGCAATGCTGGCTGTGGAATTCTGGGAGTTGAAGTCCATATGCCTTAAAATGGTCAAGGTTGAGAAACACTGGTTTAAGTGATGTACAGGTAGTCCTTGTTTAGCAACAGCTGGGACCAACCACTTAATCATTAAATGAAGTTCCTAAATTAGAAACCACCACTGTGTTTCTAATCACACTTCAGCTTTACTTTGCTTTACAGTCCTGTGAAAGTTGTGAATGCCAGGATTGGTCTCAAAGTTACGATTTCATCACTGTCCTTATTGCAAACAGACACTAAAGGAGGACGACCTGTAGCTGAAGGGAAAACATTTTGGTGAAGGGGAAGAAAACGGGTATCAGTGAAATAGCAATAGCACTTAGACTTATATTGCACTACACCAGGGGGTCTTCAAGCTTGGCCCTTTTATGACTTGTGGACTTCAACTCCCAGAATTCCTCAGGCAGGCACTCTGGCTGAGGAATTCTGGGAGTTGAAGTCCACAAGTCATAAAAGGGCCAAGTTTGAAGATCCCTGTTCAGATACCCCAGAGCAGAAACCAAACAGGCACAGCCAAAACATTTCACCTGTTTTAAGTTTCCTTTTAAAACAGCTTCAAATACCTACTATATTCCTTATAACAAGACCGACTCCCAAATTGCAATGATGGTGTCTCTGGGTACCCATTAGCAAAGGGAGAAACTTACATTTTGCAATTGTCCCCAAGGGATACTTGTTTGAATGGGGAGGGTTTCTCTGGCTGAGGAATTCTGGGAGTTGAAGTCCACAAGTCATAAAAGGGCCAAGTTTGAAGACCTCCTGCACTATACAGTGCTTCACGGCCCTCTCTACGTGGTTTACAGATTCTGCATGTTGCCCCCCAATAATCTGGGTCCTCATTTTACCCGCTTCAGAAGGATGGAAGGCTGAATCAACCTTGAGCCGGTAAGGATCGAACTGCTGGCAGTGGGCAGAATCAGCTTGCAATCCTGCATTCTAACCACGGCGCCTCCATCCTTGAGCCAGTCAGAATCAAACTCCTGGAGTTTGCATTCTAACCACTGCGCTACCACAGACTCTCTTTTTACATGTACATATTTTGATCTATTTGATCCTCTCTATGCCCACCCTGCTCAGCTTTGGGGTAGGTTTTTTTTTCCCCTGCAAAGAAAATGGATGATCCCAGTTGAGACTTGATTCCTTTGATCCCACAGGTCCTGGTGAACAGGGAGCCCTTTTGTACCTACAGGCACAGAATTCCACCACAAAGGGTGCAGGACATCAATGTCGATGGAAATTTGCAGCTGCATTCTCTGATCGTGATGGGAGGACCAACACAGGGGAACATGGTAAGTGTTTGCTATCGACAAGTTGACACCTCCTGAGCCTTGATCTCTCTTTGGGCATTGATTCTGAGCTGATTCAACCATTAAGATGCCACTTTTTCTTTCTCTCCTCCAGGCACTCTTTTCATACCTCATTCTAAGACTGTGGCCCCTTTGGGTCATCAGCTGTCTTGGCTTACAGACTTTGCATGCTACCAGAAATAACCATCAGAGGGTATGCAGCAAAGGAACAGAGAACAAATTTACCGCAGGCCAAGGTCCTGCTCTCTTCCTTGCAGATGTCTATAAAGTAGAATAGAATAGAATAGAATAGAATAGAATAGAATAGAATAGAATAGAATAGAATAGAATAGAATATGGAATAAATAGAATAGAATAGAATGGAATGGAATAGAATAGAATATGGAATAAATAGAATAGAATAGAATAGAATAGAATAGAATAGAATAGAATAGAATAGAATAGAATAGAATAGAATATGGAATAAATAGAATAGAATAGAATAGAATAGAATATGGAATAAATAGAATAGAATAGAATAGAATATAGAATAGAATAGAATAGAATAGAATAGAATAGAATAGAATAGAATAGAATATAGAATATAGAATATGGAATAAATAGAATAGAATAGAATAGAATAGAATAGAATAGAATATGGAATAAATAGAATATGGAATAGAATAGAATAGAATAGAATAGAATAGAATAGAATAGAATAGAATAGAATATGGAATAAATAGAACAGAACAGAACAGAATAGAATATGGAATAAATAGAACAGAACAGAACAGAATAGAATAGAATATGGAATAAATAGAATAGAATAGAATAGAATAGAATAGAATAGAATAGAATAGAATAGAATAGAATATGGAATAAATCGAATAGAACAGAACAGAATAGAATATGGAATAAATAGAACAGAACAGAACAGAACAGAACAGAATAGAATAGAATAGAATAGGAAGGGGCTGGACTAGAAGACCTCCAAGCTCTATTCTATTCTATTCTATTCTATTCTATTCTATTCTATTCTATTCTATTCTATTCTATTCTATTCTATTCTATTCTATTCTTCCAATCCTTATTCTATTCTATTCTATTCTATTCTATTCTATTCTATTCTATTCTATTCTATTCTATTCTATTCTATTCTATTCTATTCTATTCTATTCCATCCCCTTGCTCAACCAAGAGAATCTATACCATCTCAGACAAGTGACTATCTAGCCTCTTCTTAAAAACCTCCAGTGGTGGAGCACCCATAACCTCTGGTGGCGAGCTGTTCCACTGTTTGATTGTCCTCCCTGTTAGGAACTTTCTCCTTAATTCCAGGTTGCATCTCTCCTTCATTAGTTTCCATCCAATGCTTGTTATCCTGCCTTCTGGTGCTTTGGAAAATAGTTTGAGGTAGTGTTTCTCAATCTGGCAATTTGAAAATGTGGGGCCTTAACTCCCAGAATGGCTTAGCAGACACTAGCATCTCCTTGTTAACGAATGAAAATGCCAGGAAGTGTGCAATGACTGAACATGGCAACCTGGCTTTTCAGGTAGAAGATTAGAAGTCTGTTGCATGTACTTTCTCCACCGAAAAGTCAGAGTCTGACACATGGGGTGATAACCTTTTTTGAAACATCCACAAAACATGGTTGGGCAAAGGCCACGGTATAATTTTTTGCTTGGTACAAATAGCTCTCTAGGTTTTTGCACAACAAAGGTGACAATGCCTAATTGTGTCTTCGGAGACAACTTAAGTTCAGTTGCTTTGTTACCATACAAGCTTCAGCCATACACACACCCATGAACACATGTACACACATATACATATACACTATGTTTCTTGAGCAGTTATTATTTTATCAAACGGGTGAACAATTGCCGAAGATTCGTGCAGAGTCAATCCAAGGTTTCAAAGTGGGGTCAAAGTTGTCAGCCACTCCAGAAATCAAAACTCCAAGATGCAAAATCCACTCATAAATATCACTGGAGCCATATGTCAGCAAAGAGAACAGAAGCTGCAGCCAATTGCTACTCCTTTGCTTGGCAAGTAGACTAAAGACTTTCTCTTTTCTGCTCTCTTTTCTACTAACCCTAGACTGGGAAGCCTAATGTCATCCTGTCAGGGAAAGTCCCATGGTTCAGGTGGTGCTGTGACTCATCAGTCTTGTGGGATGTCAGGCTTGGTCCTTCCTCAGGCTGACATTCCACAGGATCAGCTGGACAACCTCGGATCAGAATCTCAGTCCAGAGCCTGGCCTGTGACATCTCCAGCACATCTGCACAGTTAACATAATACACCTAATCTCTTTCCTCCATTAACATAACTGAGTGATTTGCAACAGGCTAAGCTATGTCTGATAAACCAATCCGGGTTAAAACTAACTGAGTTGAAGAAGTAGTAGAAAAGCACCCATGAAAGCTTCAACTAACCTGGGTGAATGTGAAACACAAACTCAGCCACTGTTGCCTTCCTATCCTTTAGGGCAGGGCTTTTCAACCAGTGGTACGGGTACCACCTGTGGTACATTGGCACCTGGCAGGTGGTACGCGACCATCCTAGAAAAGGGGTAGCGGGGGAGGGGAATTAGCTGAACCGGTGGCAGCACCGCACAAGCCTGAGCGAGAGACGGCTGGAGCTGCAGGGTTGTTAGGGCTCAGTGGAAGCGCCAGGATCATCGCCAGGCTCCAGCTGGAGCTTGGCACTGATCCTGGGGCTTCTGCTGAGCCCAGAAGAAGCACTGATCAGCTGGAATGTTGCAGCATCTCTAGAGTCTTGTGATTTACATTCAGATGCTTGGCAACTGATTCATATTTATGACGGTCACAGTGTCCCAGGGTCAGTTGAAGTGACCAAAACCTGCTGCAACCACCCAGCAGATGTGGGAAATAAAAACCAAACACCCCCCCTACCCCACCCCCACTGCCAATCCTCAACAGAAATGCTCACAACAATGAAAACCTCAGACAGAAGGAAGAACGCCATCGGGCGGGCAGACAGGTGTCTTGCTCGGCTGTGGCTTGGGGGCCACTTTTTTCAGTGTCATTGTAACTTCGAACAGTCACTAAGCGAACAGTTGTAAGTCGAGGACTACCTATACTTTATCACTTTTTTCCTTTTTTTTTTTTTTGGTCATCAAGTTTTTGACACCTTGCTAGGCGACTGGTGGTCCTCGGATGTTGCCATATCCTAAAAGTGGTACAATGGGTGAAAAGGTTGAAAAGCCCTGCTTTAGGGCACGTTGCCGAGTCCTGCATATGGGACATCACAAAATCTTCCTGTAAATACTCAGAAGGAAAGAAAGGGGGGGGGGCAGCCACAAAGTCATTCAGAGCTAGGGATTTTAGGAGAAAAATGTGGAGTTGTTAACAGTCTCTTTGAATTTCTTTCCCACCAGATAATGATGGGCCCTGTAACCTACTACCCAGTAAGTACTAAGAGATTTCCTAAGTTAGAAGTCCCCAACCTTTTGGGCACCAGGGACCACCGGTTCCGTGGACAGAGGTTTTTCCACAGACCGGAGAGTGCGTGGTTTTGTGTGCTGCCTGTATCCCACGGATGGGGCTTTGCTTATTTGTGCAGCCCAGTTGCTGGCATGCCGTGGCCCAGTACTTGTCCATTGATTGGGGGTTGGAGACCCCTATCCTAACTCTACCTGTCTCTCCTTACTTTAGCCCAGATTTGTGGGATGGAACAGAAACCAGGAGGTGGTGAATTTGTCTGAGTGTATTCATGTAGAATTCAAGGAACTTAGTATTTTCTAGTGTTTGGCTTAAATCAGTGGTTCTCAACCTTTTTAATGCCGTGACCCCCAACCGGTCGTAAGTCGAGGACTACTCAACCGGTTGTAAGTCGAGGACTACTCAACTGGTGCAGCACCGTTTGCAGAATGGGACTTTTGGCGGGCTCAGCAGGGCAGAAACAGCCTGGACAATTCCTATTGGCTTTTGAAAGCCAATAGAATTAGACTCTATTCAAGAGAGTCTATTCTATTGGCTTTCAAAAGCCAATAGAATAAAAGGGAGTAGCACAGCTAAGGAAAAGGGGGGAAAAATGGCGGACTGCGTTGTTTGGCGACCCCCGTGAAATGGTCGTTCGACCCCAAATGGGGTCCCGACCCACAGGTTGAGAACCACTGGCTTAAATGGTAGTTATGGTGAACAAGAGACTAGATGTAGTAATCAGTGCTCAGTCATTGCAGGGTGCAAATATGGCTGACCGCCTTCGCAGTGTTTATTCTTTTTATACAGTTTTCCAAGCAGTAAAAGTTTAACATGGCAATAGCGTAGCAATAGCATTTCATTGGTTAAACTCCTTACCAATCCTTAAGAATAGAAAGCCAGGAGGTCCAAAACAGGGAGCAGTTTGCTGCCACATCCTGTTGGTGTAAGCTAGCTGATATTACAGCAGGTGAGGTCATTGTACCAGCCTGGGGTACTTTCCCACATTGCCATGGTGATGTGAACGGATGAGATCATGTAGAGAGAAGGGGCACGCAGGCTTTGGAGGGGCAGTTTGCTGCTCACAACCTCTACCTGGTCCCTATCTCTACAACTAGAAAATGGAAATTCTGGAAATTCAGTAATCTGCCAAATGCATGATTGGTTTGGTTCACAAGCTTCTAAAATCACATGGAAGGGGGAAAAAAGGAACAGTGAATGGAAAATTTAAGGGAGAATTAGCTACTTTATGGTTAAGGAGGGGGTTAATATTAGTCCCTTTCCCCCATGTCAAAAGGTACCCACACCCCATCACCCAGGAAATTTCTAGTTAAACCAAAGAAATTGGGTTGGAAGAAGGCTGTTGGGCTAATGTGTGGCAGAGTAGAAAGAAAGATCTATAGTTTGCACCAGGAAATCAGCTCTTACAACCAAGTTCTATAAACTCAGTCTTTTGTGATGAAGTAAACCAGGGACTTTCACAGCATCTGAGTAAAAAAAAAAAAAATTGTCAGCCCAGCAGCCATGCCAACACTGTCACAACTATTTTTTTGGTTCATTGCACATAAACAATGGATTGGACTTGAAGGTCCAGTCTGCCATCCTGACTATTTTGACCATACCCTGCGGACATCCCTGCTAAGCAAGAAAACCACTTGAACCCAGCCAATGCCTTTTCTGCCTGGTGTCAACGCTGCTAATATTGGATATTATTGCTTTGACAAGATATGCAGAACTGTTTGGTATTTTTAGAGTTAATTCAGATGATGGTGGGAGAGGAGGAGAAGCACGGGAAGGGAACGGAAGTGAATCTTTGCCCTCCAGATTGATTGGAAAATGTGAATTATGACTCCAAAATAGGGAAGGGGAATAGCCTGGAATGTTATGTGCAAAGGAAGGGAAATTCAGATCTTGGCATCCTCCATGCCGTGCCGACACTCTGTCACACAAAGAATAAAGACTTTTTAGGATAAACAATGTCTGGAAGTTCTTTGAAGTGTTTTGTTAGTCGGAACCATGACATCATGCCAAGATCTACAAACTTTTCAAACCATTTAGGGGTCCTGGGCCCCTCGTGGTAGCAGGTCAGACTCACTATGAAGTGAAATATATTCTTGACTCCAGAATTTTTAAAGGGAAATTGCAATACCTAGTACAATGGAAGGGTACTCGCTGTCCAAAGCTATTTGGGTGAAATCTAATGATGTGAAGGCTGACCAACTCATCAAAAAGTTTCATGAGGAAAAACCCCAACAAACCAAGAGATAATCCCTGACATATGTTTTTGTTCACATACAGGACCTATCCTTTTTGTAAGGGGGGACGGATGTCAACACTGCTAATATTGGATATTATTGCTTTGACAAGATATGCAGAACTGTCTGGTATTTTTAGAGTTAATTCAGATGATGGTGGGAGAGGAGGAGAAGCGCGGGAAGGGAATGGAAGTGAATCTTTGCCTTCCAGATTGATTGGAAAATGTGGAAGGGGAATAGCCTGGAATGTTATGTGCAAAGGAAGGGAAACTCAGATCTTGGCATCCTCCATGCCATGCCGACACTCTGTCACACAAAGAATAAAGACTTTTTAGGATAAACAATGCCTGGAAGTCCTGACACCTGGCTTGTAACCACAAAGGGCAGAAAAAATCCATCCAAAGCAAAATCCCATGAGCTGACGTCTGCCCATGTTGTGGGTCTCCCTGTTGGCACCCCAAGACCCACTGGACTGTAACTACCTTAACCCGAGCTAGCAGGGATAAGTGGCATAGGTCAGAGGGGGACATTAAGAGTAATCTGTTTTCTTGCCCATTTCAGCTGGTGCCCTACATATGCGACATCCCTGGAGGTCTAAAAGCCAACAGGACCATCACAGTACGAGGCTCTATTCCGAAGAATGCTAAAAGGTCTCGGCTCTCTTTTTTCACGTGCATTTTGAGGTTCAGGCAGAGGAATGGAACTGTAACCGTTGCGCCCACTGTCCTTCTATAGTTGGTGCCACAGGTCCCACCCTGCTGGTGTCTCCCTGACATCACACATTTCAGCCCAACTTGCCTCCAGCCTGCAAATTGGAGACCAGGCTCTGGTTTGGCTTTGGCACAGCAAAATGACACTATTGGGGCCTGTCATAGTTCTTTCCCAGTTCATCTCCTTTCTCCAACTCTTCCATCTGCCCTGAATGTCTGCATGCTCAGCCCAGAGAACAAGGAGGTTGAGGGGAATGGATGCACAACTCCACACATAGTCTGAGGAATTCGCTGCAAGAAGAAGTAAGGGCTGCTAGCTGGGTTTTATTTTATTTTATTTTATTATTTTATTTTTATTTATTCATCAAAGAAAAATTACAAATTTAAACAAGCAAAATAAGAAAATTAAAATGGGTCAGTGACAATAGGCACTTTAGTGCACCTTATGCATGCCCCCTAAGGGACCTCTTATATATGGAGTGAGGGCCATAGAAGTTAAGTTAGAATTAAAACTATGAAAGTTAAAGTTAATGGCTGGGACAACCGAATCAGGTAAAATATTCCAGATTTTGACAACTCTGTTACAAAAATTGATTTTTTTACAATCGAGTTTAGAGCAGTTTACATTGTTTAAAGCAATTGTTTGCACACATTACGTTACAATTAAAGCTAAAGAAGTCATTTACAGATAAAGCATTACTGTCAACGCTGCTAACATTGGATGCTCTTGCTCTGATAAAATATGCAGAGCTGTGTGGTATTTTTAGAGTTAACTCAGATGATGCTGGGGGGGGAGGAGAAAGAATGTATGTGGGTAATTATATCAGATAAAAATCCCACATTGCAAATGGAAGAGAACCTTTGGCTTTCAAACTGATAGGAGACCGTGATTTATGACAGCAAATTAAGGGAGGGAACATGCTGGCAAAATATGTGCTCAGGGGAGGAGAATTTAGATCTTGGCATCTCTCATTCATGCCATGCTGACATTTTGTTACACGAATAAAAGACTTTTTAGGATAAACAATGCCTGGATTCTTTGAAGTTTTTCATTAGTTGGAACAATGACAATTACTCTGTACAATTTACAATTACTATATGCTATGCCATATCTACGTCTGACTGCAGATGTCGTGGTTCTAAACTATATAAGCCAAGAATTTCAAGCCTATTAGCATATTATGGACAGAAGAATGCAAGATTTTCCTTGTAAAGTACTTCTGAACTCCTTGATTGTATTAATGTCCAATATGCGGTAAGGATTCCAGACAGTTGAACAGTCTTCTAGAATTGGCCTAATGTGTTTTGTAAGCTCTAATGAGCCAACCAAAGTGGGGGATCTGAAATTTCATGAAGGCATCAGCAAGTTAAAGAGTTTGGAAACCTCTGGTTTAGGAGGTGCCATTAAAGAATGATTAGGACTCAAACCATCATTAAGCAGGGATCATCTGTTCTTCATAAGAAGAATGCTATCCACTACTAAATTGCTGCTTAATTTGCATTTGTAATGTGTTTGTCTGATTTATAGAGTTGGTTTGATTGTGGCACGACATAAATGTAAAGAATAAATATCAAAAATACCAAAAATGCTAAATAGAACTTACACATTTAGCAGCAGTCTACTAATAAATAATATTTGCAAAGAGAAACAACAGCTTTTAAGTCTTCATCTATGGAAGCATCTGACAGGCTGCTATTGGATTAAGAGTCAAGAGTAAATCAGATTATTCCAAATGCCTAGTCAGTGATACCTGCTTTTTCTCTCTTTCCAAGGTTTGAAATCAAGTTTATGGCTGGCCAGGACATCGCTCTGTCCATTAGTCCACAACTGGAAAAGAGAACTATGGTGTGCAACAGTTTTCTGAATGGCAACTGGGAACCTGAGGAACGCAACCTGCTCTTTAACCTTTTCCAGCCTGGGAAGTACTTTGAGGTGAGTCAGTTTTGTTTCCAGCAGGGAGGGGTGTCCACAGGGTGAGGGTTAAAAAAATATGGCAACCACAGCTATGCAATTCATGTATCACTCCTATTTTACCTGGCTGATGAGCTGTGGTGGTGCAATGGTCAGAATGCAGTACTGCAGGCTATGTCTGTTGACTGCCAGCTGCCTGCAGTTTGGCAGTTTGAATCTTACTAGGCTCCAGGTTGACTCAGCCTTCCACCCTTCTGAGGTCGGTAAAATGAGGACCCAAATTGTTGGGGGCAAATATGCTGATTCTGTAAACTGCTTAGAGAGGGCTGGGAAGCCCTGGGAAGTGGTATATAAGTCTAAGTGCTATTGCTATTATGTGCACACCCCTAGATTCCAGCAAAGAGCTTGACTGGTTGGCCAGGCAGATAGGCAGTGGGAAATGGAGAGAAGATCCAGCTGATGCCTTCCATCTGCCTTAATTCCCAACTAGCATAGCTTTGAGGAGTTGAAATCTGAACCTCTAGAAAACTGGTGGGATTAACGCACCCTCCAGAAGATGTCTCCAGATCGTTCAGAATCCTGTTTTTAACTCTCTCCTGGAAAATTGGATGGAAGTTAAAAGCACTCAAAAGTGTTTTCAAGTGCTTCGAAAGCAATCAAAGCCTCCAGCCCCTTGATTGCGGTGCTTTTTGATTTTGATGCAAGCTGCGGATTGTGTGCGCTATGGACCCTCTTCACTAGAATATCGGAGGTGATTCAGATGTGTTGATTTGGCCATATTAAACATCCTTCCTCTCTTCCCAGCTCTCAATCCACTGTGACAACCACAAGTTCAAGATTTATGCCAACAGCCAGCCCTTCTTCAGCTACGCCTATCGTTACATCCCTATTGAAAACATCAAAACTATCAAGATCACAGGAAATGTGACCCTTTCCTACATCACGTACTAAGCAAGCAGTGGGAGAAGAGACTGGTAATAGCATAGACCAGCTTTTCACTCTCTGCCAATACATTTAGAATCCTGCTGAATTTGAGTGGTCTGCAAGCTGCAGTAATTCAATCAATCAATTAATCAGTCAGATATTCAAGAATACTGTGTTTTCCCTAAAATAAGACCTGGTCTTATATTTTTTTGCCTCCAAAAGAGGCATTAGGTCTTATTTTGGAGGGATGTCTTATTTTTTTCCCAGGAGCTGCCTCACGCACCCTGAACCTGCTTACAGTGCCACAGGGCTTCTGCTGCTGTCTGTCAAATGCTGCAAATATTGTATATTCTTGCTTTGACAATATGCAGAACTGTCTGGTATAATTGGGGTTAATACAGAGCAGAAGGGGTGTGGGGGCAAAGCCCGGGAAAGAAAGAGGAAGGAAACCTTTGATCTTCACACTGATTGGATAATGTGATATATGACAGCTAATTTAGGGAGGGAACAAGCTGATAACTTAACTGCTCAGAGGAAGAGAACTTAGATCTTAGCATAAAGCCTCCGTTGTGCCTGTGCCGACATTTTGTAACAATAAATGACTTTTAGGAAAATAAATGCCTGGAAGTTCTTTGAAGTGTTTCATTAGCCGGAACCATAACAACATGCTAAGATCTAAGTGAAAGCACTGCCGCTGCTGCAAAACCCGTTGTGCTGCAGCTGCTGCTGTGAGGCACATCCTGCCAACAATGCCACCACTGCGAGGCACATCCTGTTGCCATTGGTGCCGCCATCATGGCAGTGGCATTAGCAGCAGGACGTACCTCGCGGTGGCGGCAATAACAGTGAGGTGTGCCTCGCGGTGGCACAGCAACAGGAGTCCTGCGGCACGGTAAGTGGGTGTGGGGTGCATGGGGCAGCTCCCCCCTCTCCCTGATTCACCCCACCTTGTGTCTTAGAAAGTAAGTAGGGCTTATTTTGGGGGTAGGGCTTATTTGCAGGGAAACATGGTAGTTGACAATATTAATCAGCATTTTCAATAAAGCATCTTGATCAAGCAATGCAACAGGCATTTACTTTTCTGCCTTCTGAATTGGATCTGTCAATGATACAAAACATTTTTAATTTCAAATATGTGCCCTCTAGATGTGTGGGAACAATGTTTCTCAAACTTGGCAAGTTTAAGGTGTGCAGATTTCAACCCCCAGATATCCATTATTGGATCCTGATCCAATGTCATGGCTTTGTCTAATTACCAATTGCAGGTTGGATGAATTGAAAAAGAAACTTCTCAAAGGTGCAAACAAATTTCCTACTTCCCTACAGCCCAGGATGGCCATAACTGGATCAAAGATCAAGTAGTTCCATGTAAACAGCTTGTTTTACCCCTGGTTAACTTTGGGGGAGCTTAGAGTTAACTCAACCCCTGTGGCAAGTTTACCATTCATTCCCCCAAACGTGGGAATGCTCCCACATATAGATGGGGAACTCATCAATTTTGCAGACGACACCAAGCTGGCAGGAATAGCCAACACTCCAGAAGACAGGTTTAGGATACAGGAGGATCTGGACAGACTTGAACACTGGGCGCTATCTAACAGAATGAAATTCAGTGGTGAAAAAAGTAAGGTTCTACATTTAGGTAAGAAAAATCAAATGTACAGGTATAGTAAAAAAGATGTTGAGACTCTAGAAAAAGTACAGAGAAGAGCAACAAAGGTGATTAGGGGACTGGATGCTAAAACATATAAGGAACGGTTGCTGGAATTGGGTATATCTAGTTTAACGAAGAGAAGGACGAGGGGGGACATGATAGCAGTGTTCCATTATCTCAGGGGCTACCACAAAGAAGAGGGAGTCAAGCTATTTTCCAAAGCGCCTGAAGGCAGGACAAGGAGCAACGGATGGAAACTAATCAAGGAGAGAAGCAACCTAGAACTACGGAGAAACTTCCTGACACTTAGAACAATTAACCAGTGGAACAATCTGCCTCCAGAAGCGGTGAATGCTCCAACATTGGAAGTTTTTAAGAAGAAATTGGACAGCCATCTGTCCGAAATGGTGTAAGGTTTCCTGCCTGAGCAGGGGGTTGGACTAGATGACCTCCAAGGTCCCTTCCAACTTTATCATTATTAGTATTATTAAAATGAAGAGGGATTGTGTTGAGGACCACTTTTCTCTGAATGCAGTAGCTGCATTTGGTTGATTACAGAATTTACAAGTGATCTCCGTGATGAGATCACTTGTAAGCAGTCAGTAACAACTTCCTTCACATGTTATATCTGGATATCCTCATCACAGTGAACTGCTGTTACCTAAACTCTCTCCCCTAGGCTCCTGCACCCCCACCTCCTTTTACTCCAAACTCAGTTAGAAAAGGAAAAGAAAGGCATGATTGTAGATAGAGATGTCTCTGTCCACCAAGATCTCTTTACATGATTTCCTATGCACCTGTGTGAAGGAAAGCGATCCCTGACATCCCAGAGAAGAATCTCATGTCCTCTTCTCGTGTCTAACAAAATTGCAGCTGAAAGATTAGCCAGTTAGAAAAAGATCCTAAAGCAATGGTTCTCAACCTGTGGGTCGGGACCCCATTTGGGGTCGAACGACCATTTCACGGGGGTCGCCAAACAACGCAGTCCGCCATTTCTCCCCCCCTTTTCCTTAGCTGTGCTACTCCCTTTTATTCTATTGCAGTGGTTCTCAACCTTTTTAATGCCGTGACCCCCTCCAACCGGTCGTAAGTCGAGGACTACTCAACCAGTCCTAAGTTGAGGACTACTCAACTGGTGCAGCACCGTTTGCAGAATGGGACTTTTGGCGGGCTCAGCAGGGCAGAGACAGCCTGGACCATTCCTATTGGCTTTGGAAAGCCAATAGAATGAGACTCTATTCAAGAGGGTCTATTCTATTGGCTTTCAAAAGCCAATAGAATAAAAGGGAGTAGCACAGCTAAGGAAAAGGGGGGAAAAATGGTGGACTGCGTTGTTTGGCGACCCCCGTGAAATGGTCATTCAACCCCAAATGGGGTCCCGACCCACAGGTTGAGAACCACTGTTCTATTGGCTTTTGAAAGCCAATAGAAGAGACTCTCTTGAATAGAGTCTTATTCTATTGCCTTTCAAAAGCCAATAGGAATTGTCCAGGCTGTCTCTGCCCTGCTGAGCCCGCCAAAAGTCCCATTCTGCAAACGGTAGTGGACCCGTTGAGTAGTCCTCGACTTACGACTGGTTGGGGGTCGCGGCATTAAAAAGGTTGAGAACCACTGATATAGACCTCTTGATGCTATGGAAATAGTGGAATTTCCTTGGGGGAGACGAAGAAGAAATTATGAGTCTGGAGACCCACAGCCATATTCATAAGGCAAATGGCATGATATGAGAAAGTGAGATGCAGAGCTTTGCTATGCCAGGAAGCCTGAAAACCTGACTAGTTTTTCCCTCCCTCTCTGCGATCCTCCAGTGCAATGCCCCCCCAACCTTTTGGGCACCAGGGACCGGTTCCATAGAGAGAGTTTTTTTCCATGGACCAGAGGGGGCATAGTTTCATGTGCTGCCTGCATCCCATGGACGGGGCTTTGTAAGATGCTAAGAAAAAGACACAGGCATCTCTTGAGCAGAGGTTTGAAGCTGTAGGACACATCTTGACAAACTTTGAGTTTATTGCTTCTTATATACTTGTTACATACATAGGCTTTACCATTAAATGCTGACATTTCACATTCATAAGTTTAACCATTAGATGCGGACATAAAGTTTCTTCATTGGAAAATTCCTTCATATAAGCAACTATTTTCTAGTAACACATTACTAGACCAGGTAAGAACAAATACAGTAGATCAGTGGTTCTCAACCTGTGGGTCGGGACCCCATTTGGGGTCGAACGACCATTTCACGGGGGTCGCCAAACAACGCAATCCGCCATTTCCCCCCCCCTTTCCCTTAGCTGTGCTACTCCCTTTTATTCTATTGGCTTTTGAAAGCCAATAGAATAGACTGTCTTGAATAGAGTCTAATTCGATTGTCTTTCAAAAGCCAATAGGAATTGTCCAGGCTGTCTCTGCCCTGCTGAGCCCGCTAAAAGTCCCATTCTGCAAACGGTGCTGCACCAGTTGAGTAGTCCTCGACTTACGACCGGTTGAGTAGTCCACGACTTACGACCGGTTGGGGGTCGCGGCATTAAAAAGGTTGCGAACCACTGCAGTACATCAAAAGGAGAAAGAACTGACAAAGACAGGAAGAGATAGGAAGGAACTTAAGCTTATTATCTATTTAAGTAGGTGAGGCATTAAGTCAAAAGGGGATGACCTTCTGGCTGCTTCACTGGGACAAAGGATATCAAAAGGCACGCATTTTCCCCCACAGGGCTTTACTTATTTGCATGGCCAAGTTTCTGGCATGCCATGACCCAATGTTAGTCCATGGACTGGATGCTGAAGACCCTTACTCTAGTGAACAAGGCAGGAATCAACCTAATGTGCTCTCTCATGCTTTCCGTTTCCTGGGCATAGAACAGGAACCCAACCCTCTGTCTAGCTTCTCCATGGTTCTCTGAAATGCATATTTTACACATTCCTAACAACATTTAAATTTCTACTGGCATTGCTCCTCCAATATCTGGAGATGCTTTAGGGGAGTCAGTCTCAAAAGGTGGGCTGTGGTTATGTGCACAAGGAAATGAGTGACATCCAACAGACATCAAGAAAATCAGTGACATCAAATGAATATTGACTTACCCCCTGTTTACTTGGCAATGTACCACCACTCTTGATGCCACGTGAATTCTGCAAGAAGGAGAAAAAAAAACAGTCATCCTGGATTATAGATGTCTTTGGATGTATTTTGTCATGTTTTCAGCACATGCGAGAGCCATGCCTTGGCCACTGAACTTTATATCAATTAAATGGGAACGGGGGTTGAAGCCCTCAATGGGTAATATTATATTTTAAATGTAATTTATCTAATTTACACACCACCTGACCCCCAACAATGAAACCAACAGCATAACAATAATAATAATAGCAGCAGCAGCAGCAGCAACAACAACAACAACAACAACAACAATAATAATATAAGAAGAAAGAAAGAAATGGAAAGCTTAATACTGGCTGCTCAAGAACAAGCACTACAAACTAATGCCATGAAAGCAAAGATACAACAATCCACTGACAATCCAAATTGCCGACTTTTCAATGACAAAGTTGAAACTGTTTCACATCTAATCTGTGAGTGCAGCAAAATCGTGCAAATTAATTACAAAGCTAGACATGACCGAGTTGCTAAATTAATCCACTGGGCATTGTGTAAAAAAATACGACTTGCCTGTGTCCCAAAAGGGAACATAGTGTGGAAAAAGTTGTTGAGAATGAGAGGGTGAAGATCTTGTGGGAGTTCTGAATACAGACAGATCGCCATTTGGAACACAACATGCCAGATATCATAGCTGTAGAGAACCGAAGTGTACAGCTGATTGATATCACTGTACCAGGAGATGCCAGAGTTGAAAAAAAAAAGAACTGGAAAAAATTATGAAATATCGCAACCGAGCCATCGAAACTGCGCGATTATGGATGAAACGTGTAACAGTGATACCCATTGTCATCGGGGCACTGGGAACTATGTCCAAAAACTTTGCAAAATACATCAAGAAACTGCAGCTTCCTGCAATAATGTTACAAAATAATGTTACAGAAAAAAAACCTGCGCTACTTAGAACATCTTATATTTTAAGGAGATACCTGGTTGACACCTAGGATGCTGGTAGCAACCCGTGTCAACCATCAGCGCCAGCCAATTTGAATGTTCAGTGGACTGAGGTTCATGTCTAATGAATAAAAGTATAATAATATAAGAAGCGAATAAAACATGGAAAAAAAACTCTTCCTGATCCCACAAAGCACTAAACCCCTTGATCTTTTGTCAGGCAATGAAGATTTGCATGGTGCCCCCCAAACATTGGGACCGGGTAGTGAGTGGGGCCAAAGATATTGTAATATTTTGCTGGTTGCACAATGATTATTTTTCTTTGTGTTTTTGGTTTGGTTTATAGAAGATTTTGATGGGCTGTCTGTCAAAACAAAGCAAGATTATGGCATACACTTGAAAGGAGACCAGGAAGGCTGTAAGTGGGGAGGTTGTTTGGAAGAACAAAGAATGCTTATTCACAGGGGATATGCACGTGTAAAGCGTGTAACAATTCTGTGTGGTCAAAAAGCTGATAAAAGTAACAAAAGACTTAGGCATCTTGCAAGCTCAGCTAGAACAGTGGTTCTCAACCTTTTTAATGCCGCAACCCCAACTGGTTGTAAGTTGAGGACTACCCAACCGGTCGTAAGTCAAGGACTACCCAAACGGTCGTAAGTCAAGGACTTTCCCTGCCAGGGAGTGCTGTGCATGCGTGGTGCCGCCCCCTGCACCGGCCGAGGCATAGCTGGCAAAGGGCAGCTACGGCGCAGGCCGACCACCGGCTGGGCCACCAGCTGGCCCAGCCCAAGGGAGGTAAGGCACCTGCCGGGCCCCACACGCACCAGCAACCCTCCCTGCACCCGCCGGCCTCCCACCTCCCACCCCTGGCCTCTTTTACTTACATTTTTAGTAGTTGCTCAGCAGGAAGGGGTGGAAAGTTCCAGACAGCTCGCCTTCGCTGCAGACAACTTGCAGCACCGTTTGCAGAATGGGACTTTTGGCGGGCTCAGCAGGGCAGAGACAGCCTGGACAATTCCTATTGGCTTTTGAAAGCCAATAGAATTAGACTCTATTCAAGAGAGTCTATTCTATTGGCTTCCAAAAGCCAATAGAATAAAAGGGAATAGCACAGCTAAGGAAAAGGGGGGAAAAAATGGCGGACTGCATTGTTTGGCGACCCCCGTGAAATGGTCGTTCGACCCCAAATGGGGTCCCAACCACAGGTTGAGAACCGCTGAGCTAGAAGCTAGGAATAGAGATGGCCTGGAGGAAATAGAATGTGTATTAGATAACTCCTGAAGCATTCATTAGCCAAGGCTTAGGAATAGGGAACGCTAGAGACCAATAGAATAATTGTTAGATTATTATTGAAATGTTTATTAGATGATATTTCTTATATATCCCACCTTATCCCGCCTTCTACTTCAGAGAAAATGTATAAAACTTTATTAATTCTGTGGTTCGAGGTTCCTTGGAATTTTGGCCAGGATCCCTTTTCTTGGAGCGCTTTAATAAAAGACAACAAAATCTACACCTCGTGTCTGGTGTTCTTTATTGGCCTCAGCACCAGGCTCAGACCTGAATTGGGGACAACAATTTAATCATTTTGAAGTGAACTGAAGGCACTTCAAGTCACAGGTTCAGACAAGCACAAATTACAGGGCTCACTTCCTCTGATTTAGGCCCAGTGAACAGCTGCCCATTCATGCTGAACCATGCTTAGTTGGTTGCCCTCCTCTGTCTAAGTCACAGTGGGCTACTTTATTTAATTATTAAATGCATTCTTTAACTCCTGAAAACAAGGCTGGAAAAATGAGGTCTGGAGACCTCTTGACCCTAGAGTTATCTCCAAAGCTGATGGGACCAATTTTTGCACCCCATTTTGGTACTTATTGGACTCAGCAGCCAAGTGAAATTAGCACATTATATTGGAGGCATCTCAAAGCAAGCAAGCACTTGCTTGATGGGGCACTTTCCGCCAAGTAGTTTCCACATTTGAGTCAATCACACTCTTAGCCCAATGTTGTATGGAAAAATTAAAGGAAGGTGTGTTATCTGTATGGTGTTAGCACTTCACAGTGGATAGAGACACTCTGCTGTTTTAGCTTCAGCTTGAACATAGATGATGGAACTGTGCATGATGCAATGAAGCCTTAAGATTTCATTGTAAATAAAGTAGCAATAGAGGCATTGTGTTTGGGCAACGAGGCCTAAGGATTAAGGTATCAAAATGTGTCAGTGCTACTAAATAAAGTCACTTAGAAGAACAGGAAGAACCAGAACAGTTGAAGAGCAGCAAATGAGATGCATCTCCTTTTAACCTTTGCTTTGACTTTTATGCTTTCTGCACAGCAGGTAAGTCTAAATTTTGTGGATTGCAATTGCTTTTCAAATGGGGTGCCTGCAGATGAAACAAGTTAGCATCTTTTTGAGCTTGTCCCCATGCTTGTCCCCACTACTGGGCCTTGAGCTGTCAGAACTGGCCCGCTGAAACTTGCGTGAGCATCAGGCAAGCGCATGCACACATGCTCCATTTATTAGGCACTAGTGATTGCCTAACTAAGTTTAGTTCCAGTGCCAGATCCAGATCCAAATCCAAATCAGTGTTGGGTTTCTGAGCTGTGTATCGATCTCACTTGATTCAGGCAGGGATAGAAATATCCCTGTGAGAATAATTAACCAGTGGAACAACCTGCCTCCAGAAGCGGTGAATGCTCCAACACTGGAAGTCTTTAAGAAGAGACTGGACAGCCATCTGTCCGAAATGGTGTAGGGTTACCTGCCTGAGCAGGGGGTTGGACTAGATGACCTCCAAGGTCCCTTCCAACTTTACTACTACTACTACTACTATTATTATTATTATCGATCATCGCACAGTCAGCCAGATGTTCAGACTGGATCTGGCATTTTGTCTACCTATTGAGTCCTTACCAAGGACCTGGGATAGGCAGATGTGGATGTTTGATGGTATTACAGATATCGTCGCAAGATGGAAGCAGTTCCTAGTAAGGCCACCTTTTGCAATTGACTAATGGCAAATTTGTCAATGTCAATGGTGTTCAAGTGGTGCTCCAGTTGTTTTGGGATTGCACCCAACGCGCCTATTACTACTGGTACTACCCTTCCTTGCTTTTGCCACAGTCTTTCTATTTCTATTTGTAGGTTTTTGTATTTTGTTATCTTCTCCAGTTCTTTCTCGTCTATTCTGCTGTCTCCAGGCACTGCCACATCCACTATCCAGACTTTTTTGTCTTTCTTATCGACAATTGTTAAGTCTGGGGTGTTATGTTGCAGGTGCTTGTCTGTTTGAATTCTGAAGTCCCAGAGCAGTTTAATTTTATCATTTTCTATGACTTTCTCTATTTTATGATCCCACCAATTCTTGCTTACAGGCAAATGATATTTCTTGCAGATCTTCCAATGCACCATTGTTGCTACTTTGTCATGCCGCAGTCTGTGCAATCTTCTTGCAGCAGCTTACCAGGTGGTCCACTGTTTCTTCTTCTTCTTCTTCTTCTTCTTCTTCTTCTTCTTCTTCTTCTTCTTCTTCTTCTTCTTCTTCTTCTTCTTCTTCTTCTTCTTCTTCTTCTTCTTCTTCTTCTTCTTCTTCTTCTTCTTCTTCTTCTTCTTCTTCTTCTTCTTCTTCTTCTTCTTCTTCTTCTTCTTCTTCTTCTTCTTCTTCTTCTTCTTCGTAGTATTAGTATTATTATCTGTTCTGGTCAGCATTAAATCACAATGGATATATCAGTATTAGATGTCTCTAATACATTTTTTAATTGTTTTGATGATTTCCCTTGGCTTTCCCAGGCAGCTTATCACCTTCTCATTTCTGATCTTGTCAACCCAGCTTATACGTAACAGTCGGCTGTAAATCCACATTTCAAATGCTTCTAGTCTCTTCAGGTGGCCTTCTGTCAGAGACCAGCTCTCTACTCCATAGAGCAGGGTAGAATAAATAAATAAAGTAAATTAAAAAGAAGTGAAGAAAACCAAATAAAATCTCAGAACACGGTTAATTCAGATTTGTTTTTTTGGTCCTAGCGTTCCCATTTATGATAACAAATATGTGTTTCCTAACTGGAGAGAAATAGCAGTTCATGGATAGGATATCTAAGTTGCCAGTGAGAACATGAGAGGTCCTGGATGTCCTGAAGTCTCAGGTTTCTTTATGCATATTGTGCTTGTGTGAATGTGGAAGAATATTGAAAAGAGAAAGGAAAGATAAACAGGTCTCAGAACATCATTAATTCATGTCTGAGTGTTTTGGCCTTGTCACCCCCTCTTGTAGCAAGAAATATGTGATTCCTGTTTGGACAATGCAGCCATTTATATGTGCTGGGATCTAGTGATGAGACAGTTGGAGAAGTCATATATGTTATCATGAGACCATCGGACTGATACCCTTCATTTCCCTTGTAGGAAAATGGCAGTGAAATGATGGAGAAAGTTATAGTAAGTAGTTCATTGTGCTCTAAACTTGTGTTCTTTTCTTGGGTCACTTCAGTCCTTGATTAGCAAATTTCTTGGAGGGTAAAAAGCAACCATCATCAAGATATGGATTCTTATTTCCACCCAAACTCAATAAACACCAGTTCATAGATGCTGCCATGAATTTGAGCTCTTTCATTTTGGAAATTAAACTTACACCTTCGCTTCCCTGCTTAACTGCTCATTTCAGAAAAAAAATATCAGAAAGGAACCACAGGCCACAAGGAAAACTGCAACTTGTGCCATATTCTGGCATGCCCATAAACGTCCCCTTCTTCCAGGTAGGCAGATAATCCCCCCACTGGCTGTTAGTGCCCACTAACCAGTCCCACTTCAGCCAGTGCCCCCCGTCAGCCCCACCTCACTGGCAGGTACCTCATCTTCCTTCACCAGCCATCACCATTAAGAGATTTCAAATTCTGGGCTTGGTTACAAAATAGCCAATGGCCTCTAACCTGTCAGTCTTGCTGCCAGCTGTTTGGGCACAAGGGAAGGCAGGAAAGAGGTCATCTTCCCTTGCGCCACGCAACCTATGGATTTCTGGGAAGTGTAGTCTGCAGCTTTCCCAAATTTTGTTTTTTTGGAAGCCAGGGATCCCAGCACCATGTATGTTACCCAATTGCAGGGATAGGCAACCTTGGCTCCTTTATGACTCGTGGACTTCAACTCCCAGAATTCCTCAGCCAGTAAGGCTCAGCTTGGAAACCTCTCCCTTTCCCCTCAGCGTGGCTGGCTGAGGAATTCTGGGAGTTGAAGTCCACCAGTCATAAAAGAGCCAAGGTTGCCTACTCCTGCCCTATTGGAATTACTTTGGTTCAAGAATGGTCGCCAGTTTGACTCAATTGAAGTTTATAGATGAACAGACTCAGGCATTTGAGGTAGTTTCTAGCCCTGAAGGTTGAGACTCATCACATATTCCTGCATCAGATGCAATTTTTCTGGTAAAATGGATTTCCCCCCTTCCTTTTTCCAGAGATTATTTTATTGAGCCATTTTTGCAAACCCATAAAGAAATATTTTACTCCCAAAAAATGTGTTAAAGGACTGATCCTTTCCTATTAGAAGAAGGAAGGAATTCATTTTTATCATATATGAGATGGCAGAGACACCAGGGTTGGAGATAACTTATATGTTCTCATGTGAGAAGAGAGATGATACCCTTTGTTTCCATTGCAGAATGCAATTGGTGAGGAAGGTCTAAAAAAACTAATGGTAAGTAGCTCTTTGATCATCTTCTTTCTTTTCCATGTGAAATAGCTTTCTTGCATGATATCAAGCAAGCCCTTTTGGGATTCTACCCCACCAAAATTTAGCAGATATATACGAAGTACTGACCTATATTAAGATTATATACAGTATTTAGAAAGATAGGTACTTTGTTTTGTTTTTTTTAGGAAAGCTGTGATAATAGAATAGAATAGAATAGAATAGAATAGAATAGAATAGAAGAGTAGAGTAGAGTAGAGTAGAGTAGAGTAGAGTAGAGTAGAGTAGAGTAGAGTAGAGTGGAATGGAATGGAATGGAATAGAATAGAATAGAATAGAATAGAATAGAATAGAATAGAATAGAATAGAATAGAATAGAATAGGATTATCAAATTATTCTCCAAAGTACAAGAGGGCAGGACAAGAAACAATGGTTGGAAACTGACCAAAGAGAGAAGCAACCTGGAATTAAGGAGAAAGTTCCTAACAGTGAGGACAATAAACCAGTGGAACTCCTTGCCTTCAGAAATCGTGGGCGCTCCATCACTGGACATTTTTAAAAAGAGGCTAGACAGTCACTTGTCTGAGATGGTATAAGTTCTCCTGCTTGAGTGGGGGGCTGGACTACAAGACCTCCAAGGTCCCTTCCAGCTCTATTCTATTCTACCTCAGGTTTCTCAATGCATACTATACTTCATTGAATGCGAAAGAAAACATTGAAAAGAGAAAGAATAAGGGGAAATAGCTTCAGAATACTGTTAATTCAAATTTGCTTTTTAATTCTACCCCTCTCTGTTATAATAAGAAAGGTGTGTTTCCTAAGTGGAGGAAAGCAACAATTCAGGTAAATGATATCTAAGATGGTAGCGATGGCAGGAATAGAGAGGTCCTGGGTGTTTTCATGTCAGAATACAATTTAACTTGCTTGTTTCCCCTTTAGAATGCTATGGATGACTACGATCTTGACAAATTAATGGTAAGTAGTTCTTTCTTGAACTTCATCCTTTTGTTTTGAATAATAAACGTCTTGCCTGCAATGAAGCATCCCTGTGTTAGAACAACACTGACCCCAAACCTACTTCATGTAGTTGTATGTGTGGACAAGGATTTTTCAGAGCTGTTCCCAAGGATGTTTTGCTCTGGGGAACATCGTCCTGGACAATTTTTTTCCCCCTGTAATTTCTGTCCCTTTTTGGTGTAACTCATCAGTGTGGTCCTAATGCAGTTTTGTTGATCAAGTGATGTATTTCTTCATCTCCTTGTCCAGGGTCTGTTTTATCAGGAAACGTTATGGAAAGGAAAAAGAGGAATTTTTCAAATGATCCAATTTTTTTTTAATGAAGCCTAAATCTTTCTCTTTTTTTAATAAAAAATTTTATTAATTTTTTTTTCATCAACATATGTTAATTTTTCCAATCAACAAGTTGTCTGGAAATGCTATGCTAATACATGTTCAATTCCTAATCCTTCGTTCTCTTCTCTAACCAAGAATAAAATAAATTCCAAATTTGATAGTAGTCTGTATCTTCTTTATCTTTCAATCTCACAGTTAATCTGTCCATCTCTGCACATTCCAATATTTTCCTGAGAATCTTTCTCTGGGTTACTTAGTCCACACTCCCTTATTTTGGCTACAAATACATCTGCATTTCTGGAATTTGCATAATATATTAAATACTAAAGTGATCAAATAATCTCCATTTCCATAATATAGTAAAGCATAAAAAAATCTAAGCAAGATTAAAACTATTCAAGTTTAGGAACCTGTGATAATGCAGCTACTATGTTATTATCTTGTTCTAGGACAGTGTTTCTCAACCTTGACAATTTTAAGGCATGTGGACTTCAACTCCCAGAATTCCACAGCCAGCAATGCTGGCTGTGGAATTCTGGGAGTTGAAGTCCATATGCCTTAAAATTGTCAAGGTTGAGAAACACTGTCTAGGATCATATACAGGTAACCCTTGACTTATGTCTTATGACCACAATGGAGACTGCCTATCATAGGCATAACTTGTGACAGATATAAATTGAGTCACCCATATGACCAATCTGTTTTTATGACTATTTTTGTGGTGGTGGTTAAGAAATGGGACACGCATTAAGCTCTGGACTTTTTTTTTTTAAAACGGAATGCATTTTCAGCAAAACTATTGTAAAACGCTATCATACGACCACAAGACACTACACACAGCTATAAATGTGGGCCAGTTGCCAAGTGCTCAACATGCAGAGACATGACAGCAATGGAGAAGGGTCTGGCTGTTGGAATTTGTAAGTACCCTTAGGGAGGTTTGTTGTAACTTTGCACAGACACACAGTGACCTGTCGTAAGTGAAGGACTACATATATGCAATGTAGAGATTTAATGCCAGATTCCAAAACAGCTAGAAATCCACAGCCTTCATTTGCCAGCAAGCATCTTATCTTTTCAAATAGTAATTTAATACAAGCATTATTCCACTGGATTCTCCGGCAGATTTGGGTTGTGTGACAGTGGAAGAATATTGAAAAGAAATCAGAACAAAATATTTCACAACACAACTCATCCATGTGTGCCTTTTTTTTTGCCGTATCAAAATCTGTTCTGAAATGTTAGTATCTCATCTGTAGAATGAAGCAATTCACATGAATGATATCAAAGGTGGTAGTAATGATGTGGCTATTTTTGTTTGTTTGTTTCAAAGATTCATATGGTGCCCATTTATGCAGCAGAAACCGGGTTAGAGAAGTCATATGTGATGTCATGTCAGAATAAAAATCATAGCTTTTATTTTCTTTTCAGGAATGTATAGAAAGACATTGTGAAATGGCTGATTTTGTGGTGAGTACCTCTTTGCTTATCCTGTTCTTTCCTTGTGAAATATTCTCCTTGCATGTAATGAAGTTCCCTTCTTGTGAGTCTGCTCCCAACCCAGAAACCATTACCATTGTCCCCAGAGCATCAAGAAAGAAGGCAAGGTTAAAATCCTGGGCCAGTTTTGATAAAGGTCCTTGAGACACCTCTTAAAATGCACCCACCACCTGCCCTATTATAAAACCAGATGCCCTAAAGCAGTGGTTCTCAACCTTTTTAATGCCGCGACCCCCAACCGGTCATAAGTCGAGGACTACTCAACCGGTCGTAAGTCGAGAACTACTCAACTGGTGCAGCACCGTTTGCAGAATGGGACTTTTGGCGGGCTCAGCAGGGCAGAGACAGCTTGGACAATTCCTATTGGCTTTGGAAAGCCAATAGAATTAGACTCTATTCAAGACAGTCTATTCTATTGGCTTTCAAAAGCCAATAGAATAAAAGGGAGTAGCACAGCTGAGGAAAAGGGGGAAAAAATGGCAGACTGCGTTGTTTGGCGACCCCCGTGAAATGGTCGTTCGACCCCAAATGGGGTCCCGACCCACAGGTTGAGAAGCACTGCCCTGAAGGCAGGGAGGGTCGATGGGATTATCAACTATTGTTGTTGTTATTCATAGTACTATTACTTAAAGTACAGATAGACAGGAATTGGGACCAGGAATTCTGTTGCTAAGCAACACGGTCAGAAATCATGAGGTCACATGATCATGTTCCTTAGGAACAACAATTCCACCAATTTTGCTTCTGTTCTTTGTATAAGGATAGGTCATTAAAGAAGTACCTTGTGTGATTGCAACTTTTGATTTCCTACCAGCTTCCCCACTGAATTTGCTTGTGGGAAGTTAGTAGAGAACATCAGAAATCACAGTGACATAACTGCAGGGATCCTTTGAGGAACTCCAAGGAGCCACTGTACATTCCTCTCATTCAGCGCCATTGTAATGGTATTCAAAAAATGGTTGTAATGCAAGGACTACCTTAGATATTGATTAAATTATTTACATTTAATAAATGTTTGGGCTCAATGAAGATGCTGAGACTCTAGAAGGAGTACAGAGAAGAGCAACAAAGATGATTAGGAGACTGGAGGCTAAAACATATGAGGAGCGGTTGCTGGAATTGGGTATGTCTAGTTTAACGAAGAGAAGGACGAGGGGGGACATGATAGCAGCCTTCCATTATCTCAGGGGCTGCCCCAAAGAAGAGGGAATCAAGCTATTCTCCAAAGCACCTGAAGGCAGGACAAGAAAGAACGGATGGAAACTAATCAAGGAGAGAAGCAACCTAGAACTAAGGAGAAACTTCCTGACAGTTAGAACAATTAACCAGTGGAACCACCTGCCTCCAGAAGCGGTGAATGCTCCAACAGTGGAAATTTTTAAGAAGAGACTGGACAGCCATTGTCTGAAATGGTGTAGGGTTTCCTGCCTGAGCAGGGGGTTGGACTCGATGACCTCCAAGGTCCCTTCCAACTTTATTATTATTATTGATCATCGCACGGTCAGCCAGATGTTCAGACTGGATTTGGCATTTTGTCTACCTATCGAGTCCTTACCCAGGACCTGGGATAGGCAGATGTGGATGTTTGATGGTATTACAGATATCGTCGCAGGATGGAAGCAGTTCCTAGTAAGGCTGCCTTTTGCAATTGACTAATAGCGAATTTGTCAATGCCAATGGTGTTCAAGTGGTGCTCCAGTTGTTTTGGGATTGCACCCAAGGAGCCTATGACTATTGGTACTACCCTTGCTTGCTTTTGCCACAGTCTTTCTATTTCTATTTGTAGGTCTTTGTATTTTGTTATCTTCTCCAGTTCTTTCTCTTCTATTCTGCTATCTCCAGGCACTGCCACATCCACTATCCAGACTTTTTTTGTCTTTCTTATCGACAATTGTTAAGTCTGGGGTGTTATGTTGCAAGTGCTTGTCTGTTTGAATTCTATTATTATTATTATTATTATTATTATTATTATTATTATTATTACAACAATTTGAAACTTCATGAAGGGGTGGATAAGCTGAAGATGTTGGGGACTCCCGGTGTAAAGAGCCCCTTGATGACTGAGTAACAAAGAAAGTGCCATGGGTTTCTCTGCGGGCAGGGGGTCAAGCAAAGATTTAGGTGTGGTGATGCCATCCTGCAGCTGTTGGGACATAAGAAGGTAATTTAGCTTCTTTGTGAGATCATGTCATGTCATTTGAGTAGAGATGAGAGTGGATTTTTGGAGGAGCCCTTCTATTTTAACACCTCTTGCTATATTCGACAGCACAGAATCAGCAATAGAGTCCTTCAAGTTTTGGGGTTCACTAATCTCCTAGGACTTGAAATGGATGCTTAACATTAGAACCATCATTAAAAAAGGTACAACAAAGAATATTCTCCCGGAATCAGGGAAGTTCAGACAGTCCCAGGAGCTGTTGACACAGTTTTACAAAGGAATGATTGAGTTTGTCATTTGTACTTCTATAACTGATGCAAAAACCAAACAGCAACAGGTATAGACTCCAACAGATAATTAGGACTCCAGAAACAACAGTTGCAACCAGCCTGCCTTCCATAGAAGACCTCTCTATTGCACAGGTCAGAAGGAGGGCTGAGAAAATATCTACAGACCCCTCGTATCCTGGACATAACTTGTTTCAACTCCTCCCCCCAGAACCTACCTCAAAGGGTTGATGTGGCTTTACGTGCCTTCTCTAGTGACATGAGACCATTCCCATCAATATCCCCCATGGCCCTCAAAGACCTACCAGTTTATTTTGATGCACTGCAGTGACCCAGGCAAGACCCACCTAGATGCTCATGTTGTGACAGATGGGAAATATCATAAGAAATATATTTTAATTAACAGGAGTGATGTGATGTAATATTATTATTCAAATAATATTAAGCTTTAAGTCATATTAGGGCCTGGCTAAATGAAATAACCTGTGTGCTAATTCTATGAAGAAAACATTTTACAAGAAGTGTCAACTGAAAGTCACAAATGGTGTAAGGTATTACCCGTGTAGGGCGGTGTGGTAAGATAGTCATTTGTGTGAACTTCTCTTTTTTCTAGTGTGTGGTCTCAAGATGTAAAAAAGATGTTGAGACTCTAGAAAGAGTACAGAGAAGAGCAACAAAGATGATTAGGGGACTGGAGGCTAAAACATATAAGGAACGGTTGCTAGAATTGGGTATGTCTAGTTTAACGAAGAGAGGGACAAGGGGGGACATGATAGCAGTATTCCAATATCTCAGGGGCTGCCATAAAGAAGAGGGAATTAAGCTATTTTCCAAAGCACCTGAAGGCAGGACAAGAAGCAATGGGTGAAACTAATCAAGGAGAGAAGCAACCTAGAACTAAGGAGAAACTTCCTGACAGTGAGAACAATTAATCAGTGGAACAGCTTGCCTCCAGAAGCAGTAAATGCTCCAACACTGGAAGTTTTTAAGAAGAGACTGGACAGACATTTGTCCGAAATGGTGTAGGGTTTCCTGCCTGAGCAGGGGGTTGGACTAGATGACCTCCAAGATCCCTTCCAACTTTACTACTATTATTATTATTAAGATATAAACTTCTCCGTTTTAGTGTGTCCAAGGTATATAAGAGTCATCCTGAGTGCAAAGCGTGGGTGACCAGCTGTATAAGAATAACGCCCTGGGAGTAGCCCGGGGTTCAGAATTTGTCATGAGAATGCTCTGAACCATTTTGCGCAAATAAACCTGTTTTCTCCAACCCTTTGTGGTCTTGTCTTCTGATGTAAGTATCGTGGTTTTTCCACTACAATATCATGCTCTGGCAAAGCCTATTTATGAAGGAATCCATAAAAGAGGATAATGGTTTTTCTCCTTCCTTGAAGGACCTCATGGAGAAGATGTTAAATGCTCTTAAGGAAATACCACATGGCGATAAACTGATATATAAATTGATGGTAAGTCGATATGCACTTACGTTTTCTCATTTCATCTATGTCTTCTATGTTATCCTTCTTCGATGTGACCACAGCAGTCCCCTTGAGCCTCACTCCACCCCAAAGGAGCTCCAGATATTTCCATAATAATCGCAGCAGGAAGCTATAAGCTCATGGGGACATTTAAAGGACGGGAAAGCTTTGACTATTGTCGGAAGTTGAAAGAGTCTGGCTTTACAGATCTTCCCTGGGGCTTAGGAAAAAGGTCTAAAACAGTGGTTCTCAACCTTTTTAATGTCGCGACCCCCAACTGGTTGTAAGTCGAGGACTACTCAACCAGTCATAAGTCGAGGACTATTCAACTGGTGCAGCACCATTTGCAGAATGGGACTTTTGGCAGGCTCAGCAGGGCAGAGACAGCCTGGACAATTCCTATTGGCTTTGGAAAGCCAATAGAATTAGACTCTATTCAAGAGAGTCTATTCTATTGGCTTTCAAAAGCCAATAGAATAAAAGGGAGTAGCACAGCCAAGGAAAAGGGGGAAAAAATGGCGGACTGCGTTGTTTGGTGACCCCCGTGAAATGGTCGTTCGACCCCAAATGGGGTCCTGACCCACAGGTTGAGAACCACTGGTCTAAAAGAAGATATACTTCTATATCTTTCATTTTCCAGATAGGAGCTATGCCTTTCTAAGTACAAATGGAGTGATAAAGCCTACTTAATAGCATTCTGTGTCTTTTTTTTTATTGAAAAGTTTTATACAAATTTTCCATTTTATTACAATAATATCCCTCCCTCCCTCCCTCCCCCCCAACCCTACCCCCCCCCTCACTTCCCAGATCTGATTACAGGGTTACAAATAAGCAAACAAATTCTAACTAAGCTTATCCAACTATACCAATAACCAAATCCGTAAAATACTTCAACTCAAATACAAGAAGATTTCAAAAAAATTAAAAACAAAAATAACAATATAAACAATTCCCACTTTAAACTATAAATTATTCCTTCTGTGTCTTGTTATTGTGAGCAAAGAGCTTTTGTGATTTTTTTTCCTCTTAAAAGACACATTATTGCGCAACTGTTCTAAAAGCTTTGCTATAGATCAGTGATGGCGAACCTTTTACAGACCGAGTGCCGAAAACCCGCCTCCCCGCCTGCCCCACCCTACCCCCACCCCATCCACGCTCCGCCCCCTGCTCCACCCCCACTTCGTGCTCCTCCCCGCCCACAGGGCCACTCACCGCCTCCATGGCCTGCTGCAGCACATCCAGGTGGCCCAGCAGTGCCATGGCGACCATGCCCTCCACCTGCATCCCGCGGCACCAACTGCATGTGATGGGGCACGAGGGCAGTCTTGTCCTTGCTGCCTGGCTGCCATGTTCTTGGCTGCGCTGCTCTGCGTGGGCCACACCCGGGGGCGAGTCTCCACCGGGGGGGATGTTGGTGAGGAGGGGGAGGTGGGGCTGGGGCAACGGCAAGCGTGCCCACAGAGAGGGCTCTGAGTTCCACCTTCAGCACGCATGCCATAGGTTTGCCACCATTGCTATAGATGAAATCAATATATGGTATTGAAGTTATCTGTGATGGCATAGTTATTGATAGTTACCTTATCAGAACAGAACTGATCCCCTTTTGCTTCCTTTGTAGAAGGGACTTGTAAAACACGGTCCTCTGGCTGAATTGGTAGTAAGTAGCTTTGATTTATCTTCTTCCATCTCTTTCTTTAAATTCTTCTTGCATCTGAACAAGGATCTCCTTGTTCAGGGACATGAACAGTATTCCATGGGGACATGATAGCAGTATTCCAATATCTCAGGGGCTGCCATAAAGAAGAGGGAATCAAGCTATTTTCCAAAGCACCTGAAGGCAGGACAAGAAACAATGGGTGGAAACTAATCAAGGGGAGAAGCAACCTAGAACTAAGGAGAAACTTCCTGACAGTGAGAACAATTAATCAGTGGAACAGCCTGCCTCCAGAAGTGGTGAATGCTCCAACACTGGAGGTTTTTAAGAAGAGACTGGACAGCCATTTGTCCGAAATGGTGTAGGGTTTCCTGCCTGAGCAGGGGGTTGGACTAGATGACCTCCAAGGTCCCTTCCAACTTTATTATTATTATTATTATTATTATTATTATTATTGTTGTTGTTGTTGTTGTTGTTGTTGTTGTTGTTCAACTTTTTTCCCTTGGGAAGTCTGGGATACTATTCTTCGTGTCACAGGAATGCTGGGTTGTGTCTCATTTTTAGACACTATTGATGACTAGAAATGAAGACATGTAGTGCATGTTCCCAAAGCTTTTTTTTCCCTCCAAGTTTCATGTCTATTAAAGGACCTCTTATCTCTGAAACGTTGTTTGTGTTCATGTATAAATTCAATGCAAACTTCAGTACAGGTTTATTGGGTTTCTGAAAATGCTTGCACTGAATTTGTGTATCTGTGTTAATGTGGAAATAATATTGAAGGGAAAGAAAAGGACAAGGGGTCACAGAACACTATTAATTCTCACCCTGGTTTCTCTCTCTCTCTCTTTCTCTCTTTCTCTCTTTCTCTCTCCCTCCCTCCCTCCCTCCCTCCCTCTCTCTCTCTCTCTCCAGTATCTTTCCACACTGACACAATTAATTAATTTTGTTTTGGTCTCAAATCACTTCCTGATTTAATAAATAATGTATGTTTGCTACTTGAAGAATGAAGAAATTCATTTTTATGGGATATGAAATGGCAGGTGGTTGGAAAAGTTATAGATGTTCTCCTGCGAGAATAGAGCTGATACCTTTTGTTTCCATTGCAGAATGAACTGAGTGAAGAACTTATGTTGGAAATAATCGTAAGTAATTCTTTGACCATCTTTCTCCCTTTCCTAAATATCTTTAAATATCTGTAAATATCTTTTTTTTGTATGCAATCAAGCAGCCCTTTTCAGATTTAACCCCACTTCCACCAAAATTTAGTAGTTATATACAAAGCACTGAGATTTACCCAAATTATATATTTAGGAGGATAGTTATCTTGCTTTATGACAAAAGCTATGATATGCATTCTTAAAACAATATTGCACACTTCCACTGATCCCTAAAGTTTGGGGAGTGACTGATGGTGTGTGGAGTACCTAAATAAGGCTTTTAGGATTCAGAATAGCCAAAAAAAAATTGAATCTTTTTCTGACAGAAAATGCTCTGAATTTGAGCTGATTTTCTTGTAGCAGTTGGAAGAGGGAATGGAATGCTATTGTGGAATTTCAATAATCCCCTTTCCTCACATGGCTACACTGAAAATCAACTAGAGCAAATAGAAGTGAAGACATAAATCTGCATATTCGATTTACATATATACATTGCATATTTTGGCTGCATATATTGCAGACAAAAAAGCTAATACAATCCTGGGTTGTATAAACAGAGGCATAGAATCAAGATTGCACAAAATATTAATACTGCTTTATAAAACCCTAGTGAGACCCACACCTGGAATATTGCAACCAATTTTGGTCGCCATCCTACAAAAAAGATGCTAAGACTTTGGAAAAAGTTCAGAGAAGAGCAACTAAAACAATCAAGGGCCTGGAGACTAAAACATATGAAGAATGGCTGCAGGATTTGGGTTTCGCTAGTCTAAAGAAAAGAAGAAATGGGGGGGGGGACATGATAGAGTATTCCAGTATTTGAGGGGCTGCCACAAAGAAGAGGGGTCAAATTATTCTCCAAAGCACCAGAGGGCAGGACAAGAAACAATGGTTGGAAATTGATCAAGGAGAGAAGCAACTTGGAATTAAGAAGAAACTTTCTGACAGTGAAAACAACTAACCAGTGGAACAGCTCGCCTCCAGAAATCGTGGGCGCTCCATCACTGGTGATTTTAAGAAGAAGCTGGACAGTCTCTTGTCTGAGATGGTCTAGGTTCTCCTGCTTGAGCAGGGGGCTGGACTAGAAGACCTCAGAGGTGCCATTCTATTCTATTCTATTCTATTCTATTCTATTCTATTCTATTCTATTCTATTCTATTCTATTCTATTCTATTCTAATAATAATAATAATAATAATAATAATAATAATAATAATAATAGTAATGATGTTGGAAGGGATCTTGGAGGTCATCTAGTCCAATCCCGTGCTGAGGCAGAAAACCCTATACCATTTCAGACAAATGGCTGTCCAATCTCTTCTTAAAAACTTCCAGTGTTGGAGCATTCACCATTTCTGAAGGCAGGTTGTTCCACTGGTTAATTGTTCTCACTGTCAGGAAGTTTCTCCTTAGTTCTAGGTTGCTTCTCTCCTTGATGAGTTTCCATCCATTGCTTCTCGTCCTGCCTTCGGGTGCTTTGGAGAATATTCTATTCTATTCTATTCTATTCTATATTGATATGCTGATATGATTATATGTATATGTATATGTACACCTCACATTTGAACTTATTTGGAGGAGGAAAAGGCAGAGAAGGTAGAAGAGAAGGTGCCTAACTGAAGTGGAATAAGCAAACATCCCATTATAAGGATGTCTTTACCTGTATAGGTTTATGACTAATGTGAATATAAATTCACGCATGAAATGTGGATCTGTAGAACAATGTTCTCAAAAGAATGTTGTCCCCCCAAGGGGGGGGGGACAAGCTTCTCTTTTCTAAGCAATCATCTTATCTGCATAGCTGCAACCATTATACCCCAGGATTTTTAAATGCATATTTTTATTCCATGATCGTTGAACAAAAAATGAAAAGAGAAAGAAATGGGAAAAGAATCCTCTGAACACAGTTAATTCAACTTCGTTTTAGAGATGAACCCTGTTGTGATAAGAAATGTGTGTTTCCTAACTGGAGGGAAGAAGCAATTCATGTAAATTCATGTAAATTCAAGTATTAATACCACTCTTCAATGCCTTGGTAAGGCCACAGTTGGAATACTGCATCCAGTTTTGGTCACCACGATGTAAAAAGGATGTTGAGACTCTAGAAAGAGTACAGAGAAGAGCAACAAAGATGATTAGGGGACTGGAGGCTAAAACATATAAGGAACGGTTGCGAGAATTGGGTATGTCTAGTTTAACGAAGAGAAGGACAAGGGGGGACATGATAGCAGTATTCCAATATCTCAGGGGCTGCCATAAAGAAGAGGGAATTAAGCTATTTTCCAAGCACCTGAAGGCAGGACAAGAAGCAACGGGTGGAAACTCATCAAGGAGAGAAGCAACCTAGAACTAAGGAGAAACTTCCTGACAGTGAGAACAATTAATCAGTGGAACAGCTTGCCTCCAGAAGCAGTAAATGCTCCAACACTGGAAGTTTTTAAGAAGAGACTGGACAGCCACTTGTCCAAAATGGTGTAGGGTTTCCTGCCTGAGCAGGGGGTTGGACTAGATGACCTCTAAGGTCCCTTCCAACTTTACTACTACTATTATTATTATAAATGATATCCCAGATGGTAGAGGTGGCAGGGATAGAGAAGACCTGGGTGTCTTCTTATCAGAATAGAATTTGATGTGCTTGTTTCCTTTCTAGAATGCTTTGGATGCCAGAGCAATTGAAAAAATAATGGTAAGTAGTTCTTTTTTTTTCATTTTCTGCCGTTTTGTTGAGTGATATTCTTCTTGCACGGAGTGAAACTTTCCTTTTGTGATTCTGCCCCTCCCAAAAAGCATCTACAGAATTCCCAGAGCATGAACAGAGCAGGAATGGCCAAAACATTTCACCTGTTTTCTTTTTGAAATAATTTATCCCTTAAGAAAATTCCCCACTGCCAAATCGGGTGATGTTTCCCCTGGGAATGAGTAGCAAAGTCAGGGACCAGGTCTCAGCCATGGGGTGTGCCTTTGGAAAAGAGGGGGAAGGTGTACCATGTGTGTAATTTTGTCATTCTGCAGTTGTTGGGATTCGTGTCATCTGTTGAGACGCAGGTAGATAATTGCAGCTTTTTTGTGATGATACTGCATCATGCCATGCATATCAAGGAGAGAAGCAACCTGGAACTAAGGAGAAACTTCCTGACAGTTAGAACAATTAACCAGTGGAACAACCTGCCTCCAGAAGCAGCGAATGCACCAAAACTGGAAGTTTTTAAGAAGAAACTGGACAGCCATTTGTCTGAAATGGTATAGGGTTTCCTGCCTGAGCAGGGGGTTGGACTACATGACCTCCAAGGTCCCTTCCAACTTCTTCTTCTTCTTCTTCTTCTTCTTCTTCTTCTTCTTCTTCTTCTTCTTCTTCTTCTTCTTCTTCGTCTTCTTCTTCTTCTTCTTCTTCTTCTTCTTCTTCTTCTTCTTCTTCTTCTTCTTCTTCTTCTTCTTCTTCTTCTTCTTCTTCTTCTTCTTCTTCTTCTTCTTCTGATTATGATGATTATGATGATTATGATGATTATGATGATTATTATGAATAGAATAGAACAGAACAGAATAGAATAGGAGTTGGAAGCGACCTTGGAGGTCTTCTAGTCCAGCTCCCCTCTCAAGCAGGAGAACCTATACCATCTCAGACAAGTGACTGTCCCTTCCAACTTTATTAATAATAATAATAATAATAAGTCCCTGATGATCTAGCTTGCATGAGCAGAGGACTACCAGAACATTTTATCACATGCCATTTGCCATAGCATCTTTTGTTTTTAAACTCTGGTGCCCCCAGTATTAACTCATCTGATAGTAAACTTTAAAATGTGCGTCCCTTTTACATCATGTAAAAGTCACATGTGATATCTTTTCAAAATAAAAGTAATACTTTTGTTTCCATTGTAGAATGTGGGTAGACATCAAGTTGATAATTTTGTGTTAATGGTAAGTACCTGCTTGTTCATATTCTGTCCTGTTTTTGAATCATCTTCTTGCATGCAATAAAACATCCCTTTTGTTATTCCAGACCAGGCATCTTCAAACTTGGCCCTTTTATGACTTGTGGACTTCAACTCCCAGAATTCCTCAGCCAGGCATGCTGGGAGTTCAAGTCATAAAAGGGCCAAGTTGGAAGACCCCTGTTCAGATACCCCAGAGCAGAAACCAAATAGGCACAGCCAAAACATTTCACCTGTTTTAAGTTTCCTTTTAAAACAACTTCAAATACCTACTATATTCCTTATAACAAGACCGACTCCCAAATTGCAATGATGATGTCTCTGGGTACCCATTAGCAAAGGGAGAAACTTACATTTTGCCATTGTCCCCAAGGGATACGTGTTTGAATGGGGAGGGTTTCTCCAAAGTTACTTTTCCCTAATTGTGTTTTTTTCTCTCTCTGCAAAATGGTAGGTTGTGAGTTCAAATGGTCTTTCTGTCAGATACCATTTTCTGCTAAAACAGTGTTTCTCAACCTTTACCATTTTAAGGCATGTGGACTTCAACTCCCAGAATTCTGGGAGTTGAAGTCCACATGCCTTAAAATGGTCAAGGTTGAGAAACACTGTGCTAAAATATATTTCCACAATTTTATCAGAATATGGTTTGGAAACTAATTTGACTTTGTTCTCTTTGAAAAGGAGTGGTGAAGTTTTGGATAGGCTTTCAAGATTCTGCTAATATACCCAACCACATTATAGTGGTTTTCCATGAATCGCTGTCATGGCTTTCCTTACCTCAAAGGTTGATGTGGCTTTATGTACCTACTCTGCTGTTGTAAATTCATTCACATCAGTGTCCTCCATGGCCCTCAAGAGCTCACAGTTTATTTTAGTGGACTGTAGTGGCCCAAGCAACACCATTCATATCATGCACTGGCACAACTTATGAAGGAATCTATAAATAGTTTTTCTTCTTCCTTATAGCCATTTAGAAAAGAAATAATGCCTATTATCATGAAAGCTAATGATGGCAAAGGACTGCCTAAACTGATGGTAAGTAAATAGAAAGTTAAATTCTCTCATTTCTTCTATGTCTTCTATGTTACCTTTCTTAGCTATGATCACAGTAGCCCCAAGAATCTCCAGACATTTGAGAAAATTCCAGCAGGAAACTATAAACTCTTGTGAATATTTAAAGGAGAGTACTGATTTACAATCACAACTGAACCCACATTTTCTGTTGCTAGAAAGATAGTTGATAAGTGAGTTTTGGAATGGTTTTATCTACTTTGCTCAAACCATGCCATTGATATTAATACCCTCTGTGGCCCTCATTTATTTATTTATTTATTTATTAGTAAAATTTATATGCCATCCAATCCCTAGGGACTCAGGGCAGCATACAACATTAAAACAACAAGTATAACAATTAAAAATGAATACATTCACACAGCATGTCCCAATCGAATCCCAGCCCCCCCGGGGACATCAACCCCAGGCCTGCCGGAACAGGAGAGTTTTAATAGCTTTCTTGAAGGCCGGCAAGGTGGGAGTAGTTCGAATCTCGGGGGGAAGTTGATTCCACCACGTCGGAGCCACCACAGAAAAGGCCCTTCCCCGAGGGCCCGCCAGTCGATATTGTCTGGCTGACGGGACCTGAAGGAGGCCCAATCTGTGGGACCTCACCGATCTCTGGGAACTATGCGGCAGTATGCGGTCCTTTAAGTAACCTGGTCCTAAGCCATGAAGGGCTTTAAAGGTGACAACCAACACCTTGAATTGCATCCGGAGACCCACAGGAAGCCAGTGCAGCTCGCGGAGGATAGGTGACACGTGGGTGTACCTTGGTGCATCCAATCGCTCTCGCGGCTGCATTCTGAACCAACTGCAGCCTCCGAACGCTCTTCAAGGGTAGCCCCATGTAGAGCGCATTACAGTAGTCCAGTCTTGAGGTGACAAGGGCAAGAGTAACCATGAGTAGAGCCTCCCGTCCAAATAAGGCTGCAACTGGTGCACCAGGCGAACCTGGGCAAAGGTCCCCCTGGCCACAGCCGATAGATGTTGTTCCAAATTTAGCTGTGAGTCCAGGAGGACACCCAAGTTGCGTGCCTGCACTGAGGGAGGTAAATTTCCCCCCCCCCCAGGACTAATGATGGACCATCAGAATGACCCTTGGGGGGCAAGACCCAGAGCCACTTGATCATGGATCCACTCTTGATTTGAACAAAGATGGTATAGGTTCTCCTGCTTGAGCAGGGGGCTGTACTAGAAGACCTCCAAAGTCCCTTCCAGATTCTATTCTATTCTATTCTATTCTATTCTATTCTATTCTATTCTATTCTATTCTACTCTACTCTACTCTACTCTACTCTACTCTATACTCTACTCTATTCTAGTGGTCTAGGCCAGATGCACAGAAATCCTCATAGGATACATTGCCGTATCATAATTATAAAGGTATGCTTTTGTTTCCATTTTAGAGTATGCTCACTGGTGATACAAATGCAAAACCAGTAAGTAGCTTTTGTTTATTTCCTGCCATTGCTTTCTTCCATATTCTTTGAACCATCACCCCTCTTATCTTTCTTCTGCCTAAACCAAAAGCATCTCCAGAGCATCATCACAGCAGGCAGAGCCAAAATATTTTGCCCGTTTTTAGTTTTCTTTCCAATAACTCACTCCCCCAGCAGCCATATTGGGGGGAAGATTCCCCCTGGGGACTGAGCAGCAAAGGGGGGGGGGAATTTAGATTTCAGCCAGGGATGTCCATGTGGGGAAGATGGGAAGACATGAAATGGGCTTGATGATGTCTGCTGATTTGTGGTGATTTTTGCCAGCAAGGAAGCAATATCACAATTGTTATGATAATATTTCACATGTGTATCATTGTTTTTCAATTTATCAATTGAAATTTTCAATTTTATTGTTCTCTGGCTGCATCCAGCCAGTCTGATCAACCCATGGAGTTAAAGCAGAACCAGTTGGTGGCTGCAATTCTGCTGCTTCCTCCAGGCCTTCTTTTCCCTATCACATTGGGGGGATTAATTGTTGGCAGAAGCCCTTTTCCCACATGGAAAAGCTGATACAAGGCACAGGTGCAAAAAATGCCAACACAGTGCTGGGCTGCATTAACAGAGGGATAGAATCAAGATCCCGTGAAGTGTTAATACCACTTTACAATGCCTTGGTAAGGCCACACTTGGAATACTGCGTCCATTTTTGGTCACCACAATGTAAAAAAGATGTTGAGACTCTAGAAAGAGTACAGAGAAGAGCAACAAAGATGATCAGGGGACTGGAGGCCAAAGCATATAAGGAACGGTTGCTGGAATTGCCTAGTTTAATGAAGAGAAGGACAAGGGGTGACATGATAGCAGTCTTCCAATATCTCAGGGGCTGCCACAAAGAAGAGGGAGTCAAGCTATTCTCCAAAGCACCTGAAGGCAGGACAAGCAGCAATGGGTGGAAACTAATCAGAGAGAGAAGCAACTTAGAACTAAGGAGGAATTTCCTGACACTTAGAATAATTAATCAGTGGAACAACCTGCCTCCAGAAGTTGTGAATGCTCCAACGTTGGACGTTTTTAAGAAGAGACTGGACAACCATTTGCCTGAAATGGTATAGATTCTCCTGCTTGAGCAGGGGGTTGGACTAGAAGACCTCCAAGGTCCCTTCCAACATTATTATTATTATTATTGATCATCGCAGAGTCAGCCAGATGTTCAGACTGGATTTGGCATTTTGTCTACCTATCGAGTCCTTACCCAGGACCTGGGATAGGCAGATGTGGATGTTTGATGGTATTACAGGTATCGTCGCAGGATGGAAGCAGTTCCTAATAAGGCCGCCTTTTGCAATGGACTAATAGCAAATTTGTCAATGCCAATGGTGTTCAAGTGGTGCTCCAGTTGTTTTGGGATTGCATCCAAGGCACCTATTACTATTGGTACTACCCTTGCTTGCTTTTGCCACAGTCTTTCTATTTCTATTTGTAGGTTTTTGTATTTTGTTATTTTCTCCAGTTCTTTCTCGTCTATTCTGCTGTCTCCAGGCACTGCCACATCCACTATCCAGACTTTTTTGTCTTTCTTATCGATAATTGTTAAGTCTGGGGTATTATGTTGCAGGTTCTTGTTATTATTATTATTATTATTATTATTACTATTATTATTTATAAAGTTATATACATTAACCTTATTATATATTTTATATGTATTGTTGTTATTGTTAATTGCGAAGTTATGTCCGACCCATTGCGACACCATGGACAATGTTCCTCCAAGTCCTCCTCTACCATCTTCTGGAGTCCATTGAAGCTCACGCCTCCTGCTTCAGGGACTCCATCCAGCCACCTCCTTCTCTGTCGTCCCCTTCTTCTCTTGCCCTCCATCTTTCCCAGCATCAGGCCCTTCTCCAGTGAATCCTTCCTTCTCATTAGGTGGCCAAAGTCCTTGAGTTTCAACTTCAGGATCTGGCCTTCTCAAGAGCAGATTTTATATGTGGCCTAAGCCAATTCCTCTTCACCCAATGCAGCCCAGGCAAGACAAAAGGTTGAACATGCATAGACTGAGTGGGTGCACTCCAGCCCCCCCCCCATTCTATTTGACTGGTTCAAAAATCACAGTTGTCTTTTGCAGTAAAGTCATTGGTTTGGTCCATTATTTTCTTCTCCCCCAGACTCTCCCTTACCATCAACCTGTGCCTGGTGGACTTCATCCTGGGATGTCTGTATATGTGCAAGGGACAGTGCCCAAACACGCCAACAGGTAAATTTCCTTTGTGGGATCACAAGAAGGGCAAGATAATAATAAGATTATTATTATTATGTTAGGGGTAGTTTATATAATCCAAATTCTGTGCCAAGAATAAAACCTTTCTTAATTCTGTGGATAGTTACACTTCCTGCTTTTTCTAACACCAACTACGCCGTTGACTCTTCTCTTCAAGCCAAAAAGCAGCAGATTCTTGCTTCAAGCAAAAGAGAAGGGAGCAAAACTCTGCTCCGAGGTCCCATTTAATTTTCATCTTCTGTTTTCCTTGTTCTGTTCCAGATTCCTCTTGGACTTTGCCTGTTGCCAGCACGATGGGGCTGACATTCCCTTCCACGTCAGCCCTCAATTTGATGCAGAGAATATTGTGCTCAATACCTTTCAGGCTGGCAGGTGGGGAAAGGAAGAGAAATACAAGATGCCCTTCCAAAAGGGCGACCCTTTTGAGGTCATCTTCATCCTCAGTGGGGTCGGATACGAGGTTGGTACATGGAACAGAAGCTCCTTTGGGGCTGCAGGTGCCTTTTCATTCCTCCCCCCCCCCCCAGAATTCACCTTTTGTTTGGAATGAACCACAAATGTATTTAATACTGACTTTCCCAAGTTCATATCTTTTTTTTTAATTTTCTTTTTCACCATACACTAAAACAAACTTAAAATACATAAACATAAATCTTTTCTTTTAACAGAACAGTGCTGTACATTTTAACCATTCTTTACATCTTCTTTACACTTTATTTACATCATTGTCCTAGTAGACAATCACCTAAATAGGAGCCAGCAGTGTGCTGCAGCTGCCAAAAAGGCCAACACAGTGCTAGGCTGCACTAACAGAGGGATAGAATCAAGATCACGTGAAGTATTAATACCACTCTTCAGTGCCTTGGTAAGGCCACACTTGGAATACTGCATCCAGTTTTGGTCACCACGATGCAAAAAAGATGTTGAGACTCTAGAAAGAGTACAGAGAAGAGCAACAAAGATGATTAGGGGACTGGAGGCTAAAACATATAAGGAACGGTTGCTAGAATTGGGTATGTCTAGTTTAACGAAGAGAAGGACAAGGGGGGACATGATAGCAGTATTCCACTATCTCAGGGGCTGCCATAAAGAAGAGGGAATCAAGCTATTTTCCAAAGCACCTGAAGGCAGGACAAGAAGCAACGGGTGAAAACTAATCAAGGAGAGAAGCAATCTAGAACTAAGGAGAAACTTCCTGACAGTGAGAACAATTAATCAGTGGAATAGCCTGTCTCCAGAAGCAGTAAATGCTCCAACATTGGAAGTTTTTAAGAAGAGACTGGACAGCCACTTGTCCAAAATGGTGTAGGGTTTCCTGCCTCAGCAGAGGGTTGGACTAGATGACCTCCAAGGTCCCTTCCAACTTTACTACTATTACTATTACTATTAATTATATCTTTTTCTTTCTCTGTTCTAGCCAATTATAACATTCATTCCAAATTTCATAAAATTCTGTCGCCTCCTTGTCTTTTAATTCTAGTGTAAGTTTATTCATTTCTGCGCATTCCAACCCAAGTTCGTATCTTGCAGATAAGGTTTAAGTAAGGTACAGGTAGTTCAGGTTTTGCAACAACTGGGATTAGCATCTTAGTTATTAAGTGATGGGGGGTCCCTAAGTGAAACCAGGACTGTGTTTATGATCAAACCTCAGCTTTTCTTTATTTTAAAGACCTGTGAAGATTGTAAATGCATGCTTTGGTCACAAAGTTATTATTTTATCACTATCTTATTTGCAAACAGTCAAACAGTCCCTCTAGCTTAGTGGTGGCGAACCTAAGACACGGGTGCCAGAGGCGGCACTCAGAGTCCTCCCTGTGGGCACGTGCACCATCGCCCCAGTCCTAGGCCTTCAGCTGAGTTTTATAAACCCTTTTTGCTTTAGGCCTCCACCGCCGTGTACAAAAAAAAAAAAAGATTCAATCAATCAGTCAATTTCAACTTCTTGCGGGAAAAAAAAGATCTTGCAAAGTTGGAATTGATTGATTGAACTTTTTAGTCCCACCCAGTCTGCCGTTACCACCGCAGCCACGCCCACCCAATGGGCCATGCCCACCCAATGGGCCATGCCCACCCTGCACCAGACAATGCATAAGAGGGTTTTGGGTTGCAGTTTGGGCACTCGGTCTCTAAAAGGTTCGCCATCACTGCTCTAGCTGAAGTGGAAACCTTTTGGTGGTAGTGGGGGGGATGATGGGTATCAGTGAAATAAAGGCCTCTCCATTTTTACAAGCACACATTTCCGTATTTTTGACCCCCCCTATTGCTTCCTTGGGGTGGGATGTGTTCCTGGCAAGAACAAACGTGTTTTTTTTTCCCCCTGCAAATAAAGATGGATGATCCCAATTGTGACATGATCCCGTCATCTTTGTCCTCTGGCAGGTAATAGTGAACAAGAAGCCTTTTTGTACCTTCAAGCACAGAATGCCACTACAAAGCGTGCAGAACATCCATGTTGATGGAGACCTGGAGCTTCAATCTCTGGCTGTCATGGAAGGTCCAATGATGGGAAACATGGTCAGCATTTGCTATGGACAAGTTGTCACCTCCTGACCCTTGATCTCTCCTTGGGAACTGATTCTGGGTTTGTTCTACCCTCAAGCTGTCACTTTCTCTTTTTTCTCTCTCCAGTCTACCTTTTTCTAAGCTTCCTGCTCCTCAAAGAATGGCTGTCCTCAATCTTCTTGTCCTACTATTCTGCACACTAGCCAAAATAAGCATTCCAGAATGATGCTAGGACCAGCAATTGAACAAGGAGCCAAGGTTTAGAATAGAATAGAGCTGGAAGTGACCTTGGAGGTCTTCTAGTCCAGCCCCCTGCTCAAGCAGGAGAACGTATACCATCTCAGCTCTTGCTCTCTATCTTGCAGATGTCCATAAAGTGGTATTTCTTGATCTGGCACTTTTAAGATGTGTTGCCTAAGCTCTCGGAATGGGTTAGCAAACACTTGTACATCCTTACTAACAAAGGCCAGGAAGGGTGCAGTGGCTAAATACAACAACCTACCTCTTCAGTCAGAAGTTTAGAAATCTGTTTCCTGTGCTTTCTCTATTGCAAAGCCAGACTTTGAGATGCAGGATGGTAACCTTCCATGAAATACCTACAATAGATAGTTAGGCCAAGGCCACAGTATAAGTTTTGGCTTGGTCCAAATTACTTTTCTAGGTTTTGTACAACAAAAGTGACAATCCCCAACTGTGTCTTAAGAGCTGAGTTCAGTTGCTTGTCCTGGTGCAGGCTTCAGATACACACACACACACACACACACACACACAAAATTCAGATCAGATCTTGGCATGATGTCCTGGTTCCGACTAATGAAACAGTTCAAAGAACTTCCAGGCATTGTTTATCCTAAAAAGTCTTTAATGGTGAAACATATTGTTGGCACAGCATGGTGGATGCCAAGATCTGAATTCCCCTCCCCTGAGCACATAATATTCCAGCATATTCCCCTCCTCTAATTTGCAGTCATAAATCACATTCTCCAATCAGTTTGAAGGGCAAAGTTTCCCTTCTGTTCTGTAGCCTGTGGTTTCTTATCTTAACTAATCCCCACACACATTCTTTCTCCTCCCCTCCCAGCATCATCTAATTTAACTCTAAAAATACCACACTGCTTATACAGAGAGTGGCTGCCTTCATATTTTGTCAAAGCAAGAACATCCAATATTAGCAGCGTTGACATTTTTAGCTTTTTCCTTTATTTCTTCCTTCTCTTTTTCTCACGTTAATTTGTACCTTCTTTTAAAAATATATAATAAAATTATATATTAAAATATATAAAAAGAATCTTGTACGCCTGAATTTGCTTCCCCCTCCTTCTGTTTATCTTTGGTGAACTAGGTAGGGCTTGTCTGAGAAGTTTTTCTTGTGACTTTCTTGGCTGGGTCTCAAGCCCCTCTTCACTGGCCATTATTTTAGTAATAATAACATTTTTTAAAAAAACGTACTGTATTCTACCTTAAGAATCCATCTCATTTGGGAGAAAAATGGCTTTTCTCTTAGTCATACAGTATCTTAAGAGCCGAGGTAGCGCAGCAGTTAGAGTGCAGTACTGCAGGCCACTTTAGCTGACTGTGTTCAGCAGGTCAGCGGTTCAAATCTCACCGGCTCAAGGTTGACTCAGCCTTCCATCCTTCCGAGGTAGGTAAAAGAGGACCCAGATTGTTGGGGGCAATGTAAATATATATATATATATATATATATATATATATATATATATATATACACATTGCTTACTGGTGTACACCGCTTAGAGAGTGCTTGCACTTAAAGCGGTATATAAGTCTCATAAAATAAATAAAATAAATAAATAATCTTGTCTGTCTAAACTTCCCTTTCCGCAGAGGTTGGTCTCATATCCCCAGAACACCCTGGCTAGTCAAAACTGCCTTGAGCCTTTCTACAAATACATATAAATAACTAACCCCCCCCTTTAAATCTTTGGAGGGGAGGATGTTAAAAAGAACAACAAATTAACTTCTGCCTTTGATAAAGACTGATGATGCATTCTCAATCCAGGTGGTTGAGCATAATCCCTCCCCAAATTAATTCATCCCAAATTAGGGAACATTTCTCTAATGATCACATGCAGTAGGGATGTCAACACTGCAAATACTGTATATTCTTGCTTTGACAATATGCAGAACTGTCTGGTATATTTGGGGTTAATACAGAGCTTAGAGGGTGGGGGTAAAGCCCGGGAAAGAAAGAGGAAGAAAACCTTTGACCTTCACACTAATTGGATAATGTGATATATGACGGCTAGTTTAGGGAGGGAACATGCTGATAATTTAACTGCTCAGAGGAAGAGAACTTAGATCTTAGCATAAACTTCGTTATGCCTGTGCCGACATTTTGAAACAATAAAAGAATTTTAGGGAAATCAATGCCTGGAAGTCCTTTGAAGGGTTTCATTAGCCGGAACCATATCAAGGAGATGCAAACTTATTAAATGGTTTCATCATTTTTTTTTCTTTTCCAGAATCTCCCTTACCATCAACCTGTCCCTGATGGACTCCTTCCTGGGATGGCTATATATGTCCAAGGCACATTGCCTAAATACACTAAAAGGTAACATTCCTTTGGGGACTCGCAGGAAAGGCAAGAGGCTACCATAATCCAAATAATAGTACAAAGATTATTATGTTATTAAGGTTGTTCATATAATCCAAATTTGTGCCAAGATTAAAGCCTTTCTTAATTCTTTGGATACTTCCACTTCCTGCTTCTTCCAACTCCAGCTAAGCCATGAGGGTGAGGAGCTTGATTCTTTTCCTCAAGCAAAACTTCAGCATCCTACAGATCCCACATTCAGGCCAATGGAGAAGGGGGGGGACAGAACTCTACTCTGAGATTCCTGTGTTGTGGTTCCGGCTTATGAAACTTTGCAAAGAACTTCCAGGCATTGATTTTCCTAAAAGTCTTTTATTGTTACAAAATGTCGGCATAGGCACAACGGAGGGATGCTAGGATCTAAGTTCTCTTCCTCTGAGCAGTTCAATTATCAGCATGTTCCCTCCCTAAATTAGCCCTCATATCTCACACTATCCAATTAGGGTGAATGTCAAAGATTTCCTTCCTCTTTCTTTCCCGGGCTTTACCCCCAACCCCCCTTCTGCTCTTTATTAACCCCATATTTACCAGACAATTCTGCATATTGTCAAAAGCAAGAATATACAATATTTGCAGAGTTGACATCCGGCCCCCCTTACAAGAAGGACGGATCCTGTAAAGTAAACAAAAGCATATGTTAAGGGTTATCTTTGGTTTGTTGGGGTCTCTGGCCGGTGAAGACAGGGTCTGACAGGCTTCCTGCTGGGCTCCCCACTGCTCTTGTGCCCCCCCAGTTGCTGTAGGTCCCAATCTGGCTGCAGATTTATGCCCATGGGAACCCTTTGTGATTCAAGCTGATGCCAGCGATGTGGCAGTTAGAGCTGTGTTACTGCAAAAGAACAAAAATGGAATCCTAGCATGATGTTGTGGTTCCGGCTAATGGAACATTCCAAAGAACTTCCAGGCATTAATTTTCCTAAAAGTCATTGATTGTTACAAAATGTCGGCACAGGCACAACGGAGGGATGCTAGGATCTAAGTTCTCTTCCTCTGAGCAGTTCAATTATCAGCATGTTCCCTCCCTAAATTAGTCCTCATATCTCACACTATCCAATTAAGGTGAAGGTCAAAGGTTTCCTTCCTCTTTCTTTCCCAGGCTTTACCCCCAACCCCCCTTCTGCTCTGTATTAACCCCATAATTACCAGACAATTCTGCATATTGTCAAAAGCAAGAATATACAATCTCATTTAATTTTCCTCTATTTTTTTCCTCTCTCTCTCTTCCAGTTTTTCAGAGTTGTTTCGGGTGAACTTTGCATGTGAGGGGGATGATATTCCTCTCCACTTCATCCCTACCTTTGTTTGGAATCACATTGGGCTCAACACATTTCAGGATGGCAAGTGGGGAAGGGAAGACAAACGCAACATGGTCCTCCGAAAGGGCGAGCATTTTGAAGTCATCTTTATTGTCACTGAGGCCAGATTCCAGGTTGGTACATGTGACAAAGGCTCCTTTGCAACTGCAGCTGCCCCTCTATTTCCTCCCTAGAATTCACCATTGATCTGGAATGAACCAGAAATGTATCTAATATCGGCTTTCCCAACTTCATATTTTCCAGATAGGGTTTAAGTCAGTGGTTCTCAACCTTTTTAATGCCACGACCCCCAACCGGTCGTAAGTCAAGGACTACTCAACCGGTTGTAAGTCGAGGACTACTCAACTGGTGCAGCACCGTTTGCAGAATGGGACTTTTGGCGGGCTCAGCAGGGCAGAGACAGCCTGGACAATTCCTATTGGCTTTAGAAAGCCAATAGAATTAGACTCTATTCAAGAGAGTCTATTCTATTGGCTTTCAAAAGCCAATAGAATAAAAGGGAGTAGCACAGCTAAGGAAAAGGGGGAAAAAATGGCAGACTGCGTTGTTTGGCGACCCCTGTGAAATGGTTGTTTGACCCCAAATGGGGTCACAACCCACAGGTTGAGAACCATTGGTTTAAGTGATGTACAGGCAGGCCTTGTTTATGGACCACTGAGGCCAGCAGCTTAGTCATTAAGTGAGGTGGTCACTTGGTGAGTGTGTTTATGATCAGACTTCATTTCTTTTCTTTGCAGTCCTGTGAAGGCTGTAAATGCCAGGATTGGTTGCAAGGTTACTATTTCATCAGTGTCCTAACAGTCACTAAATGAAGATGACTTGCTGCAGAATGTTTGGTTCAGGGGGGGAAATAGATATGAGGGAAATGAAGGCCTCCCCCTTTTTACATATATTCATTTTAACTTTTTTTTTTGTAACAATTTTTATTTTCAACTTTACCATACATAACAATCTTACAAATACTTCAGATAAAAAATAAAACAAATTGATACACACCACATTCGGTCTTGCCCGTCCATTTCCCCCCAAACCGCATCCCACCTCAAACCAACTTGCTTCTTTCCCTCTTTTTCTTCACTCACCCCCTCCCCTCCTTCACCTCCACCTTCCTACTTACTTCTCATCTTCTTCTCCCTCTTGATGTGGTGCAGGGGAAATGCCCGAGCAGTTCCTCTCTCAAAATTAAAAGATTAATATTATATACAATAAGACTATTTCTACTTTATCTGAACTACTTAAACTTCAACCCATCCACCCCACCCCCTCCCCCCACCCCCCTCCCCCCACCCCTCTCCCCCCCCGACTTCCCAGAGCAAAATACAGGATTATGCAAACATATTAAACATAACCTATTTAAGTTTACTAATTATACAATGAACAAAATCATAAAAACCCTTAACTCTCTTCAAACTTTAACATCATAAGTTTATAAACAAAATCATTACTCATAGAATAAGTGAAACTTTGTAGTTCCATATTTCTTCTGAACATATTCTATCCATCTTCTCCATACCTTAAAATATCTCTCCTCATTTTAACCTTTTTGATCCCCTCAATGCCTCTGCTTATCTGTTCAGCTCTGGAGTGGGATGTGTCACTGGCAAAATAAACATGTTTTTTCTGCAAAGAAAAGTGATGATCCCAACTGAGACTTGATCTCTTCTGCTTTGTCCTCTGATAGGTCCTGGTGAACAGGAAGCCCTTCTGTACTTATAAGCACAGAATGCCACCACAAAGCGTGAGGGACATCAATGTTGATGGACACTTGGAGCTGCAATCTTTGACCGTGATAGGAGGACCAATGATAGGGAACATGGTACGTGTTTACTACAAACAAATTGGCACCTCTGATCCTTGATATCTTTGGGAATTGATTCTGAACAAGTTTGATCCCTGCCACTTTCTCATTCTGAGTCTGAGCCATGATTGTTGTTGTTGTTAACTGCGAAGTCGTGTCTGACCCATCGCAACCCCATGGACAACATTCCTCCAGGTCTTCCTGTCCTCTACCATCTTCTGGAGTCCATTGAAGTTCACGCCTACTGCTTCAGTGACTCCATCCAGCCACCTCATTCTCTGTCGTCCCCTTCTTCTCTTGCCCTCAATCTTTCCCAGCATTAGGCTCTTCTCCAGTGAGTCCTTCCTTCTCATTAGGTGGCCAAAGTATTTGAGTTTCAACTTCAGGATCTGGACTTCTAAAGAGCAGTCGGGGTTGATCTCCTCTAAGACTGACTGGTTTGATCGCCTTGCAGTCCAGGGGACTCGCAGGAGTCTTCTCCAGCACTAGAGTTCAAAGGTCTCAATTCTTTGTCGCTCAGCCTTTCTTATGGTCTGAGCCATGATATCACTGTTCTTTTATCTGACTCTGTAGCAGGATAGAATTCCTGCCACCCTTAAGCACCACAAGGTCAACATAACATTAGTCCATTTCCTCCATTCACACATCAGAGTGATATGCAACAGGTGGGACTATCTACCCAATCCAGGTTAAAACTGAGCTGAGCAAGTGATGCAAAGGCACCCAGGAAAGCTTCAACTGACTTGGGTAAATGTGCCACACAGACTCAGCCATTGTTGATGAAGAGTCTCATTCATTTAGGTAGAGTTCTCTGGAAGTTGAGTCACAGCAACTGGACCTCTTTTTTTGTTTTTGCTTTGAATATTTTGCTGCTTATCCAAGTAGCTTCACAGAGAAACATTTCAAACCAAAAAGAAAAGAAGTCCAGTTGACCATGACTCAACTTCCAGACTCAACCATTGTTGTTTTCCTACCCTTTAGAGTATGTTGCCGAACAATGGATATGGAACACCAAAAAATCTTCCTGTAAGTACTCAGAAGGAAAAAAAAAAGCAGTGGGCAGTGGGCAAAGACACCCAGGCCTACGGCTATGGATTTTAGCTCTGTTAACATGGCGTTGCTAACAGTCTCTTTGGATTTCTTTCTTCCCAGATACTAATGGGTTCTGTGATCTACTACCCCGTAAGTACCAAGAGACTTGCTAACTCAGCCTGTCTCTCCTTACATTAGCCCAGATTTGGAGGATGGGATAGAAACCAGGAGTGGAGACTCTGCATGCATTCAGGTAGAATTCAAGGAGACTTGTATTTCCTTGTGTTTTGGCTTATATCAGTGATGGCAAATCTTTTAGAGACTGAGTGCCCAAAAACTGGCCCCGCCCCCCACTCTGTCCCCCATTCCCCACCCTGCCTGCCCGCAGGGCCACTCACCGCCTCCAGGGCCCACCGCAGATCACCCAGGCAGCCCAGCAGCACTATGGCGGCCACGCCCTCTGCCCACATCCTGCAGCATTAACTGTGCATGATGGAGTGTGAGGGCAGAGTCTTGTCTACGCTGCCTGGCTGCGCTGCTCTGTGTGGGCCATGCTCAGGGGTGACTCTCCTTCAGGGGGGCTGCTGGAGAGGAGAGGCTGTGGGGAGGTGAGGCTGGGGCAATAGCACATTTTACCCACAGAGAGGTCTCCGAGTGCCACCTCTGGCACTCGTGCCATAGGTTCGCCACCACTGGCTTAGATCATGCTCACAGTGAACAAGAACAAGGACTGCCAAGTATTTAATTGCTTGGTCTTCCAAGCCTCTAAAACCACATAGAAAGGAGAAAAAAGGAATACTGAATAGAATATTTAAGGGAAAATTAGCGTCTTTATGGTTGAGGAAAGGGATTAATCTTAGTCCCTTTCTTCCATGTTAAAAGCTACCCATTCCCCATTGCCCAAGAAATTTCTAGTTGAACAAGAGAAGTTGGGATGGAAGAAGTCTGTTGGGCCAATGTGGGGCAGAGTAGAAAGCAAGACTTATATATTGCACAAGGAAACCAGCTCTTAAAACCAAGCTTTACGATTTGATCTAGGAACTCAGTCTTTTATGATGCAATCAACTAAGGGCATTCACAGCATGGGATTAAAAATGTCAACACAGCAGCCATGCTGACACCGCCACAATCCCATCTATTCTTTTGTATTCATTGCACATAAAGCAATAGGCTGGACTTCGATGGCACCATCCAGGCTGCCATCTTGACTGTTTTGACCACAACCTGCTGAGCAAACTGTTGTAGAAGTGAGAGACTTGAGTCAGCTCTTTTGTGGAAGGAAAGTTTATTTGCGCAGGTTCAGAGAGCTAATCACAGCTAAAAGGGTCTGAACGCCCAACAGGGGCATGGGTGATCATATTTATAACCCTCAATACGTACGTATTTCCTGATCATGACATATTCCATACATGGTTACATTCTATAGTTCCTTATTCTAACATAGGAAGGCTACTAGACATGGTTATAATCTATAGTTCCTCATTTTAACATAGGAATGCTTTTAGCAGTTTGCAATATTTCAAGTGATAGGCAGTTTGCAATATATCATGTGATAGGCAGTTTGTAATGTATCATGTGCAGTGTTAAAAACAGGATATCTGGCATTTCTAAATTTAAGTGTCGTCTGGGAACAAGAAAACCTCCCTTTCACCCACAATTTCTGTCAGACAATCAGTATTTTCCCAGCCTCCCACTTTAAAACAAATTGCTTGAACCAACTGCTATCTTACTTTTTGAGGCCAAAAATTACTTGCCTGGTTAAGGGAAGAGATGCTTGTGTCCACAAAGGAATGCAGGAAAAATCCATCAGAGACAAGATTCCAGAAGTTGCCTTCCACCCATTTTGTTGGTCTCCTGCTTGGTATCCCAAGACTTACTGGATTACAACTACCTTTACCCCCCCCCACACACACACACACTAGGAGGGATAGGAGCCACAGAGTCAAAGGAGTGTGTTAAGTATAACCTGGATTCTTGTCTATTTCAGCCGATGCCTTACATGGGCTACATTCCTAGAGATCTGGGAGCCAACAGGACCATCTCAGTGCAAGGCTTTATTCCAAAGAACACTAAAAGGTCTCAGCTCTCTTTTCTTTGCATGCATTTTGGGATTCAGGCGGAGGAATGGAAATGTAACCATTGCACATCACTGTCCTTCCATAGTCAGGGCCACGGAGCCCATCCTGCCAGGTTTTTTTTTCTGGCATCACATATTTCAGCCCCACTTGTCCCCCGCCTGCGAGTTCAACACTAGGACTCCAACTTAGCTTCGGCACAGCCAAACTCCAGTGTTAGGGCCTATTTATTTATTTATTTATGTATTTATGAGACTTATATACCGCTTTAAGTGCAAGTACTCTCTAAGTGGTGTACACCAGTAAGCAATGTATATATATATATATTTACATTGCCCCCAACAATCTGGGTCCTCATTTTACCTACCCTGGATGGATGGAAGGCTGAGTCAACCTTGAGCCGGTGAGATTTGAACCGCTGACCTGCTGAACACAGTCAGCTAAAGTGGCCTGCAGTACTTGCACTCTAACTGCTGCGCCACCTCGGCTCATTATAGACCTTTCCCAGTTTATCTCCTTTCTATGAGTTTCCCATCTCCTCTGCATATCTTCAGGCTCAGCCCAAGGACAAGGAGGTTAAGGAGAGTGGAAGCACAATGTAGAATGTAGTCTGTGGAACTCATTGCCACAAGAATAAGCAAGGGGTCTTTTTTTTCCAAATTTTATTTATAATACAGTTAAAAACAAACAAACATTGGATTTAACGTGACATTCCAGTATATACATTCTTATCAGATTATCCCACTTTTTACAATCAATTCTTCATCTCTACATATACATCTAAGTTTTATATACAATACTTATTCTAAAATAACATATATTTCTATCTTAACATTCATCTTTAATCCCAACCGTCCTCTTCGAATTCCTCCAGCGGTAAAATTTATCCCAGGTTTCATAATAAACTGATCCACATTTGTCTTTTAATATCATTGTGAGCCTGTCCATTTCCGCACATGCTAATATTTTATGTATTAACTCTTCCTCTGTGGGAATTTCCTTGCTCTTCCATTTTTGCGCAAAAGCAAGCCTAGCTCCAGTCAGGATGGGTAGCAGCAGGTAGATGGTTCCCTTGTCGTATTTTTTTGTCGTTATTCCCAACGAGGAGAGTTCAGGTTTTAACTCTAAGCCCAGTGTTAATATATCCCTCAACCAGTTTCTGTCCTGTTCCAATACTCATGAGTCTTTGGGCATTCCCACCACATATGGTAGTATGAACCTATTGCTGTTTTACATTTCCAGCATAGGGGTGAGATGTTTGGACCCATTTTGGCTAGCCTTACGGGTGGGAAATGCCATCTATAAAACATCTTGTAAAGATTTTCCTTATAAGAGATAGCTAAGGTGAGTTTCCTATTCCTTTCCCACAGTTCTAATAAGCAAGGGGTCTTAGCTTAGGGCAAAGCTCCCCAAAGTGAAAACTTCTGAAACTTCATGAAGGCACTGATACGTTGAAGAGTCTGGCTTAGGAAGTGGCTTTAAAGAATGATTAGGACCCAAACTGTCATTAAGCAGGGATCAGGAATAAGCAATTCTTCCTCAGAAGAATGCTATTGTCTTCTAGACTGCCGCTGATTATATGCTTTTAGTACAGTGGTTCTCAATCTTTTTAATGCCGCGACCCCCAACCGGTCGTAAGTCGAGGACTACTCAACCGGTCGTAAGTCGAGGACTACTCAACGGGTGCAGCACCGTTTGCAGAATGGGACTTTTGGCGGGCTCAGCAGGGCAGAGACAGCCTGGACAATTCCTATTGGCTTTTGAAAGCCAATAGAATTAGACTCTATTCAAGAGAGTCTATTCTATTGGCTTTCAAAAGCCAATAGAATAAAAGGGAGTAGCACAGCTAAGGAAAAGGGGGGAAAAATGGCGGACTGCATTGTTTGGCAACCCCCGTGAAATGGTCGTTCGATCCCAAATGGGGTCCCGACCCACAGGTGGAGAACCACTGTTTTAGTATGTGTTTGTCTGATGGATAACTCACTGAGAGTTGCTGTGATGGTCAGGATGTAAATGTAATGCATAAATGCCTGAGAAGCTAAACATATTGTCCACATTCAGCAGCAGTCTATCAATAAATAATATTTGGAAAAAGGAACAAGAATTGTTTTTTTTCCTCTTTAGCCTTCATCCATGGAAGCATCTGGCAGGCTAAAGAGTGGGGGAGGAATCAGATTTCCTTTTATTTATTCCAAAGGTCTAGTCTTCAATGCCTGTTTGTTTCTCTCTTTCCAAGGTTTGAAATCAAATTTATGGCTGGCCAGGACATCGCTCTGCGCATTAATCCACGCATGAAAGAGAGAACTGTGGTGCGCAACAGTTTTCTGAATGGCAGGTGGGGACTGGAGGAAAATTACCTGCCCTTTAACCCTTTCCAATATGACCAGTACTTTGAAGTGAGTTGACTTTGATTCCATTAGGGAGGGGTATGGGCAGGGAGGTCAAAAAAGTCAATATGGCAGCTACAGCTATGCAATTCATTTATTACTCCTGTTTTATCCAATTCAGGCTGAATTCCAGCAAAGTGGTTGGCTGGTGAGAAGGTAGGGAGGCAGGCAGGCAGTGGGGAATGGAAAGACAATCCAGCTGGTGCCTTCCAGAGGTGTAAGACTCCATCTCCCATAATCCCATAGAATCATGGGTTCTATACCATAGAGCCAACGTGGTCTAGTGGTTTAGCACAATGCTAAAAAGCAAGATATTGACAGTTTAAATCCCAACTTAGCCATGAAAACTGGCCGAGTGATTCTGGGCCAGCCACTCTTTCTCAACCTACCTCATTCAGGTATTGTGGAGAAAAATACAAGGAGGGATGTGTGTTGAATTTGTTTGCCATCTTGAGTTATTATTTTTTTTAAAAAAAATAATAATAAAGGCAGGAGACAAATAAATGAATTAAATAAATTCCCAGCTAGCACAGCCTTGAGGAATTGAAATCTGAACCTCTGGAATGCTGGTGGGATAAATAAAATTCTCTCGTGGAGAAGAGTGGAATTGCCACTCCAGAAGGCCATTCAGAATCCCAAAGATGGTTCTTCATGAGGCAAATGGACTTTCTTGTTTTTCCTTGAAGACGTTTTGCTTCTCATCCAATGCGAAACATCTTCAAAGAAAAACCACTTGCCCCGTGAAAAAGCATCTTTGGCATAACTATGACCTGGATGGCTGAGAATCTCCATAGACGTTTAGAATCCCTTTGTTATTTCTCACTCTAGAACAGTGGTTCTCAACCTGTGGGTCGGGACCCCATTTGGGGTCGAACGACCATTTCACGGGGGTCACCAAACAACGCAGTCTGCCATTTTTCCCCCTTTTCCTTAGCTGTGCTCCTCCCTTTTATTCTATTGGCTTTTGAAAGCCAAAAGAATAGACTCTCTTGAATAGAGTCTAATTCTACTGGCTTTCAAAAGCCAATAGGAATTGTCCAGGCTGTCTCTGCCCTGCTGAGCCTGCCAAAAGTCCCATTCTACAAACGGTGCTGCACCAGTTGAGTAGTCCTCGACTTACGACCGGTTGAGTAGTCCTCGACTTACGACCGGTTGGGGGGTCGCGGCATTAAAAAGGTTGAGAACCACTGACTTAAACCCTATCTGGAAGATATGAAGTTTGGAAAGCCGATATTAGATACATCTCTGGTTCATTCCAGATCAATGGTGAATGCTAGGAGGAAATGGAGAGGCAGCTGCAGTAGTCCTCGACTTACGACCGGTTGGGGGTCGCGGGATTAAAAAGGTTGAGAACCACTGCTCTAGAAAATTGTCCTTATGTTGCCCTATAGGGTGGGGGGTGGGAAAAAGCAGTGTGTGGCAATTGCGACCCCCCCCATCAAAGCACCCACCCCTTATGTATTGGAGGTATAGAAAGCTGCGGATGGTGTGGACTGCAGACCCTGCTTTATGGAGGATCAGAGGTGATTCAGATGTGCTGATTTGGCTGCAATAACATCCTTCCTCTCTTTCCAGCTCTCGATCTGCTATGACAAGCACGAGTTCCAGGTTTATACCAATGGCCATCCCTTCTTCAACTATGCCCATCGTTATGTTCCTATTGAACACATCCGCACTCTCAAGATCACAGGAGACGTGACCCTTTCCTACATCAAGTACTAAGCAATGAGATGGGAAAAGACCAATAACAGCACAGACCCCCTCCGCCCTCTTTCTCTGTCTGCCAGTATATTTAAAATCAAGTTTTTAAGAAGAGACTGGACAGCCATTTGTCCAAAATGGTGTAGCGTTTCCTGCCTGAGCAGGGGGTTGGACTAGATGACCTCCAAGGTCCCTTCCAACTTTACTACTATTATTATTATTAAGTGATATACAAGCTCCAGTAAATCAATCAATCAATCAGACACTTAAGAAAAATTGAGATTAAGCAGCATCTTCAATAAAACATCTTGAGCAAGCAGCGCAACTGGTTTACTTTACTGCCTTCTGAATTTGACATGAAGAAGATACAAAGCATTTTTTAAAAAAAAATTGTTGCCCTTCACATGTGTGGGAACTTGGCAAGTTTAAGATGGATGGATATCCCCAGCCTCTATTGGATTCTGATCCAACTTATAATCTACAAATTGCAGGGTGGGTGGATTGAGAATGGAACTTTTCAAACAAATTCTCTATTTTCCTAGGACACCCATAACTAGATCAGTTAAAGACCAAGGAGCTCCATTCACACAACTCATTTTAACCTTGGTTAGCTTGGAGGAAGATTAGAGTAAATTCAACCCACGTGGCAAATTTACCATTCATTCCCTCGAATGTGAGAATTCAGTAGCCAATTAAATATATCATGTGGACCCAACCCAGATAATTGGTGTGTCCAGTTGAAGGGATTGGTACCTTTGTTTTTTTTTGCCTTTTAGTACTGTCCATGGGGTTTAGTACTGTCCAGAAGATGGTAGAGGACAGGAAGACCTGGAGGAACGTTGTCCATGGGGTCGCGACAGGTCGGACACGACTTCGCAATTAACAACAACAACCTTTGTTTTGCTTCAGAATTAGGCCTTCCAGCATCACCCAGGAGGTCCATGTCCAAGCCCCACAGGACTGCCTGATTGTACGGCATATGCTGTAGGAGAGAAATATGAAGATGACTAGTGATGTACTATGTTTCTAGTCCTCTTGAAGACAAAAAAAGTGTGCTCATTTTTAGAAAGGCCCAGCAGTTCAAACTCCTTTATACACCAGAATTTTTGGTCTGGGGTTTGAAAAATGTGGCTTCAAATTGCTGGGGAGAATCTACAAAAGCCTCATGCAGCCTGAGAAGAGTGAATGGATCTGGATCACCATTAGCAATTTCTATAACTTGTTAAACACCTATGTCAGGTGAGCTAAAATGGTTCTTCTGTGATATACTACTCCAAGGGAAAATTATAAATTGGATGCATGGATGGATGGAAAGATCTAGCTAGAATCAGATTGGCCCTATTTCATTGGCTTGATTCACAGAATCTCCAATTCCCAAAGACATCACATTATGGTTTAGCAGAGGCACTCCAAAACCCCAGTTAGTCTAGATCAGAAATGTCAAACTCACCATGTCATGTGACGTGTCGTGACATGTCGCAACTTTTTCCCCATTGCCGGAGCTGGGTGGGCATGGTTTCAGCATGACGCATCCGGCATGTGGGCTGGCAGTTTGACACCCCCGGTCTAGATAGTTATTGAATCCTACCAACCTGATGGGATTTAAGAAAGCCATTAAGACAGGTCCCCTTGCAGTCATATATAGCTAGTCTTCACTTAACAACCATCATTGGGACCGGCAACTCTCTTACTAAGTGACAAGAGTCATTAAGCGAGACATCACACCATGATTTGAGATTACACTGCCAGCTTCTCCATTGATTCTGCTTATTGGAAGTCAGCTGTGATGTGTGCAAATGGCAATCATGTGGCGACGACATTGTGGCAGTCATAAGTGCAAAGATCAGTCGTAAAGTTACATCTTCAATAACATTGTAACTTTGATCACTAAGTGAGGAAGTTGCTAAGCAAGGTCTTCTAGTGGATTATGCTGATTTATGAAATGACATCGTAGGTATGATGAATGCTTTGTGTGATTGGGCTTTGCTATTTTGGTTATTCTAACCTTTAGAATGCACCTGGGAATGTAACTAGTCACAAGGGAAGCAGCAGTTCAGCTTGAGCAAAGTAGATAAATCAGTACTGGGCTGAATTTAACAGGAATTTGGCTCTGTGCAGGTCTCTAACCCTTGTTTATTCTGTCCTGGATTTTTTCCAGTTGATTTTCTGATTTGTTGGTGGCTCCCAACCTGTCAGTCTCTACTTGCCAATAAAATTTCTCTAACTTGCTGTTACCTCTATTTCTGCTGTTGCAGAAGGTTGATGTTAAGACCATGTCATCCACCTTGAGAGCTGATGCAAAAAAATGAGTCAGAGTGCTGAATAAACATGGTTGACTCTTCTCTTTAAAACAGTGGTTCTCAACCTGTGGGTCGGGACCCCATTTGGGGTCGGACGACCATTTCACGGGGGTCATCAAACAATGCAGTCCGCCATTTTTCTCCCCTTTTCCTTAGCTGTGCTACTCCTTTTTATTCTATTGGCTTTTGAAAGCCAATAGAATAGACTCTCTTGAATAGAGTCTAATTCTATTGGCTTTCAAAAGCCAATAGGAATTGTCCAGTCTGTCTCTGCCCTGCTGAGCCCACCAAAAGTCCCATTTGGCAAATGGTGCTGCACCAGTTGAGTAGTCCTCGAGTTACGACCGGTTGAGTAGTCCTCGGCTTACGACCGGTTGGGGGTCGCAGCATTAAAAAGGTTGAGAACCACTGCTTTAAAAAGAGATCAAATTTCCAAATTGCATAGCCTTCGTGAAACTTCTCCAAGAAAATGGCCAAGCTCAGAGATCACCAAGGGACCCCCAGTTCAACCTAGAGCTATGTATATTTACTTCTATTGGTACAGCTGTTTATGTGTATTCACTTTCATTGGCACAGCTGTTTACTGTTTATGAGCAGCATCAGAGTTACTGAAGGGAAGCTGCATATTTATTGATCCAGTCACTCTGAAACCTCTGATGAACCCTCCTCAAATTCTCAAAACTATTTTCACTTGGGAAAGGCATCACTTGCATGGCTGGTGTGCCCCCAGTCAGAATGGTGTTGCATCCATTTCCTGCCCCAGAGATGCTTCAGATTGCATTGGGTGGAGGTCCCAGCAGAGCCCCCCAGAGAGCAGGGAGGGAAGGGTCCCCCATGGCTCCTTTGGGGGCTTCAGCCCCAACCACAAAAGAGGCCTGCCCTGTTCAGGCTCTCCAGCTCCCCCCTGAAAGGGACAGAAGGAAGAGGGGAAGCCGCTGCCCAGACAAGTTGGGACAGAATCGAAAGAAAGGAGGAGAGACGACAACACACACGTAACTCAGAGGAATAGGAGGAAGCAAACCAATCAAGCGCAGTTGAATCAATTAGGCCCGGTGACGAGATCGAGGAGCCGGGCGCAGACTCTGACTTGCCTATAAAAAAACTCTCACACTTTCTGGCGCTCTAGCCCTGAGGATGCCGGCAGGGACGGCGAAAGCTTGGCGCTTTTTAATTAAACTTTTATAGTTTTACTACCCTGGTGTTCATTTTATTTCTTGGTATCTATCTATCTATCTATCTATCTATCTATCTATCTATCTATCTATCTATCTATCTATCTATCTATCTATCTATCTATCTATCATCTATTATCTATCTATCTATCTATCTATCTATCTATCTATCTATCTATCTATCCTATCCTATCCTATCCTATCCTATCCTATCCTATCCTATCCTATCATCTATCTATCTATCTATCTATCTATCTATCTATCTATCTATCTATCTATCTATCCTATCCTATCCTATCCTATCCTATCCTATCCTATCATCTATCTATCTATCTATCTATCTATCTATCTATCTATCTATCTATCTATCTATCATCTATTATCTATCTATCTATCTATCTATCTATCTATCTATCTATCTATCTATCTATCCTATCCTATCCTATCCTATCCTATCCTATCATCTATCTATCTATCTATCTATCTATCTATCTATCTATCTATCTATCTATCTATCTATCTATCTATCATCTATTATCTATCTATCTATCTATCTATCTATCTATCTATCTATCTATCTATCCTATCCTATCCTATCCTATCCTATCCTATCCTATCCTATTATCTATCTATCTATCTATCTATCTATCTATCTATCTATCTATCTATCTAACCACACAGTTTTTAACTACCGTATTTTCCGGCATATAAGGCGACTCGGCGTATAAGACGACCCCCGTTTTCGGCGCTGATTTCCATGCCTAGAAACTCGTCTTATACGCTGGAAACTACCATAATTTCCGGCGTATAAGATGACTCGGTGTAAGACGACCCCCGACTTCGGCGCCATTTTCAACGCTTTAGAAAGTCGTCTTATACACCAGAAAATACGGTACATTAGGACATTGCAAACATTATCAGAAAATAATATTTCTAAAACAGGGGTGTCAAACTCGTTGTGCCATGTGACGTGTCGTGACATATCACAACTTTTTTCCCCTTGCCAGAGCTGGGATGGACGAGGCTTTTGCATGATGCATCCAGCAGTTTGACACCACTGTTCTAAAATGAGTCCTTAAATGCAAAACTAAGCAAATAATAACGTACATCAATCCATTTCAATGAAACTTACGTCTTTAGGAAAGAATGCTGGGATGGGTCTTTCTGAAAGTTTGGGCCATTGTTGGAAATAAAGGTTCTCAGGTGCAAATTCCCACCGATAATGAAATCACCAGAGTTGTAATAGTCTAATTTTTCCTGTAAAGTGGTCGTCAACACACATACGGTTTGCATCCTCTTAGCAGTAGTTGGAGCCAGGAGCTAGAAGAACAGCAACAGATGAGGCAGTTCAGTCATTCTTGTCATATAAAAAAAGATGTTGAGACTCTGGAAAGAGTGCAGAGAAGAGCAACAAAAATGATTAGGAGTCTGGAGGCTAAAATATATGAAGAATGATTACAGGAATTAGGTATGTCTAGTCTAATGAAAAGCAGGACTAGGGGAGACAGGATAACACTGTTCCAATATTTGAGGGGATCTTACAAAGTTGAAGATGTCAAACTATTTTGCAAAGCACTGAAAGCAAAGAATAGATGGAAACTAACCAAGCAGACAAGCAACCTAGAACTAAGGAGCAATTTCCTAATGATAAGAGCAATTAACCAGTGGAACAGCTTGCCTTCAGAAGTTGTGGGTGCTCCATTACTGGAGGCTATTCATTAATTTTTTTTATTAAAAGTTTTACAATTTTACAATAAAATCCCTCTCCCACTACCTCCCTACCCTCCCAAAAAACCCTCCCCCCCTCTTCCCAGAGCTGAATACAGGGTTAACTAGAACTAAAATACAAAACATTTAAACTTAAATAAACCTCAAACAAAAGTTACATTAAAAGAAAAAAAAATCCAATATATATATAATAAAAAACTCCAATATATATGTTATGTCCCGAGCCTTGCAAACGGGCTCGGGGCGTTTGCAGGCAGGTCCCGGTGCAAGCTGCCCGGGACCAGACAGGCTGTCGCCAGCGCCTGTGCGCATGCGTGGGTGCTGGCGCGGGAAAAGTAACACATTGACCCGGGAATTGCCTATATAAGAGGCTGGGAGCTTTTGGGCGTTGCTGAAGACTTCACCTGTAAGCTGAACACAGAATAAAAGAAAACCTGAGAACTACAACTGCTTCTCGTGTCTGCTTTTCGCCAAGGACTCAACAATATATATATATATAATAAAAATTGCTTATTATCTTAAACTTTAAACTTTAAACATAAATTATTCAAAAGCTAAATAATATCTTTTAATATCATACTTATACTGTATAAAGTTTATCCATCTTTTCCACGCCAAGAGATATTTCTCTTGTGATTGATCTTTTAAATAAGCCAAAATTTTTGCCATTTCAGATAGATAAGAAACTTTAAAAAACCATTCCTCCAAGGTAGGCAAAAATTCCTTCTTCCAGTATTGTCCTATCAACAACCTTGCCGCTGTAATTAAATTTAACATTAAAATAATTTCTTTATCATCACAATCAACAATAATACCTAACAAAAACAATTGTGGAGTGAATATTCCACCATATCTTTATCCAAAAAGCTTTAATACTTTTACATGACCACCAAATATGATAATACGTTGCATCCAAACAACCACATCTCCAACATTTAGGCTGCAAATTTGAATACATCTTTTGTGGATCATGGAAATGCAAGGAAATACAGATAGTTCTTGACTTACAACAGTTCATTTAGTGTCCATTCAAAGTTACAACATCACTGAATAAATTGACTTATGACCGTTTTTCATACTTATGACCATTACAGCATCCCTATGGTCACATGATCAAAATTCAAATGCTTTGCAACTGACTCATATTTATGCAGGGTTCAAGGGTCACGTGATCCCCTATTGTAACTATCTAACAAGCAAAGCCAATGGGAGACCTGATTCACTTAACAACTATGGCAAGGAAAAGTTACAAAATGGGGCAAAACTCACCTAACAAATGTTTCACTTTGCAACAGAAATTCTGGGCTCATTTGTCGTAACTTGAGGACTATCTACTATATAGAGTACTTTGACTTCAGCAAAGCATTTGGCAAGCTGAATAAATGTACTGTATACTTGAAGCTAGAAGGAGAGACATTAAAGTTGAAGACTTCATCTAGTCCCTTTGTTTTTCAACGTAGTATACATGACTTGAGAGGGGAAAATAACCTTTTAGAGTATTGTTTCTCAACCTTGGTAACTATAAGGTACATGGACTTCAACTTCTAAAATTGTCCATCCAGCTTGCTGGCTAGGGAGTTCTTAGCTGACTGTCAAATCCATCTGCTCTGTGGATTAACAAAAAGAGTTACAAGCATGTTTCCCCCCATCTGGTGCGTGAAGAGTAATTATTGCTAAGTAGACAAATGTTTTTCCATGCAATTATCAGATCAACAGTAGTTTTTAATGTATCCTCTGTGGATTTCTACCCACAAAAAATATCCAAGATAAAATCTGCCTTAAAAAAAAAAACATTCTGAGATCTCCCACTGGAGGTGAGACATGTCATCTTACCTTGTGTTGCAAAGAGTTGACACTGGGATTTGTTGACTCAGCTGGCCTTAATTTACTGTTTGGTCAAAGTCCAAATACAGGCAAGAGGAAAAACGTTTCATATAAATTTGCATCCAGGTGACATGACCTCTGCAGAGATTTCAAGTGCTACCTGTAATTCACCTTCCGCAGAATCTTGATTTCTGATCTAAGAGAG